AGGGAAATAATTATTGCAATAATTATCAAACTAAAATATTTTTTAAATTTGTTTTTCTCTTAAATGTCATTTGATGATATATTTCAAAACCTTCATTAGAAAAAACGACCAAAAATATGCCATTTTTGAAAAGTAGGTCACTGTAATTAAGTGCCCTAATTACTAATTAAGTCACACTTGGGCACCGTTGTTTGTCTTAATGCATTTATAAACAATACGTTTATCACGTGCAGTGTATTTATTTGAAATATTTTTGCAAATATGGATGATATTAAAATGGAAAAAATCAATTTAGCATCGGGTTTCACAGGATCATAAATGACTTTTGTCTATTACTTACAGGATTGTATTTTTGTTTACTGCTGTAGTAAGGGGAATGGTGGTGTTGGGATATTCATTTAGGAGTCACTGCCGCTATCACAATCTGACCAGTTCTCCACCGTCATTGCGTCATCAACACAACTAAGGAGGCAATTGTTTGTGTAGTATCAGACTGGTGTCGGTCATAAGAAAGATACCATAGGACAGATGCAATGTGGGCACAGCAGCCGACTACTTTGGCACCAACCTTACATTGACAATACCAGCCTGATATTGGGGTCAGTTCATTAGAATATTAAATCCAAAGATTGTACACCTTCGAAGCAACATGTCGTGAACGAATCTGAACTTTAATCAAGTCAGGTTTATCGCTGCATAGCATAAGTTCATACTGACCATCTTCAGCAAAGTGCTCTTTGGTGTAGGATTTTGCCTGTTTCAGCTGATACACCCCCATGGTAAGATCTCTCAACTCTGGTTCTGATAACTTTGGGAAATCAGGCAAACTGGCCTCATCATGCTTTACCCAAAAAGACCGCTTCCTTGTTAAAATTATGGATGTAGCCCCCAGCCAGCCAGGGAAGGGGCCCCCAAAGGGGCAAAGTATTCAAAATCTCCTTCTCAATAACTAAAAATCCAGCACTGAATTCTTTCACAGTTGTAAAACCCTTAAGATTATGAGATTTAGCTCTGTGTCTAGGTGCTCGTGGGGAGATAATGAAGTTTATTACATAAATATAGTTTATATACGAGAAGATGTCTTGATAACTTGTGCTAAAACAGAAAGGCGTTTGAAATCATATCTATGATCACGAGGATGACCACTGAAGTAAAATGGTTCCAACTGACGGGTCAACCACACTAGGAGGAGAGCAACACCACATCTTGTTCAATAACGGTATGTTACGGCCGCCCAAAGGATACTGAATTAACGTAAAATTCAATACTTTTCAACACATGTCTAGTGTATCTGAATGAGCTACTGTGTTATAATATACTTGGGTGAACATATAATTGAATTAAAAAAAAACAACAACACCCAAACAAAATGTTTGAGACGTGACAGCACTGCATACGACTTTGTAACACATGTTTAGAGAGATCAATATACTGCATAAATGTACCTATATCTATGTAATGGACCATCTGTTAGGTGTGTAGAAAATGTTAAGAGAAGATTTTTGCTTCTGCCTCAATAAGAGTTTGAAGTTTGTAAGGTGTTTTGGACAATGCCATCATTCTCTCGGCAATTACAATGTCATTGGGAGAATTCGAAGCAAGTGGGGGACGAAAGGCATTGCAAATTGCACAAACAATTCGTACAAAATCTCCTACAACGTAAGCGTAGCTCGCGGAATATCAAGTTTGATTTTTTTAGGGTCATGTGTCTCATTCTGATGGTCTAAACCACTGTTAGAGTGCTCTACTGGTTCATGGTGTTTGTAGAATCTCCCTCTGCATTTTTTACATACAGGGTCACCTAAACATAAATCTTTATTGATGTTATCTTTCAAGAAAGACAGAACATCTGCCTGATTCAGACAATATATTGACTTTATAATCTGCTTTGCAGCAAGCACACTGCTTGTGTACTGGCATTTTACAAAAATAACAAAAAGTTAATAAAAACGTAACAAACTACTATAATACTATTATATATATGTCACACTTGTATGAATGAAATTATATTTAACGGTTTATTGATACACAAGATATGTGCATAAGTCAATGCATGTACGAACTGCACAGAACAAAGCATACTTATATATCTGGATATACCATGTGTTACATTCACTGCATTGTAGATTACTAAAGTTTGCTAGTGTTTGAAACAAAACCATTAACGAGGTATACATCAAGGAGATGTCATGATGTCATACTATTTTATGTTTAAGCTCTAGTGTCAAACCATCTTATGTTAAAGCTCAAGAATACAACTAATGCACGGAAGAATTATTATACTGTGAAATTTATTTGAAATAATTTTTCATACAGGATAATTCAATATACATTTTCATTAACCGGAATAAGATAGTGACTGGTGCTCTTGCACTTTAAATTGTAACTAGTCTATTTAAATGGCATGCCTCTCTTACCCTGACTGTAACTTCTTCATTGCTCTAATTCACGCAAAAATATTTCAAATAAATACACTGCACGTGATAAACGTATTGATTATAAATGCATTAAGACAAAAAAAAAAAAAAACCGTGCTCAAGTGTGACTTAATTAGTAATTAGGGCACTTAATTACCGTGGCCTACTTTTCAACAATGGCATATTTTTTGGTCATTTTTTCTAATGAAGGTTTTGAAATATATCATCAAATGACATTTAAGAGAAAAAAACTAAAAAAAAAAAAATTTTAGTTTGATAATTATTGCAAATAATTATGAATTTGATCCCCCACTCGTCCCCTCTTTAACAACTGAACAGCCTTGAGCTGACCTTAGATTAATGTCATGTCATTACCGCCTGACCTCAAGTTTTTAATAGACAAAAAATAAAAAGTATTCATCATGGCCACCATAAGGCCCAGACTGGCACTCCTCCTTTAGGCCCTAGGAATCAGGTTTATGAATTTCTGAATTTTTACTGGTGTGTCTTTTTTATAATCTTCATCAAATTGTGTTCTGTTCTGAGATCTATGGTTTTAAAACAATTATTGCTATCATATTTTCTAGGGAAGGAGTGACTGTTTTTTTCTTTAATATACATATGAATATTCCATTTTAGGACTGCTCAGAAAAAAAATAAAATAAAAAAAAAAAAAAAAAAAAATGCTTGACTGGCAGCCATCTTGGATTTTGACAATTCAAGTTTGTTATCGCAATTTCTTTAGAATCATTCGATGGACTGTTCTCAAATTTCATAGGAATGTTCTCTTTTGTTTTAGTTGAACGTTTACAATTTTGAGAACGATCAGGGAAATCACTAGTTATCCCACAGCCATCATATCATTGTTACTCAAATTCGTTTAGGTTACCTATGATCTTAAGTTGAGATCTAATTGATGAGGTAGATATATATTTTTTTTTGGAATAATTTTATTGCGTCAATCATATAATTAACTACAAATGAGACAAAAGATTCTTGATGAAAACACACACTACATAAAAAAGATTCTTATAAAGCATGTCAAGAGTGATATACTATGTGTACAATCCCAAAAAAGGTGATATATTGTTTCAGGTGCCCCCCTATGAAAGATAATTCGTGATGTTCTAAAATTTATCATTTATATAACATTGAATTTGTAAAAAGTATTCTGTGAGTAATTCTGTTTTGTTAACTAATTTACGAAAACTTACCTTGTAAATACTTGTATTGACAAACTGTATGTAGTTTACATAACACATTGTATTTGTTTACAGAATATAGTCTTGTATGTATTGTAAAATTACATTGTAAATACTTGTTTTGATAAACTGTATGTAGTTTACCTAACACACTATATTTGTTTACAGAATATAGTCTTGTATGTATTGTAAAATTACATTGTAAATACTTGTTTTGATAAACTGTATGTAGTTTACATAACACACTATATTTGTATAAAAAATAGTTCTTTCTTTTGTATTTCATATTGGTAATTACATAACATAATATACTTGATTGGAAACAAATACATAAAAAATACAACAAATTCAGAAACACAGATAATGTACCACTGTGGGTGCTAAGAGTTCAGGGATCAGAGGTCACATCAACTGTTACCTAGACTATAATACATTCTGACATCTCAATGCACCTAGATTGTACCAAAATCTCAGGTCCCTGTGTCACCTTGACTGTAACAACCTTCCAGGTCCCTGTGTCACCTTGACTGTAACAACCTTCCAGGTCCCTGTGTCACCTTGACTGTAACAACCTTCCAGGTCCCTGTGTCACCTTGACTGTAACAACCTCTGGTCCCTGTGTCATCTGGTCTGTAACAAATTCTCAGGTCCCAGTGTCACCTGGTCTGGAACAAATTCTCAGGTCCCTGTGTTACCTAGACAGTAGCACATCCCCTGGTCCCGTTGTCAGGAAGACGATCACAAATTCACAAGTTCCAGTGAGTGAGTAGGAAACTTCTTCAAACAACACAGTTGTACACTAAATTTAACACATTCTCATCATCAAAATTGAGTTAGTTAAAAATTTGGCATTCAAAATGATAAAATCAGAACAAAATGTTTTGATATACTTAAGATATAGAACTAAAATGTAAGTTACTCCACCTAATGTCAATGTTACAGGATTTGGTGAACAGATATCTTAAGATATTTTGAAAGGGAGGCAAATAAATTATGTATTCTGTGTACCGAGACATTTTCATCCACCATCAATGAACATGGAAGGCAAATTTAAGATGGGGGTGAAAATTTCTTACATGCTAAATAACCTTATAAAGTAATCTTCAGAGGTCGAAATGGTTATGTGGTGAATTGGTGTATAATAGTACAAGATGAAAATAACCTAGAGCGAAAATGTCCCGATATACAGAACATTGATGCATGAATTTAACAAATTCTTAGTGGCGAAAAAATTATTCACCAATGTAAAATCTACATGTTAGCAGCCAAAGAAAAAAATAAACGGTAAAACCACAAATGTCAATAAAACTAATCGTCAAATTCATCATTTCTTAAAAGCGTTTGATCAGCTGCCTTGTGATATGATAATGCTCTATGTATATTAACTTAGTTCACTGAAGTAATTTTCTGGCATGAACATATCAGAATTATACATTTCAGGAAGCTGTTCTATATCAAACGATATTGGTGGTTCACAGGGGTCGTTAGAGAACTGGTAACCATCTGATGATTGAGAGGCTGGTCCCATTCCTGGGTCGGACAACAGTCCACCAGGGTTATCCCACCTGTAGTCCATTCGTAAGATATCTGATTTGGCACTGAATTGGACAGGACTGGTCAGTCCAAAACAGGTATGTGAGGCAGCAGAGCTGGACAGAGGATAAGTGATACTGTGTACAGCTCTCTGTTGTTCATTCCACTCCAGGGATGTGGTAGGTAAGACTGCTGGCGAAGTCAAAACTTGTTTTGACCCTGAAATGTGAGTTAAAAACATGCCATTGAAATGCGTAATACTACAAGACAGTAAAACCAGTAATAGTTGACTACAAGTCAATAAGAACTCAGAACATCAAAAGCTCATGACAAAATTTTGTGATACAATATGAAGCCTTTTCATAACTTAAGCTTGCAACAGTTTTATGGTTGTAATGAAGAACATATTTTCCAAAAGATTTGTTGCCACTGTTAAAGAGGAAAAAACCAACCATTTTACATTTTACAGCTTGAAGAGTGAATGAAATAAGTCAAAGATTAATTAGAAAAATGAAAAAAAACCCCAAAACATGCAAATCCAAAAGAATTATGCATTGGTACAAGCTAATTACCAAATGAAGTAAGCATGCGATCTTTGGTGCTCATCTGCCAGTCTACACCACAAGTTGACAGGATTGGGTCAGGGTCACGCCCACATGTAGACAGGATCGGGTCTGGGTCACGTACAGGTGATGGGACGGTGTCATTCTTGGAGGATTTGCTGGTGTCATCCATTCCTAACAATGGACCATACTCGGCCAGAGATATCCCATACTCCTTAGCGATACATACCACATCCTGTAATGGTGAAACAAAAATACTGAACATCCAGAGATATCCCATAATCTTTAGTGACACAAACCCATATCTTGGCTAATTGGTACAGATGAGCTAATGATGAAATAAATATTGATAAATTTTAATTTTTGATAATTTTATTAAAATTTTGAGTTTGCATGATATTGATGGTGTCCTTATGTCTACCAAATTATGTCCAGGTTTTTTAAATGATCTCATTCAACTTGTGGAAAAGTAGATGAATACAAATGATTTTACCTCAATATTGCCATAATCTTCAGGTAGATCCTTTTCTTTTTCCTTTTCCTCTGTTAGGAGAGCTCTAACTTTGTCATGAGTGTCAGGGTCAAGGTCAAAGTCATCAAAGTGGTGCTTCTCTGACCCTTCTGAAATAATACAAGATAAACGATGTTGGCTAAATCTGTCAGTGTTACTAAGACAAAAATCTTGATTCTTTTACAAATAAACACAGACCAAATATCTGTAACCCTCTACAAATACACACAGACCAAATATCTGTAACCCTCTACAAATACACACAGACCAAATATCTAAATCCTTCTACAAATACACACGAACCAAATATCTGGAACCTTCTACAAATATCTGTAACCCTCTACAAATACACACAGACCAAATTTCTGGATCCTTCTACAAATACACACAGATCAAATATCTGTAACCCTCTACAAATACACACAGACCAAATATCTGTAACCCTCTACAAATACACACCGACCAAATATCTGTAACCCTCTACAAATACACACAGACCAAATATCTGTAACCCTCTACAAATACACACAGACCAAATATCTGTAACCCTCTACAAATACACACAGACCAAATTTCTGGATCCTTCTACAAATACACACAGATCAAATATCTGTAACCCTCTACAAATACACACAGACCAAATATCTGAATCCTTCTACAAATACACAAAGATCAAATATCTGAATCCTTCTACAAATACACACAGACCAAATATCTGTAACCCTCTACAAATACACAAAGACCAAATATCTGTAACCCTCTACAAATAAACACAGACCAAATATCTGTAACCCTCTACAAATAAACACAGACCAAATATCTGTAACCCTCTACAAATAAACACAGACCAAATATCTGTAACCCTCTACAAATACACACAGACCAAATATCTGTAACCCTCTACAAATACACACAGACCAAATATCTGTAACCCTCTACAAATACACACAGACCAAATATCTGGATCCATCAATAAATAAACAAGGACAAATGTACATGATCTTTCAACAAGTATACAAGGACATTACATACCTAGGATCTTAAAAAAAAAAGCCAAATTTGTTAGGATGTCACAACTAGTGACAGGAATTTATATCTAGGTCACAACAACTAGTGACAGAAATGTATAAATAGGTCACAACAACTAGTGACAGGAATGTATATCTAGGTCACAACAACTTGTGACAGGAATGAATAACTATACCTAGGATCTTACAAAAACAAGAGACCCATGGGCCTTACAGGTATGACATTAGATACAAGATATGGTCACAACAACTAGTGACAGGAATGAATAACTGGGTCACAACAACTAGTGATTGGAATGTATATCTAGGTCACAACAACTAGTGACAGGAAAGAATTACTAGGTCACAACAGCCAGTGACAGGAATGTATAACTAGGTCACAACAACTAGTGACAGGAAAGTATTACTAGGTCACAACAGCCAGTGACAGGAATGTATAACTAGGTCACAACAACTATTGACAGGAATGTATTACTAATGTATTTATACTTGGTAACTTTTAGTGATTGAGAAGTAATGCTTTCCTACAGAGGAATGTTTCATTATGTCTGATAGAAATATGGGGTTTCTTTTGGCTACCTTGATTCTCTGTTCGACTCTGCTGCTCACAGTCGATGAGAGGTTTATTACGCCGATAACTGGTCTCCTCCTTTCTGTTGACGGGTACGTATGTGTGATTGTTTGCCCAGTAACAACCCTTGGTGTTGATGGCATGAGTTCCAAATCGAATCTTCCTAAACCATTTTTGGTATAATGCATGTCTTATCGAGCTCTTAAATAGAGAAAAAATTATAAAATAGCACAAGAAATTAACTCTCAATTAACAAAGGTCATTAATCATGGTCCAGTTAATTGTGTTTTTTTTGTCTTTAAAATTTGATAGATTGAAGGTTGTTCTATATGAGCAGTAAGTATGTGATATCCTTTGCAACATATTATTGAATACCTATCTTTATTCCTTTTTTCAGTACTTACCCTCCAGCTTGACAGTGCAGATCGATCCATGTAACGGAAAAATGGATATCTATTCCTAGAAATTAAAAAGTTTAAAAACCTTTAACATTCATGGTTTTACTGCATCATAATGTAGAGCTGTTATTTAATACTTGACACTAGACAGGAGATAATTATACTGTTGTGACATACATGAAAGTGAAAAAATATATTTACTTGTGTATATAACAATAATATCAGAAATTACTTAGTCTTCTGCTATTTACAGCACAGAATGAAGCAAAAAGTCGCTATAAAAAGTGTCACAATACAGAATAGCACAAAAGGCCTCCATACAAAGTGTCACAATACAGAATACAACAAAAGGCCTCCATACAAAGTGTCACAATACAGAACAGCACAAAAGGACTTCATACGAAGTGTCACAATACAGAACAGCACAAAGGGACTTCATACGAAGTGTCACAATACAGAATAGCACAAAAGGACTTCATACGAAGTGTCACAATACAGAATAGCACAAAAGGCCTCCATACAAAGTGTCACAATACAGAATAGCACAAAGGGCCTCCATACATAGTGTCACAATACAGAATAAAACAAAAGGCCTCCATACAAAGGGTCATTATACTATCATTATTAAGTGAACAATTAGACAAGAGAAAACATTTTACCTGATGATTCTGATGAAATAGAGAGAAAAAAAAATTTAAAAAATTTGCACCAAAATGTTGCTGATATTTCTTCCTTCATATAATAAAATAAATAATTTTCCAATTTATTTCTACATAATCAGTATTAGCCCCCAGCAGGACCTCTATGTGGTGTATCAGTATCCTAAAACAATCAGTCAGTAAATAGTAAATATCTTTATCCACATCTTAACCACATATATGGACCAAAAGAGAATACATCTCATTAGTAGGAAACGATCAAAATAAATATGTAGGTAAATTGTTTATGACAAATATATCTGACTTCAGAGATACAGACAGACAGTACCATAATACTCCTCTCACAAGTTTAAATTTAACTTACTGTACAACTGTGTAGATCTGTGGGACCTGTAATAGACCATCAGGGCTACCATCGATGGCTTGGCCTACCAGTTCTACTAGCTTGTCAGGTGGGCGAATCAGCTTACTGCCTGAAACATATATCTATTGTCTTAATCTACAGCATCATGAATCCATGTATTGTCTTAATATACTACAGCATGAATCTATGTATTGTCTTTATATACAATAGCATGAATCTATATTCTGTCTTAATATACACCAGCATGAATCTATGTACTGTCTTGATATACACTATCATGCATCTATATACTGTCTTAATATACAACATCATGAATCTATGTACTGTCTTAATATACACTAGCATGCATCTATATACTGTCTTAATATACAATATCATGAATCTATGTAGTTTCTTCATTTATGAAGATTATGTTACAATAAGGTGCTATTAGTTTTTATGTCTTACCTGTCTAACTTTCAGTTAAACGAAAGGCAAAAATAAAAATGAGTGCTACAGACAGGCATGGAGAGATGTTCAGGACAATAATATCAAAAAGATAAGGAGACTTACCTAGAGGCAGTTTATGGCTGTTGTCATAAGGGTCACATTCACTTCGGTAGGTCAGGAAAACACTGTCAGACATATAGTTCCTTCTCTTCCGCTTTTTCGGTAACTGTCAGTAGACACATTAAATGAGTGATCATCAGAAACATCCACAGTGTTGTCAGGTTATAAATATTGTAGGTGGTGAAGGTGATTTACAAGAGAAATATCACCAAGGGTTGATTGGTATAGTGTCCATGAGGAGAGAACTATCACCAAGGGTTGATTGGTATAGTGTCCATGAGGGGAGAAATATCACCAAGGGTTGATTGGTATAGTGTCCATGAGGAGAGAAATATCACCAAGGGTTGATTGGTATAGTGTCCATGAGGAGAGAAATATCACCAAGGGTTGATTGGTATAGTGTCCATGAGGAGAGAAATATCACCAAGGGTTGATTGGTATAGTGTCCATGAGGAGAGAAATATCACCAAGGGTTGATTGGTATAGTGTCCACGAGGGAAGAAATATCACCAAGGGTTGATTGGTATAGTGTCCATGAGGAGAGAAATATCACCAAGGGTTGATTGGTATAGTGTCCATGAGGAGAGAAATATCACCAAGGGTTGATTGGTATAGTGTCCATGAGGAGAGAAATATCACCAAGGGTTGATTGGTATAGTGTCCATGAGGAGAGAAATATCACCAAGGGTTGATTGGTATAGTGTCCATGAGGAGAGAAATATCACCAAGGGTTGATTGGTATAGTGTCCATGAGGAGAGAAATATCACCAAGGGTTGATTGGTATAGTGTCCATGAGGAGAGAAATATCACCAAGGGTTGATTGGTATAGTGTCCATGAGGAGAGAAATATCACCAAGGGTTGATTGGTATAGTGTCCATGAGGAGAGAAATATCACCAAGGGTTGATTGGTATAGTGTCCATGAGGAGAGAAATATCACCAAGGGTTGATTGGTATAGTGTCCACGAGGGAAGAAATATCACCAAGGGTTGATTGGTATAGTGTCCATGAGGAGAGAAATATCACCAAGGGTTGATTGGTATAGTGTCCATGAGGAGAGAAATATCACCAAGGGTTGATTGGTATAGTGTCCATGAGGAGAGAAATATCACCAAGGGTTGATTGGTATAGTGTCCATGAGGAGAGAACTATCACCAAGGGTTGATTGGTATAGTGTCCATGAGGAGAGAAATATCACCAAGGGTTGATTGGTATAGTGTCCATGAGGAGAGAAATATCACCAAGGGTTGATTGGTATAGTGTCCATGAGGAGAGAAATATCACCAAGGGTTGATTGGTATAGTGTCCATGAGGAGAGAAATATCACCAAGGGTTGATTGGTATAGTGTCCATGAGGAGAGAAATATCAGCAAGGGTTGATTGGTATAGTGTCCATGAGGAGAGAAATATCACCAAGGGTTGATTGGTACAGTGTCCATGAGGAGAGAAATATCACCAAGGGTTGATTGGTATAGTGTCCATGAGGGAAGAACTATCACCAAGGGTTGATTGGTATAGTGTCCATGAGGGGAGAACTATCACCAAGGGTTGATTGGTATAGTGTCCATGAGGGGAGAACTATCACCAAGGGTTGATTGGTATAGTGTCCATGAGGAGAGAAATATCACCAAGGGTTGATTGGTATAGTGTCCATGAGGAGAGAAATATCACCAAGGGTTGATTGGTATAGTGTCCATGAGGAGAGAAATATCACCAAGGGTTGATTGGTATAGTGTCCATGAGGAGAGAAATATCACCAAGGGTTGATTGGTATAGTGTCCATGAGGAGAGAAATATCACCAAGGGTTGATTGGTATAGTGTCCATGAGGGGAGAAATATCACCAAGGGTTGATTGGTATAGTGTCCATGAGGGTTGATTGGTATAGTATAGTGAGAAAGAAATATCACCAAGGGTTGATTGGTATAGTGTCGATGAGGAGAGAAATATCACCAAGGGTTGATTGGTATAGTGTCCATGAGGAGAGAAATATCACCAAGGGTTGATTGGTATAGTGTCGATGAGGAGAGAAATATCACCATGGGTTGATTGGTATAGTGTCGATTGGGTATAGTGTCCATGAGGAGAGAAATATCACCAAGGGTTGATTGGTATAGTGTCCATGAGGAGAGAAATATCACCAAGGGTTGATTGGTATAGTGTCCATGAGGGAAGAAATATCACCAAGGGTTGATTGGTATAGTGTCCATGAGGAGAGAAATATCACCAAGGGTTGATTGGTATAGTGTCCATGAGGGGAGAAATATCACCAAGGGTTGATTGGTATAGTGTCCATGAGGAGAGAAATATCACCAAGGGTTGATTGGTATAGTGTCCATGAGGAGAGAAATATCACCAAGGGTTGATTGGTATAGTGTCCATGTGGGGAGAAATATCACCAAGGGTTGATTGGTACAGTGTCCATGAGGAGGGAAATTTCACTATACAATGATGTATGAAATCACAAAAGCAATGAAATAATGCCACGTACATCAGAACCTATACCAGGCAATCATTAGTGGTTTATCAATGTATGAATGTTACCCTAAGCTTTAGTGAACTGTATCTCATCATTAATCATCCAAGTGGGATCTTTGTTGGTCCTTTTTATAGTGTTCCCTTAGTGTAATTTTATTTTTAGTTATAATATTAAGAATGCCGTAAAAATAATAATAACGAAAACCCCGTCAAAATCCGTCGCCCCAGTGTCGAGTTATTAAAGCTCAAAGTTGTTGATTTTCACCTGTCCGCTCAGACCTTATCAGCGTAATCGTCATTTCCGCGGAATCGAGGCACTTCTACTCGTAATGTCATAAGTTCAACAGAAATGGCAGCCAACATGACTGACAGTGACAACGACACCGCACCTGATAGCAATTTGAACACGAGTTTTGAGGAGTCTGATTATGGTGTGGATGATATTTCTGAAGACGAAATCCAACCCTACTAATTTGAACCAGAATTACAAGACGATGTATCCAGTGCGGAGCAAAATTACCCTTCGGAAAGTGACGATCGCTTGGGCAACATAGATTGACAGGTCTTGGGAATTTTCGTCAAGGGTATTTTCGTCCTGAGAATTTTCGTGCTACTAATATATAGTAGTACTATAGAATAGGTTATTTGTGTATAAGGTGTGTATGTTGTGTGTATAAGGTGTATATGGTTTTTAGACCTTCCAGCAGACATTGTTGTTTTAGTTTATTATTAAAGATTGTTAACATGATCAATGTGTTGTTTTGTTTTTATTACTCGTTTGTAAGGAGGTTTCACCGGCTAACAACAGATGTGTACCAGTAATTGGGTAAAAACCAGTCAAATCATTGTATAAACTTCTAAAACATCAAATTTTTATTATCAGCACAGCCGAGGGTGTTCTAATTGGTTGTTGATACCCTATCTATATACCCGGGACGAAAATTCCCCTCAGACAAAAAATTCTTCCGTAGGAAAATTCCCGACCCCGACTGGCAGGTACTTTACTGGGCCTCACCAGTAGTCATGAATGCATGCATCGAACAGTGAATCGTCGTTTCAAAGAAACAAGGGTGTTCTAATTGGTTGTTGATACCCTATCTATATACCCGGGACGAAAATTCCCCTCAGGCAAAAAATTCTTCAGTAGGAAAATTCCCGACCCCGACTGGCAGGTACTTTACTGGGCCTCACCAGTAGTCATGAATGCTTGCATCGAACAGTGAATCGTCGTTTCAAAGAAACAAAAAAAAATTGGGTGTGTTTTACGATCAACAATTTCTGACGTCGGGAAATTGCGACTAAGACTATGCATACATTCACGACTAGGCCTACTCTGTGTATTAGGCGTTCATGATTACGAAGGAATAATATTCCAATGACTGCCCAAGCCATAGGCTAGCCTATCAATGTTGTGTTTAGTTGTAGAATTAATTACAAAATATCAAACTAACAAATATACTTTTATTTAATCAACAATCAGTTTTATTTATCGACGGCATGTATCAACACCCCATCCGTGTTAGTATTAGGACAATCGTACGCTGCACACCGCTTCCCTCCTTGATAGGAAGCCATTTTAGCTGATTTAAGCGCTAATTCACCGACCCCTCATTCACTACCTTAGATATTGTGAAGATGTGAAGTACTTTCACGTAAATAAACAAAGAAATTAATCTGGGAAATCCCAAAATAGATCACAATCACATGTAGCACAGTCAAGACAATATGGCTGCATCACCAAAAGCGTTGAACTTATAATGTCACAGGTTTGGGTGCCTGAAAACGAGGTCAACGCCTCTCAGCCAAAGGTGTGTTTTTCAGAAAAGTCACAATTTCTCAGTAACTGAACATTCCACGGCATTCGCATTTTCGGCAATGTGTATTTTATGTGCAGAACTATTTTTTAAGGTCAACATAGGTGACCTCTCTGGGTACACTTTAACTTAGAACATTTCTTTTCTCTTATTACTTTTAATCATCAATTGGATCATAAAGGACATTACAAAAGATCAAATGAAACCTTCACATGAAAGAGCTATCCAGTACCTTTCAAGACAAGTAGACAACAAAAATCGGACATTCAGATGGCAGACCATGAACACTGGACCAAAGGTGCAGATTACAGGTGAATATTAATGATTATCAGCAGTACCTGGAATGATCTATGACGATTACGCCCATTGGTAGTCAAGATAATTGTGTCTGAATTCTGTTCATCAGGAGGAACATAGTAATCTTCATCTGGTGACACAGACATGGAGTAGATCTCTGCTCGGTCATGTATGTCTCTCTCCTCTAGCTACAACAGACAGATTATACCATGTATGTCTCTCTCCTCTAGTTACAACAGACAGATTATACCATGTATGTCTCTCTCCTCTAGTTACAACAGACAGATTATACCATGTATGTCTCTCTCCTCTAGTTACAACAGACAGATTATACCATGTATGTCTCTCTCCTCTAGTTACAACAGACAGATTATACCATGTATGTCTCTCTCCTCTAGTTACAACAGACAGATTATACCATGTACCTGGTATGTCTCTCTTCTAGTTACAACAGACAGATTTTACTATGTATGTCTCTCTCCTCTAGTTACAACAGACAGATTATACCATGTATGTCTCTCTCCTCTAGTTACAACAGACAGATATACCATGTACCTAGTATGTCTCTCTTCTAGTTACAACAGACAGATTTTACCATGTATGTCTCTCTCCTCTAGTTACAACAGACAGATTATACCATGTACCTGGTATGTCTCTCTTCTAGTTACAACAGACAGATTTTACCATGTATGTCTCTCTCCTCTAGTTACAACAGACAGATTATACAATGTATGTCTCTCTCCTCTAGTTACAACAGACAGATTATACCATGTACCTGGTATGTCTCTCTTCTAGTTACAACAGACAGATTTTACCATGTATGTCTCTCTCCTCTAGTTACAACAGACAGATTTTACCATGTATGTCTCTCTCCTCTAGTTACAACAGACAGATTATACCATGTATGTCTCTCTCCTCTAGTTACAACAGACAGATTATACCATGTATGTCTCCTAGCTATAAGATATATCAGTAAACAGATGATGCTGTCCTCAACATACCTTAGTAAACAGATATTCTTGTCCCCTCTCCAGCTTTTCCCTAATGCTTTTCCTGCGTTCCTCTTTCTTCAGGCATTCTTCCTCAACATCTGACAAGAAAACATAGATATAACAATGTTTCTGATACACTGTTTTCCCAGGACTACATTGTGGTTTGTAATAAGACCAATTATATAACTTTGGTTTTACAAATGTATTATAAGTACTCATTGGTTCCAAAAGGATCTGATAGTTTAATGGTATGATAAGTATGGTGACAAAGAGAGTGACATAGAGTGAGATTATTGTCCATACTTAATTTTGTATCAGTTTAATAAATTGCTGTTTTTACAAAGAGAGGGACATAGAATGAGATTATTACATATACTAGATTTTTGATAAATTTTGATAAATTACTGTTTTTACAGTTGTTGACATTTGTAACTGAGTAATATCATTAATGAACAGAATCTTATAGTAATTTCCTACCTATCTTAACTCAATATAATCAAAGGTTGGCTAGCCTTCCATACTCAATACACTAAATGATGGCTAGCCTTCCATACTCAATACACTAAATGATGGCTAGCCTTCCATACTCAATACACTAAATGATGGCTAGCCTTCCATACTCAATACAATAAATGATGGCTAGCCTTCCATACTCAATACACTAAATGATGGCTACCTATCCTAACTCAATACAATCAAAGATTGGCCAGCCTTCCATACTCAATACACTAAATGATGGCTACCTATCCTAACTCAATATAATCAAAGGTTGGCTAGCCTTCCATACTCAATACACTAAATGATGGCTAGCCTTCCATACTCAATACACTAAATGATGGCTAGCCTTCCATACTCAATACACTAAATGATGGCTAGCCTTCCATACTCAATACACTAAATGATGGATACCTATCTTAACTCAAAACAATCAAAGATTGGCCAGACTTCCATACTCAATACACTAAATGATGGCTAGCCTTCCATACTCAATACACTAAATGATGGCTAGCCTTCCATACTCAATACACTAAATGATGGCTAGCCTTCCATACTCAATACACTAAATGATGGCTAGACTTCCATACTCAATACACTAAATGATGGCTAGCCTTCCATACTCAATACAGTAAATGATAGCTACCTATCCTAACTCAATACAATCAAAGATTGGCTAGCCTTCCATACTCAATGCACTAAATGATGGCTAGCCTTCCATACTCAATACACTAAATGATGGCTACCTATCCTAACTCAATATAATCGAAGGTTGGCTAGCCTTCCATACTCAATACACTAAATGATGGCTAGCCTTCCATACTCAATACACTAAATGATGGCTAGCCTTCCATACTCAATACACTAAATGATGGCTAGCCTTCCATACTCAATACACTAAATGATGGCTAGCCTTCCATACTCAATACACTAAATGATGGCTAGCCTTCCATACTCAATACACTAAATGATGGCTAGCCTTCCATACTCAATACACTAAATGATGGCTAGACTTCCATACTCAATACACTAAATGATGGCTAGCCTTCCATACTCAATACAGTAAATGATGGCTATCCTTCCATACTCAATACACTAAATGATGGCTATCCTTCCATACTCAATACACTAAATGATGGCTAGCCTTCCATACTCAATACACTAAATGATGGCTAGACTTCCATACTCAATACACTAAATGATGGCTAGCCTTCCATACTCAATACACTAAATGATGGCTACCTATCTTAACTCAATACAATCAAAGATTGGCTAGCCTTCCATACTCAATGCACTAAATGATGGCTAGCCTTCCATACTCAATACACTAAATGATGGCTACCTATCCTAACTCAATATAATCAAAGGTTGGCTAGCCTTCCATACTCAATACACTAAATGATGGCTAGCCTTCCATACTCAATACACTAAATGATGGCTACCTATCCTAACTCAATACAATCAAAGATTGGCCAGCCTTCCATACTCAATACACTAAATGATGGCTACCTATCCTAACTCAATATAATCAAAGGTTGGCTAGCCTTCCATACTCAATGCACTAAATGATGGCTAGCCTTCCATACTCAATACACTAAATGATGGCTAGCCTTCCATACTCAATACACTAAATGATGGCTACCTATCCTAACTCAATATAATCAAAGGTTGGCTAGCCTTCCATACTCAATACACTAAATGATGGCTAACCTTCCATACTCAATACACTAAATGATGGCTAGACTTCCATACTCAATACAATAAATGATGGCTAGCCTTCCATACTCAATACACTAAATGATGGCTAGCCTTCCATACTCAATACACTAAATGATGGCTACCTATCCTAACTCAATATAATCAAAGGTTGGCTAGCCTTCCATACTCAATACACTAAATGATGGCTAGCCTTCCATACTCAATGCACTAAATGATGGCTAGCCTTCCATACTCAATACACTAAATGATGGCTAGCCTTCCATACTCAATACACTAAATGATGGCTAGCCTTCCATACTCAATACACTAAATGATGGCTACCTATCCTCAATACACTAAATGATGGCTACCTATCCTAACTCAATATAATCAAAGGTTGGCTAGCCTTCCATACTCAATACACTAAATGATGGCTAGCCTTCCATACTCAATACACTAAATGATGGCTAGACTTCCATACTCAATACACTAAATGATGGCTACCTATCCTAACTCAATACACTAAATGATGGCTAGCCTTCCATACTCAATACACTAAATGATGGCTAGCCTTCCATACTCAATACACTAAATGATGGCTACCTATCCTAACTCAATACAATCAAAGATTGGCTAGTCTTCCATACTCAATACACTAAATGATACCTGAGGATTTGCTTACTTCCAGACTCAGTAGACAATATACCTGAGGATTTGCTAGCTTGCATACTTAATAGACAATATACTAAGGATTTGCTAACTTCCAGACTCAATAGACAATATACCTGAGGATTTGCTAACTTCCAGACTCAATAGACAATATACCAGAAGATTTGCTAGCCTTCATGCATAATGGCTAATATACAGGAGGATCTGCTAGCTTTCATACTCAATAGTCAATATATGAGAGGATTTGCTAGCCTTCATGCTTATTAGTCAATACATTAGACAATTGGATCGCTATCCATACTCATAAGTCAATACTCCTGATGATTTGCTAGATGTCCATATGCAATACTCTTGAGCACTGACTCGCAAGAAAAAAATCAATATTTAATACACTAAGGGATTGGCTTTTTGGAGAGGAATTGCCACCTTCTTCAAAAATATTTTCTACAACAGTGTTGTCCTTGTGATCATTATCCCTTTCATGGGTATTTATCTTCATAAATAATAGCACACTATCTGTAGAAAGGGCAAAGTGAGAGAAAGTAAAATAACTATAGATGATTCAGTACCTTGTGTTTAGTAAGATCATTGGGTACTGCTGTAACAGTATGTGAGTGTATACCTCTCATATCATTCAGGTCTGTCAGATCGGGATCAAAGCGAGGAACATCCAATGAAAGTTTGTGACGTTTTGATCTTTTTAGGTGACTACGCTCTCGTTTTCTCCTTTTTTTCGTCTGTCCATCACAGGTATCCTTGTGTGTAACATGCTTCTTATGACTGCAGTTTGTTGTGGTAAAGGGTAACCTGATCTGATATATCTGAACCTCGTCATAACAATCTCGTATCTGCACACCAGCCTGTGATGTATGAGCCACTGCCTGTGTCCTCCTCCCCGACATTTTAGTGTTGGACTTCATATTGATGATGGGAATATTGTAGCCATAATTACAACTGTATGTGTCAGAATCTGCTCTCATTTCTATCTGAAAACAATAAATATTCACAGACGTAGTAGAGTATTGAAAGGTTCTCTTTGTCAATAAAGTATTGTGTAGGTGAATTTGTTCCTGATCTTCGAGGTATGATATATATAATCACATAAATAAAAAATTATTCAAAACCTAGCTGAGCAAGAATTTCAATTGAATATCCACATATATTTCATTTATATATAGATTTACTTTTTGTTTGCTTTTTGTTGATTTTTTTTAAACTATTGACACAATCAATTCAATTTATTTGATACCATACGACAGTTTTATTTTGGTAAATTAATCAAATATGCTACCTTTGCATAAATAGATACATGTTGAACATTTTTGTTAAATTCAATCAGTCATTTAATGTAAAATAAGACAGTAGAGATTGAAGTCCCTGATCTGTGGATGATGATCCCAATGTTTATATAGGTACTGGTCAAGTTCTGTGGTTGAGGGTTTAGGTCAAAATCTGTTCTGATCACAATTTAAATAATGATTTGCATTATTTATCTATGTAATCCAATGAACGATGCTCCTTTTTTAAAATAAATAATGATTTAACATTTTTATTTGTATCAAAAAGTCTAAGATCTTCTGTGTTACCACTAGCACGAAATACATTGAATGAGATTTGGACAGAGTTAGTAAGATAACGAAAGGTGCGCTATTTCGACATCGTCTGGTGTACCCGTTTTCTTTAAATTTTCTCTGTTCCTTTTATCTCTAAGTGCATATTGAAAAGTCTACAGTCCTTATTGTTTTATTGTACCGTCAGGTGTCTGATATTACATTTTGTAAGTGTACTGAAAACCACGCCCCTCCCCAAGAAACCGACAAAGTAAAATCCGCGGGACTTTCAAAAACAACGAGAGCACATTTTCACGATGGCATAGGACAAAGGAAATACAAATCAAAGATGGTTTAGAACATTTGCTCTCAACAGTGAGTGAATAAACAGTTAGATAAAATATGGATTGGTCAACCTATATACCAAAATAACCTTCGATAGAAGACCGAGATGATATCAGTATAATAGTGACAGGTCTATCAAATCGAGCTAGCATCAATGATGTCGATGTTTTACATCCTGTTTCGATAGTATTTAACATTCATCATCATTGTCATCGAATTGGTGTTTACCATACCTTGTGTTTGAGCTGTTCTATGAGAAGGTCCGTGTCCACGTGATGGAAACTGACACTCTTTAGAAATCAACAATAGTTATCGACATCGTCTGCTTCGGAAAATGACCCCGACGAACTCTAGTAAACTGTTTCAATTGGTTTAAAAAGACCACGTGAACGACTGCCGCGAAAAAGGAGGAGTATATTTCGCGCTAAAATGAATAAACTTACAAAACTGGTTACTAACAACCAAAATTGAAAACCGGGTTAGTTTTCAGCCATTAAAATAGTGATGTTTATGCATTTTGGGTGCGTCGACGCAAGTTTAATATACATATATTTAATCTATAGAATCTGATTAAACTTCTCCGTAAATACTTACGTTGAAATTAAGATTAAAAAGTACATAGCAAAACACGAAGTTTGTGTATTTCTTTATTACCGTGTATTTACGTGTAAAAAAATCCACATAAATGGAATGCAGGAGTTCCAAACAAGTATAACGTATATTTGCTGAATGTGATGACTCTGCATTGCTTTGACAGATATTGAACAAACTTCTAATTGTTTATAGTATTTTTTCCCCATTCTTTATGCTCCCCGCAAACAGGTTGAGGGACTACATAGGGATCGCCATATCTGTCTGTCCATCTGTACGGAAGAAAGTCGACCCATGATAGTAAATGAAAAAGACTCACTTTCAAGAATCGAACAACGTAGATGTTTTGACAGAAATTGTGATATTCAGCATGATAAACATCTTATGATAAACACATGTGACACATGTACATACGTAACACCTGGGTATAATGTATTTCCTAATCAATATATGGTATTTTAGAAGCCATCTTAAAAGTAAAACATTCTTGTTATCCTGTTATACCTACCCTTATTTTATCAGTCAGAAATCTGTAACGCAGATATTATTTGTAATAGGGTTAAGTTTTATGTAATTTTGGCCGCTTCTTCGTTATCCTAAATGTATGTATATATATTGCGTCTATATGTCCAGTTATTGTGTCTATTATAATTACAACTGTGATATTATCAGTATATTACGTGAGATATCTGTAATGTGTTTTATGTATGCAGATGGAACCGGATATGGTATTCGCCCTCATTATTCTTGAAATAACCACCAAATTTACATATTTGTTTAGGCCAAATAACTTCGTTCGTTTTCCAAGGAACAAGAGTTATTATTCATTTATTTAACAGCTGGTATCTGAATGCAGATAAAGAAGTTTTAAGATAACATATTTTATAATTGATATCGTTTATAAATGAAAGTTAATTGGTCTTTCATACTTGCCTGTAAAAAGGCACAGATTTGGTCAGTCTTGAGGTATAACCGCTACTTCTTTTTAAATGTTAAGCTATCACGTCAAAATTCAAATACTATTGCCAATACTAACATAAATGATGAAATGCCAACTACACGAGTGAATACATATGGCATTATCTGATAACATAGTACGCGTTGTCTGGTCCCTAAGTCGGGAACATGCGGAAACTGACTTCATCGGTGTTTTATATTGCCGTTATAATAAGCGAATTAATTTGGAAGGACAGGTGATTTGACTCAGGGTAAGGTAGTGCAGTTCACGATTACTTCTTGTAATATACATTATTAAAACTAATCGAATTAAAACTGATTAAACTTTTGTGTGTGTAACTCTTTTTGGCTGTATAGCTGTACAGAATATTACAAGTGTAAAATGCATTGCAAAACATGATGATTCAAGTATGTATGGTTAGTAAGAAGTCATTTTGAATTTCTGACAAATTAGACTTCTATGACCTGGATGCCACACCACTCCATAAGCTTAAAAGACAGACAGCTGACAATAGACAGAAAGGTGATGTTACCTCATTTCATCAGCTAGGAATACAATTGATAATGGAGCTCCATCAGCTTGATACACAGACAGCTGGTGTTGTACCGCTGATGTTGTACCGCTGATGTTGTACCACTCCATAAGATTGATAGATAGACAGCTGATGTACCACTCCATAAGATTGATAGACAGACAGCTGATGCTGTACCACTCCATAAGCTTGATAGACAGACAGCTGATGCTGTACCACTCTATAAGCTTGATCGACAGACAGCTGATGCTGTACCACTCCATAAGGTTTATAGACAGACAGCTGATGCTGTACCACTCCATAAGCTTGATAGATAGACAGCTGATGCTGTACCACTTCATAAGCTTGATAGCTGATGCTGTACCACTCCATAAGCTTGGTAGACAGATGGCTGATGCTGTACCACTCCATAAGCTTGATAGACAGACAGCTGATGATGTACCACTCCATAATATTGATAGACAGACAGCTGATGCTGTACCACTCCATCAGCTTGATAGACAGACAGCTGATGATGTACCACTCCATAAGATTGATAGACAGACAGCTGATGCTGTACCACTCCATAAGCTTGATAGACAGACAGCTGATGCTGTACCACTCCATAAGCTTGATAGACAGACAGCTGATGCTGTACCACTGTACCACTCCATAAGGTTTATAGACAGACAGCTGATGCTGTACCACTCCATAAGCTTGATAGATAGACAGCTGATGCAGTACCACTTCATAAGCTTGATAGCTGATGCTGTACCACTCCATAAGCTTGGTAGACAGATGGCTGATGCTGTACCACTCCATAAGCTTGATAGACAGACAGCTGATGATGTACCACTCCATAATATTGAGACAGACAGCTGATGCTGTACCACTCCATAAGCTTGATAGACAGCTGATGCTGTACCACTCCATAAGCTTGATAGACAGACAGCTGATGATGTACCACTCCATAATATTGAGACAGACAGCTGATGCTGTACCACTCCATCAGCTTGATAGACAGACAGCTGATGATGTACCACTCCATAATATTGATAGACAGACAGCTGATGTTGTACCACTCCATAATTTTGATAGATAGATGCTGTACCACTCCATAAGCTTGATAGACAGCTGATGCTGTACCACTCCATAAGCTTGATAGACAGACAGCTGATGATGTACCACTCCATAAGCTTGATAGACAGCTGATGCTGTACCACTCCATAAGCTTGGTAGACAGATGGCTGATGCTGTACCACTCCATAAGCTTGATAGACAGACAGCTGATGATGTACCACTCCATAATATTGATAGACAGACAGCTGATGCTGTACCACTCCATCAGCTTGATAGACAGACAGCTGATGATGTACCACTCCATAATATTGATAGACAGACAGCTGATGTTGTACCACTCCATAATTTTGATAGATAGATGCTGTACCACTCCATAAGCTTGATAGACAGCTGATGCTGTACCACTCCATAAGCTTGATAGACAGACAGCTGATGCTGTACCACTCCATCAGCTTGATAGACAGACAGCTGATGATGTACCACTCCATAAGGTTTATAGACAGACAGCTGATGCTGTACCACTCCATAAGCTTGAAAGACAGACAGCTGATGCTGTACCACTCCATAAGGTTTATAGACAGACAGCTGATGCTGTACCACTCCATAAGCTTGATAGACAGCCGATGCTGTACCACTCTATAAGCTTGATATACAGCTGATGCTGTACCACTCCATAAGCTTGATAGACAGACAGCTGATGCTGTACCACTCTATAAGCTTGATCGACAGACAGCTGATGCTGTACCACTCCATAAGGTTTATAGACAGACAGCTGATGCTGTACCACTCCATAAGCTTGATAGATAGACAGCTGATGCAGTACCACTTCATAAGCTTGATAGCTGATGCTGTACCACTCCATAAGCTTGTTAGACAGATGGCTGATGCTGTACCACTCCATAAGCTTGATAGACAGCTGATGCTGTACCACTCCATAAGCTTGATAGACAGACAGCTGATGCTGTACCACTCCATCAGCTTGATAGACAGACAGCTGATGATGTACCACTCCATAAGGTTTGTAGACCAGCTCCACTAATTTTGATAGATAGATGCTGTACCACTCCATAAGCTTGATAGACCACTCCATAAGCTTGATAGACAGACAGCTGATGCTGTACCACTCCATAAGGTTTATAGACAGACAGCTGATGCTGTACCACTCCATAAGCTTGATAGACAGCCGATGCTGTACCACTCTATAAGCTTGATATACAGCTGATGCTGTACCACTCCATCAGCTTGATAGACAGACAGCTGATGATGTACCACTCCATAAGGTTTATAGACAGACAGCTGATGCTGTACCACTCCATAAGCTTGAAAGACAGACAGCTGATGCTGTACCACTCCATAAGGTTTATAGACAGACAGCTGATGCTGTACCACTCCATAAGCTTGATAGACAGCCGATGCTGTACCACTCTATAAGCTTGATATACAGCTGATGCTGTACCACTCCATGAGCTTGATAGACAGTTGCTGCTGTACCACTCCATAAGCTTGATAGACAGCTAATGCTGTACCACTCCATAAGCTTGATAGACAGATAGCTGATGCTGTACCACTCCATAAGCTTGATAGACAGACAGCTGATGGTCAATAATGCTTCTATAATGTAAGTCATAAGGTCACTTGTCCATTGGACAGGTAATAATTATTAAGGCCAAAATCATTTTTATAATTTTTTTACTCCAAATCAATAAGATTTATCAAATCCACAAATACATTTTCTACAATTTGTTTATACAAAACATGCATTGTATTTGATGGCGACTCTACATCATAGTACAGTGCTGACATCAGAAACCATGTCACCAGTCCAAGGGTGTAGTTTCCTTGTCTATATATCATTCATTATAAATTATATATATATAACAGTTCCCTGCTTATCTCATTATATCCTATAAGCAGAATTAAGACAATAACAACAATGTTAACTAACTAGAAATCCATATATTCTGTTCATTATTAGAAATCAATATATTCTGTTCATTTTTAGAAATCCATATATTCAGTTCATATGTAAAAAAAATCCATGTGTTCAATTCATTTTTAGAAATCCATATATTCAGTTCATTTGAAAAAAAATCCATATGTTCAATTCATTTTTAGAAACCCATATATTGTTCATTTTTAGAAATCCATATATTCTGTTCATTTTTAGAAATCCATATATTCAGTTCATTTGTAAAAAAAAATCCATGTGTTCAATTCATTTTTAGAAATCCATATATTCAGTTCATTTTAAGCATTTGTGAAATAAACACTATTTGTACAGTGGGTTTTGAGGCTTTAGTTAAGAAAAAAAAAGAAAAAAAAGACTCAAATTTTGTTCACAAAATAGACAAGACATCCCAAATATCAAAATGTTATTCTTAATAATGTTCACTTTAATGAACCAACTGTGTAAATATGTTCTTAACATTAAAATTACATTACCAAGGTGTATTACAGACTACTCTGTTGTGAGTTTTGACAGCAGAAAAAAATTATCAAAACAAAACACCAGTTACAATGCAAAGGACAAATTTTGAGAAAATGAAATCATATTTTAAATCAAAAGACAAGATTTTCTTTCTTAATTCTGCATTGAAGCTTGAAAGTTCATAATATTAAAGTGTTAGTAACACTAGCATAGACACAAGAGTGTTTTTCTTTTGTAACACAAAAAGATTCTATGTAGAGGGACAATAAGCGGTGGACATATTATGTACATGTGGAGTTACAAATTAATACTTCTAAAATAAATCAGAACTATTAGTATTGAATACATCAATATATTCATTCAGAAATATTTTTTAACATAATTTCTTCAATTTTATATTTATACAACCCATCAATTAATGTGAGCTTCAACTACACTTAACCTGACATTTGAACTCCCGGGTCCCTTGGCCACTAAACCTACAGGTATAGCCTGACTTTTAACCTCCCTGGGTCACCAAACGTACTGGTAAAGCCTGACATTTAACCTCCCTGGGTCACCAAACGTACTGGTAAAGCCTGATTTTAACCTACCTGGGTCACCAAACCTACTGGTAAAGCCGGACTTTTAACCTACCTGTGTCATCAAACCTACTGGAAAAGCCGGACTTTTAACCTACCTGGGTAAACAAACCTACTAGTAAAGCCTGACATTTAACCTCCCTGGGTCAACAAACCTACTGGTAAAGCCTGACATTAAACCTCCCTGGGTCACCAAACGTACTGGTAAAGCCTGACTTTTAACCTACCTGGGTCACCAAACCTACTTGTAGTGCCGGACTTTTAACCTTCCTGGGTCAACAAACCTACTGGTAAAGCCTGACTTTTAACCAACCTGGGTCACCAAACGTACTGGTAAAGCCAGACATTTAACCTACCTGTGTCATCAAACCTACTGGTAAAGCCAGACTTTTAACCTACCTGGGTCAACAAACCTACTAGTAAAGCCTGACATTTAACCTCCCTGGGTCATCAAACCTACTGGTAAAGCCTGACTTTTAACCTCCCTGGGTCATCAAACCTACTGGTAAAGCCTGACTTTTAACCTTCCTGGGTCACCAAACCTACAGGTAAAGCCTGACTTTTAACCTCCCTGGGTCAACAAACCTACTGGTAAAGCCTGACTTTTAACCTCCCTGGGTCATCAAACCTACTGGTAAAGCCTGAGTTTTGTCCTCCCTGGGCCACGAAACCTAATTTCTGGTATTTTTTGTTTGTTTGAAAGAAACATTGTTGAACAATAAATATATTTCTTTTCCTATGAAGTAAGAATCTCAGTTTCCAAACAGCAATGTAATAGTTTAATAATTTAATGGAAACAATTACTGCACACCAACTTCCTTTTGCATGTGATTTACTTCCACAAATTTTCCGATCAAAACAAATTTGTGGAAGTTATCGCAGTAAATTAAGTCTGGAATAACTCCATTATATATGAAGTATTCCATGGTGGCTACAAGTTCTATTTATCTCTGTTTCTAAAGACATTGATACCTGTATAGACTTGGTATATATACTTCTCCATTAATCAAATATGGTACATTTCATAAAACCGCTGAGTAGAGAAAAAGTAAACTGATAAAAACAATGTGAACTTGCCACTCTAAAAGTTTGTAGATGCCAAAGAGAGCTGGTTTACAGTACCTAGAAAGATGATCTGTTTAATCTCATAACAGCAGCTTTTGAAAGAATCTGACACATTTGACACCTTGATATATATTCGTATCAACTCAAAATGATCTTTTTGATCCTAAACGACAATGAAAGATAGCTTCAATAGGTGGCTTCAGCATACAACCTTCAAAAATTAGTTCTAATAGACAATTCTCTTCTTTAACATATTAATTAAACATAACATCATTCCTGCTTAGAGTTAAATCACTTTGACACCATTTTGATTTGATGCTGTTTTTTTCTTCTAACTTCTAACGTCAGAACACAGCAGCTGAACATAACTACAAGGAAAAACTTTCTTACTGAAATATTTTCGAATAAATGTCTGATGAAAATCGTAAAATCGCAATTCAGAAAAATTTGAACTTTTAGAAAAGGCCATACAAAATATTTCTATTAATCTAAAAAACAAATTAATTGACGACTGAATAAATATCAATAAAACTTGTGTTTTTAAGTTCTTTCTAAAAAAGTAAAGAAACAGAAATACATGGCAGACTTTCCAGCACCAACAAGTAGATTCAAACTCAAGATTACAACATTATATAACATTGGTAATAAAAAACTACAGTGTATATAGAATCTCAATAAATATTAAACATAATCAGATAAATCAATCTCATGATTTACATATCATTTCTATTCTAGTATATAATAGGTTGATGTCATAGATTTATATATATATAAGTTATAGCAGCTGATATTACACATGTATAGGCTCGCGGACCAGCTACAACTCAAAAATGATCATGCCTCGTAATACACTGACTGTTGTCACATGGCCTGTAACACCAGATGGGGCGTACTTCCCTATATACACTGAAATTTGGCTGATATTATACATTGTTAATGTAATATTTGGGTGACTTGGTACAATAACTGTGGTCACATGGACTGTAACACCAGATGGGGCGCACTTCCCTATATACACTGAAATATGGCTGATATACACTGTTAATGTCATATTTGGGTGACTTGATATAATAACTGTGGTCACATGGACTGAAACACCAGATGGGGCATACTTCCCTATATACACTGAAGTATGGACAACACTATATATGATGATGATAAGCGTGTTTATCAATAATAATTAATATATACCAACAATCTCTCTGACTAGTCATCAGGAATCTAAGGGTGAACTCCATAATCACCAAATATCTCTCCTTTAAACATAAGACACATTTTTTCAATAAGAATATTTTCCTTCGATTTGTAACCTGTGTGAGGGGGGAGTGATCCAGTTATCTCTCTTTGATACATATCCACTTACATAAAAATCATAGAAAGTTTTGTTAGAACTGTTAGTCCTGACACATAATTTGAGACTAACAGATAAGATTTTGAATGTTAAGGTATACAACATGCTTCAATATGAAGCTACAAAGTAAAAAACTGAAGCACTCACTCTCACTCATTTTCTCTATAATCTTACACTGATAGACATACACCAAGCATAACATATCACCATCAGTCAATCTCTAGTGATAATTTAGCTTAACTTTTCTTTAAGCTTGAAGCAAAGATTTAACTTGGCAAATGACATTTAATTTGATATCCAAACTCATACAGCTTTTACACAACTTAAAAAACAAAAAATGAAAATATCTGCAAGACATCAATACCCCAGTTTCCATTGATGTATGTATCATTATTTGACAAATTTGTAGAAGTTGTTAATTGTGACTTTTGACCTTTTTACCCATCTTAATGACCTTTTTAATATCACTGTGTGTAGACCTTGATGTTATGATTCTCTGGAGTAAATATGAACCAAATTTATAGAGAGGTTCTTAGGATATGACACTTATTCAAAACGAGACAGACAGACACCCCCATCCAAAAAGGCCAGAGCATACAAACAAGACAAAAAAAAATTAATCTGTCACACTGCAATATCTAACATTCAATATTCACTTTTATCTTCGGTCAGGAGGCTGTGTTTATTGTCAGCCAATGTCACTTTCACCCTCAGTCAGGAGGCTGTTTATAGTCAGCCAATGTCACTTTCACCCTCAGTCAGGAGGCTGTGTTTATTGTCAGCCAATGTCACTTTCACCCTCAGTCAGGAGGCTGTGTTTATAGTCAGCCAATGTCACTTTCACCCTCAGTCAGGAGGCTGTGTTATTGTCAGCCAATGTCACTTTCACCCTCAGTCAGGAGGCTGTGTTTATAGTCAGCCAATGTCACTTTCACCCTCAGTCAGGAGGCTGTGTTTATTGTCAGCCAATGTCACTTTCACCCTCAGTCAGGAGGCTGTTTTTATTGTTAGCCAATGTCACTTTCACCCTCAGTCAGGAGGCTGTGTTTATTGTCAGCCAATGTCACTTTCACCCTCAGTCAGGAGGCTGTTTTTATTGTTAGCCAATGTCACTTTCACCCTCAGTCAGGAGGCTGTTTTTATTGTTAGCCAATGTCTTTTTCACCCTCAGTCAGGAGGCTGTGTTTATTGTCAGCCAATGTTACTTTCACCCCCCAGTCAGGAGGCTGTGTTTATAGTCAGCCAATGTCACTTTCACCCTCAGTCAGGAGGCTGTTTTTATTGTTAGCCAATGTCACTTTCACCCTCAGTCAGGAGGCTGTGTTTATTGTCAGCCAATGTCACTTTCACCCTCAGTCAGGAGGCTGTTTTTATTGTTAGCCAATGTCTTTTTCACCCTCAGTCAGGAGGCTGTGTTTATTGTCAGCCAATGTCACTTTCACCCTCAGTCAGGAGGCTGTTTTTATTGTCAGTCAATGTAACTTTCACCCTCAGTCAGGAGGCTGTGTTTATTGTCAGCCAATGTCACTTTCACCCTCAGTCAGGAGGCTGTTTTTATTGTCAGCCAATGTCACTTTCACCCTCAGTCAGGAGGCTGTGTTTATTGTCAGCCAATGTCACTTTCACCCTCAGTCAGGAGGCTGTTTTTATTGTCAGCCAATGTCACTTTCACCCTCAGTCAGGAGGCTGTTTTTATTGTCAGCCAATGTCACTTTCACCCTCAGTCAGGAGGCTGTTTTTATTGTCAGCCAATGTCACTTTCACCCTCAGTCAAGAGGCTGTTTTTATTGTCAGTCAATGTTACTTTCACCCTCGGTCAGGAGGCTGTTTTTATTGTCAGCCAATGTCACTTCACCCTCAGTAAAGAGGCTGTGTTTATTGTCAGCCAACGTAAGGACATTGTTTTCTCTGTATTTACAAATTTTTTATGATGAAATTAACACTTTGTGAATAAAACTCTGCAGAGTGATTATACATTTTGTATTTTAGGGAATATATCCCTGTACATAGTATTATAAACTAATACATTTAAACACATATCACCATTTTTCCTATTTCTTGAATAAGCATATCATGATTTGTCTGTCTGTGTTTCTCTGTTCCAGTAACAACAGTCTATAGAAGCATGTGTGTAGTGTCATCTACCGCTCCACTAAATATCTCCAGGGATCAGACCAAATGGACAGTCACTTATCGGTACATTACTGGTATTAAAACTGACCACCAGAGTTAGGTAGATTGTACAGTATAAAAAGCCTAAGGTTTGCTGATTCATGGCTACGTCCCAGTTCCATCCTGGTCAATAAATCGAACATGGGTGAATGGAAATATTCCTTTCCGTCCTTGAATCTCTCCTTCCCATTGCCCATTTTTATTCATTTTAGTCACTGTTACAATTTCACCTTTCTGTAAAACAAATATAAACAAAGATCAACCTTATACCACCAGTTAATGAACACATGAGTAACACAGAGGTAACAGATCACCTGTTTACTACTGTAAATCAATCAAATTTCATGAATGCTTTATTTTTGAGAACGTACCACTTCAGACATATCTGCGAATACCTGTGTACATGATTTTGCAAATGCTGATCTAGATATAACTTTAAATTTGTAATAATGAGCTAAAAGAAGACATAGACTGTGTAAGACCATGATATTGGTAACTAAATCAAGATGGATGCTAATCGTAAGTTATTTTCATTCAGATTATCAAGGGGGATTTGAATTCATCATTAGCTCGTCACATATTATTATGAAAATAACCCCCACCTGAAATACAAGTGTTTTATAGTATCTGTATAGTATAAGGGCAAAACAGATTTAAAATGGTCACAGACATAACATGTCAAAAACCTCATAAGAAAACCTCAGATCTAACAAGGCCTAACCCTGTCAGTATCTATAGGGCCAAGAGTTAACCACTTGAAGTATACAGAAAAGTGACTCAAATATTCTGAGAAAAGCATCTAGATACGGCACATGTGACCAGCAAGTTGATAAGACATATTCAAAAGCAAAGAAAATTAACATTGAAGTTGTGTTTTTCTTTTTCTTTTCTTTTTTCTTTTTTAAAAACTAGACGCCAGAACAGCTCAAGGTGTCACACATCCAAAAACAAATTCGCACAACTAGGGACCTACATATGAAATTAAAAAAAAAATCAATCCAGTACTTCTCAAGAAACAGAAATAACAAACTTTCAAAGCCAAAATCAAAGATGCCGACTTTTCTGCTATTTTGTTTTTTTTTATCAGTCCAATAATTAGATGGGCACAACTAGGGACCAAAAGGACTCTACATATGAAATTTGAGAAAGATCTATACAATTATGTTTCAGATCAGTCCAATAATTAAATAACAATTACAAACTTTCAAGTTGAAATACAAGATGGCAGCCTGCCAGCCATTTTGTATGTTTTTTTTAATCAAACCCAAAATAAAATGGTCACAACTAGGGATCAAGGGGAACCTACATACGCAATGAAATATCCATCCAGTAATTCTAAAGAAATAGCCATAACAAAAATTGTTCATTGACGGACGAACCACACACGCAGAGTGATTTTGAATAGCCCACCATCTAATGATGGTCGGCTCAAGACTGATTGTAATACTGTTTGGAAAACTTTGATTGATCCTACTTGTATGGAGTACCTCAAGGTAAGGATAGACAATTCAATATGTCATATATGTATGGTTAGATTCTAACATACAGAGAAGGATTGAAATGAGTAAAATTCAAATGTAAGTTCAAATTTTGACATTTATGGTGAAGAAGAATAAATGAAAATCTCACCTCTAATTTCAATTGTGTCTTGTCGTAAAGGTTTGGTATTCGTGGCTGTATAACTACTGCCAATGCCGGCAATTTTACCTAAAAAAACAATACGATCAAACATTACTTCTTTGTAAAATTTATATAATACACAATAAGTTAGTAACTTTTTAAAAACTATTTTTAACAATCTTTACATTGTGTGCTGTTTCCTTACTCTTTCAGACAAAATCTATGGATTCCTTACTCTTTCAGACAAAATCTATGGATTCCTTACTCTTTCTGACAAAATCTATGGATTCCTTACTCTTTCTGACAAAACCTATGGATTCCTTACTCTATCTAACAAAATCTATTGTTTACTTACTCTATCTGACAAAATCTATTCTTTCTTTATGCCATCTGACAAAATCTTTTGTTTACTTACTCCATCTGACAAAATTTATTGTTTACTTACTCCATCTGACAAAATTTATTGTTTACTTACTCCATCTAACAAAAGGTATTGTATCTATGTGTGATTTTACAGATGAGAGGGTTGTCTTAAGTTTCTAATCTATCTTTGATACTTCCTGTAACTGTTGATGAGAATTTCTATAAATGTGACATTTTACAGATGAGAGGGTTGTCTTAAGTTTCTAATCTATCTTTGATACTTCCTGTAACTGTTGATGAGAATTTCTATAAATGTGACATTTTACAGATGAGAGAGTTGTCTTAAGTTTCTAATCTATCTTTGATACTTCCTGTTACTGATAAAGCATATGGACTTGTTCTATTAGGAAGTACTTCTGTTAAGGACAGACTACCAGAATAATATCAACAGATAAGGTCATCTCACAGCATTATTTGTCATTTGACACAGTTAATGCAGCAATTTCCTTTAATTGTTTACCTATTGTCACACTACTTGTCAACATAAAGAGTTTGTTCTATGTAAGGTTTACATGTCAAGCTTGTTTAATTCACTTCCTACATTTCTGAATTGATTTGCAGTAGTGTAAATCAATGATATCTTCTATTTCCTGGACAAAGTTTTCCTTGTAATAAAATCAAAACGTAACAAAAACCAAAATACTGATTATAAAATAGAAATAAACCCACTCCTGCTGTGAAGGAAATAGAACAAATTCTAGTTCAAAAATTATAGAAATTTGATTTTTTTTCTCATTGATGTGCCAGACAAGATGTATACATGTAAATCACAAACTACACAACTGTATTGTAGTACTTATGATGCAAGCTTTAGCATGCAGGGGAACAGAAAGTATGTGCAGGAATTTAAATGACTTGAAAATGTTTGGTGTAGACTGTACATATACTTGATGGTAAAGGACATATACCTGATGGCAAATATTTCCATGCTAACATAACACATGACCAGTGTATATATATATTTATGAAGCAAACTTGTTTCATAAAAGCAGCATAATGGCCAAAAGTCATAAAATTATCAAATGAACTTGGCTATTTTTCAGAGAGAGTATAAAAAACAAGACAATCCATGCCTGACTGATGGGAGATTTTTGGCCCAATTAATAATTGTGGTACACCAGGTCACAAACAGACAATAAAATACAGACATACGAAACATGTTACACATATTACTGAATATGACAGCATTTGACCTTTAGACACACTCTACACTTATAGAAACATGGTTGTTAAGTAAGTTTACTATGCTTGAAGTGTTTTTTTTTCCCTTCCATATTTCTTGGGCACATTTTATCTAGATGAAAAATAAACTTTCTGATGACAAATAGTTGAGAATGAGGTGAGAATTTCATGCTAAATGTATTTTGATTTTGACAAGTGTGTGTTGTGGAGGTTAAATACTGATAATAAATATACATACAAGAAACATAAACTGTTAGAATATGAAACATTTGAATATAGAAATTTTGAAGAGAAAGGTCAGATAGAGAGTGATAAAGATAACCAATATTAGAGAAAACAATGTAAGAAAGTGAGTTTCACCTTTGACCTTCTACCTTATTACCCCAAAAGTAACCTTAACCTTACAACACAGAAGTCTCTACAAGTGATTTTACTTTACAACACAGAAGTCTCTACAAGTGATTTAACTTTACAACACAGAAGTCTCTACAAGTGATTTTACTTTACAACACATAAGTCTCTACAAGTGATTTAACTTTACAACAGAGAAGTCTCTACAAATGGTTTAACTTTACAGCACAGAAGTCTCTACAAATGGTTTAACTTTACAGCACAGAAGTCTCTACAAAAGGTTTAACTTTACAGCACAGAAGTCACTACAAAAGGTTTTACTTTACAACACAGAAGTCTCTACAAGTGATTTAACTTTACAACACAGAAGTCTCTACAAAAGGTTTAACTTTACAACACAGAAGTCTCTACAAAAGGTTTAACTTTACAACACAGAAGTCTCTACAAAAGGTTTAACTTTACAACACAGAAGCCTCTACAAGTGATTTAACTTTACAGCACAGAAGTCTCTACAAAAGGTTTTACTTTACAGCACAGAAGTCTCTACAAAAGGTTTAACTTTCAGCACAGAAGTCACTACAAATGGTTTAACTTTACAACACAGAAGTCTCTACAAGTGATTTTACTTTACAACACAGAAGTCTCTACAAGTGATTTAACTTTACAACACATAAGTCTCTACAAGTGTTTTAATTTTACAACAGAGAAGTCTCTACAAATGGTTTAACCTTACAGCACAGAAGCCTCTACAAGTGATTTAACTTTACAGCACAGAAGTCTCTACAAAAGGTTTTACTTTACAGCACAGAAGTCTCTACAAAAGGTTTAACTTTACAGCACAGAAGTCACTACAAATGGTTTAACTTTACAACACAGAAGTCTCTACAAGTGATTTTACTTTACAACACAGAAGTCTCTACAAGTGATTTAACTTTACAACACATAAGTCTCTACAAAAGGTTTAACTTTACAACACAGAAGTCTCTACAAGTGATTTAACTTTACAACACAGAAGTCTCTACAAGTGATTTTACTTTACAACACAGAAGTCTCTACAAGTGATTTAACTTTACAACACAGAAGTCTCTACAAGTGATTTAACTTTACAACACAGAAGTCTCTACAAGTGATTTTACTTTACAACACAGAAGTCACTACAAGTGATTTTACTTTACAACACAGAAGTCTCTACAAAAGGTTTTACTTTACAGCACAGAAGTCTCTACAAGTGATTTAACTTTACAGCACAGAAGTCTCTACAAATGATTTAACTTTACAACACAGAAGTCACTACAAGTGATTTTACTTTACAACACAGAAGTCACTACAAGTGATTTTACTTTACAACACAGAAGTCTCTACAAAAGGTTTAACTTTACAACACAGAAGTCTCTACAAATGATTTAACTTTACAGCACAGAAGTCTCTACAAGTGGTTTAACTTTACAACACAGAAGTCACTACAAGTGATTTTACTTTACAACACAGAAGTCTCTACAAAAGGTTTTACTTTACAGCACAGAAGTCTCTACAAGTGATTTAACTTTACAGCACAGAAGTCTCTACAAATGATTTAACTTTACAACACAGAAGTCACTACAAGTGATTTTACTTTACAACACAGAAGTCACTACAAGTGATTTAACTTTACAACACAGAAGTCACTACAAGTGATTTTACTTTACAACACAGAAGTCTCTACAAAAGGTTTTACTTTACAGCACAGAAGTCTCTACAAGTGATTTAACTTTACAGCACAGAAGTCTCTACAAAAGGTTTTACTTTACAGCACAGAAGTCTCTACAAATGATTTAACTTTACAGCACAGAAGTCTCTACAAAAGGTTTAACTTTACAACACAGAAGTCTCTACAAGTGATTTAACTTTACAGCACAGAAGTCTCTACAAAAGGTTTTACTTTACAGCACAGAAGTCTCTACAAGTGATTTAACTTTACAACACATAAGTCTCTACAAATGGTTTAACTTTACAGCACAGAAGTCTCTACAAAAGGTTTTACTTTACAACACAGAAGTCTCTACAAGTGATTTAACTTTACAACACAGAAGTCACTACAAATGGTTTAACTTTACAACACAGAAGTCACTACAAAAGGTTTAACTTTACAACACAGAAGTCTCTACAAGTGATTTAACTTTACAACACAGAAGTCTCTACAAATGGTTTAACTTTACAGCACAGAAGTCTCTACAAAAGGTTTTACTTTACAGCACAGAAGTCTCTACAAGTGATTTAACTTTACAACACAGAAGTCACTACAAGTGATTTTACTTTACAACACAGAAGTCACTACAAATGATTTAACTTTACAGCACAGAAGTCTCTACAAGTGATTCAACTTTACAACACAGAAGTCTCTACAAGTGATTTAACTTTACAACACAGAAGTCACTACAAAAGGTTTAACTTTACAACACAGAAGTCTCTACAAGTGATTCAACTTTACAACACAGAAGTCACTACAAGTGATTTTACTTTACAGCACAGAAGTCTCTACAAAAGGTTTTACTTTACAACACAGAAGTCTCTACAAGTGATTTAACTTTACAACACAGAAGTCACTACAAAAGGTTTAACTTTACAACACAGAAGTCTCTACAAGTGATTCAACTTTACAACACAGAAGTCACTACAAGTGATTTTACTTTACAACACAGAAGTCACTACAAAAGGTTTAACTTTACAGCACAGAAGTCTCTACAAAAGGTTTTACTTTACAACACAGAAGTCTCTACAAGTGATTTAACTTTACAACACAGAAGTCTCTACAAAAGGTTTAACTTTACAACACAGAAGTCTCTACAAAAGGTTTAACTTTACAACACAGAAGTCTCTACAAAAGGTTTAACTTTACAACACAGAAGTCTCTACAAGTGATTTAACTTTACAACACAGAAGTCTCTACAAAAGGTTTAACTTTACAGCACAGAAGTCTCTACAAGTGATTTAACTTTACAACACAGAAGTAACTACAAAAGGTTTAACTTTACAACACAGAAGCCTCTATTGTGTAAAATCAAATTATAATTACAAGGTGATCTCTATTATGCTGAGACTCAAAAATCCAAAATGAAAGAGAAAATGAAAGTGATGAGAGAGAGATGGAAAAAGTTGCAAGAGAAAGATCAGACTACTGATAAAGGTTTAACAGAGGAAGAGAGAGAGAGAGATAAATCATGATGAGAGGAGCTTACAGGCGGTGGAGCAGGAGTGGTGGGGGGAGGACTGCCAGGCGGAGCACCATGCACGTTGCTCATATTGTTCTGTCCTACCTGACTCGGCTGGTTAACAGGATTGGCCGGAGACATATACCCCCGACCATGTGATTGCTCTGGGCCATTCAGGTCCAGCAACTGTTCACTCATCTCTCCGTCAAACTGTGGAAAAACATTTTACAAAGGTAGAAAAAAAAAAGCAATGTTGCATATTTTAAATACAGGTTGGAAGGATTTCATGCTTATTTCAGAATTTATGATAATAAACAAAACAGAAGGACTTACTTTCACAACATAAGGTACAGGGTTTTGTCTCACTCGATTGTGTCTGTACAGTACGACACACAAAACAGAAGGACTTACTTTCACAACATAAGGTACAGGGTTTTGTCTCACTCGATTGTGTCTGTACAGTACGACACACAAAACAGAAGGACTTACTTTCACAACATAAGGTACAGGGATTTGTCTCACTCGATTATGTCTGTACAGTACGACACAGAACAGAAGGACTTACTTTCACAACATAAGGTACAGGGATTTGTCCCACTTGATTGTGTCTGTACAGTACGACACACAGAACAGAAGGACTTACTTTCACAACATAAGGTACAGGGATTTGTCCCACTTGATTGTGTCTGTACAGTACGACACACAGAACAGAAGGACTTACTTTCACAACATAAGGTACAGGGATTTGTCTCACTCGATTGTGTCTGTACAGTACGACACACAAAACAGAAGGACTTACTTTCACAACATAAGGTACAGGGATTTGTCCCACTCGATTGTTACTATTTCGACACGTCCACCAATCTTTTTCGTCTTTTGATATAACTTCTAAAACCTCGCCTTTCCTAAACGGTAAATCTTCTGGATCCTAGGAACAAAAAACAGCATAGTTCATACTGTATCATTCATTTACTCTTGTCATAGAAAATACAAGTAAACATGTCTACCAATAACCTAACAAACATGTCAACCAATAACCTAACAAACATGTCTACCAATAACCTAACAATCATTTCTACCAATAACCTAACAAACATGTCTACCAATAACCTAACAAACATGTCTACCAATAACCTAACAAACATGTCTACCAATAACCTAACAATCATTTCTACCAATAACCTAACAAACATGTCTACCAATAACCTAACAATCATTTCTATCAATAACCTAACAAACAAGTCTACCAATAACCTAACAAACATGTCTACCAATAACCTAACAAACATGTCTATCAATAACCTAACAATCATTTCTATCAATAACCTAACAATCATTTCTACCAATAACCTAACAAACATGTCTACCAATAACCTAACAAACATGTCTATCAATAACCTAACAATCATTTCTACCAATAACCTAACAAACATGTCTACCAATAACCTAACAAACATGTCTATCAATAACCTAACAAACATGTCTATCAATAACCTAACAAACATGTCTACCAATAACCTAACAATCATTTCTATCAATAACCTAACAATCATTTCTACCAATAACCTAACAAACATGTCTACCAATAACCTAACAAACATGTCTACCAATAACCTAACAAACATGTCTACCAATAAATAACCTAACAATCATTTCTATCAATAACCTAACAAACAAGTCTACCAATAACCTAACAAACAAGTCTACCAATAACCTAACAAACAAGTCTACCAATAACCTAACAAACATGTCTACCAATAACCTAACAAACAAGTCTACCAATAACCTAACAAACAAGTCTACCAATAACCTAACAAACATGTCTACCAATAACCTAACAAACATGTCTACCAATAACCTAACAATCATTTCTATCAATAACCTAACAAACATGTCTACCAATAACCTAACAAACATGTCTACCAATAACCTAACAAACAAGTCTACCAATAACCTAACAAACATGTCTACCAATAACCTAACAAACATGTCTACCAATGGTTCATTTCTACCAATAACCTAACAAACATGTCTATCAATAGTTCATTTCTACCAATAACCTAACAAACATGTCTACCAATAACCTAACAAACATGTCTATCAATAACCTAACAAACATGTCTACCAATAACCTAACAAACATGTCTACCAATAACCTAACAATCATTTCTACCAATAACCTAACAAACATGTCTACCAATAACCTAACAAACATGTCTATCAATAACCTAACAAACATGTCTATCAATAACCTAACAAACATGTCTACCAATAACCTAACAATCATTTCTATCAATAACCTAACAATCATTTCTACCAATAACTTAACAAACATGTCTATCAATAACCTAACAAACATGTCTATCAATAACCTAACAAACATGTCTATCAATAACCTAACAAACATGTCTACCAATAACCTAACAATCATTTCTATCAATAACCTAACAAACATGTCTACCAATAACCTAACAAACAAGTCTACCAATAACCTAACAAACAAGTCTACCAATAACCTTACAAACATGTCTACCAATAACCTAACAAACAAGTCTACCAATAACCTAACAAACAAGTCTACCAATGGTACATTTCTACCAATAACCTAACAAACATGTCTATCAATAACCTAACAATCATTTCTATCAATAACCTAACAAACATGTCTACCAATAACCTAACAAACAAGTCTACCAATAACCTAACAAACAAGTCTACCAATAACCTTACAAACAAGTCTACCAATAACCTTACAAACATGTCTACCAATAACCTAACAAACATGTCTATCAATAACCTAACAAACAAGTCTACCAATGGTACATTTCTACCAATAACATAACACTATATTAAAAAAGTTTTAAACTGAACTGATTTCAGTCCCAAAATTTACAAAGACCAGCTGCTACAACACTTTCTCCAAGCTATACCTATATACCAGCCACAAGCTATACCTATATACCAGCCACAATCATTTTGACTCAAACAATTTTGAGATGAGTTTCAACTGTATTTAAACATCTTTTTCTTTGATTCAATGTAGGTAAAACTTACATTTCCTCCGAAGTCAAATTTGGCGATCACCTTCAGCCTCGTGGCCTGTAAAAGAGAGAATGGCGCGTCTGGTTTATGAACAAGGAAACACTGAAGTGCTGTCAAGTGTCAAACCGAGTCAGCAGACATAAATGTATATCTATAAGTGTCTAGTTATCACTGTTTATGCAGTGTAACCTAATAGTGGCTTTATAACTGTACACAAACAGGGAAGTCTTTCATCAGTTCCTGTATAGCTGCATATCATTCTAAATAAAAATCACATACAGGATAAACTCTAACACCAAGAAAATATGTACATAACCTTATGACTTTTGAAAATTATGTCTAATTTGTATATACATTTTGAATGCCAGGAAAGTCAGGTACTATAGGGAATGTTGATTACGTTATATAAATAAGACATAAATAAATTCCTTGCTCCCAACAAATTCTTTTCTTTGGAATTAAGTTTTTGTATTTACAGGTTCTTTCAATACCCCCAAAATTTTTTAAAATCATTTCATACATGCATTTCTTCTGTCTTGACAATCATAAAGAATCAACATGATTTTCTAATACTGTAAAATTAAATTTTTTACATCCCCAAAATTTTCAAAATCTGTCTTTGATTGAGGTATGATTTAGTAATGTTGGGTGAGGTGTGAGTCTGTGACTTTGGACAGTGGGATCAACTGTGACCTTGGGTGATGTGTGAGTATGACTTTGGACAGTGTGATTCACAGTGACCTTGGGTGATGTGCAAGTCTGTCACTTTGGACAGTGGGATTGACTGTGACCTTGGGTGATGTGCGAGTCTGTGACTTTGAACAGTGTGATCCACTGTGACCTTGGGTGGTGTGTGAGTCTGTCACTTTGGACAGTGGGATCGACTGTGACCTTGGGTGATGTGCGAGTCTGTGACTTTGAACAGTGTGATCCACTGTGACCTTGGGTGGTGTGTGAGTCAGTGACTCTGAATGAGTTATGAATCAACCCAAAGCTACTTACTGGTTTAATGAGAGACGTCGTGTCCAGATAATGTGTTTTATAAAAGCTGAGAAGGTTTGGGATATCCGTGAACTCCTGGTCTCCTATCCGAAATCTTGTTGTATTGCCAACAGCAATTTTGTTGATTATATAATGACTTACTTTATTATCTTCCCTGTAACAAAAACACAAATATATCAGAATTACTAGACTGTAAGGTCGATCTTCACACACTAATGATATTGGATTCAGTTGAGAAATTGTTATTAAGACATTTACAACAGAATGAAATAAATCTATCATCAATATCGCCAACAAAAATTCTGAGAAAACATTTCTCAACTTAAATATGAAGTGTTTTGAGAAAGTACACTTATAATGACAGTACTGAGATCAGTCCCCTTGAGTAACACAAAAAACACAGGAAACTACCATCACGTCTGTCAGTGTGACACACAAACACACTGATGTGTACAGGGAGCTACCCCCACATCTGTCAGTGTAACACAGAAACATACTAATGTGTACAGGGAGCTACCCCCACATCTGTCAGTGTAACACAGAAACACACTGATGTATACAGGGAGCTACCCCCACATCTGTCAGTGTAACACAGAAACACACTGATGTGTACATGGAGCTACCCCCACATCTATCAGTGTAACACAGAAACACACTGATGTGTACAGGGAGCTACCCCCACATCTGTCAGTGTAACACAGAAACACACTGATGTGTACAGGGAGCTATCCCCTACATCTGTCAGTGTAACACAGAAATACACTAATGTGTACAGGGAGCTACCCCTACATCTGTCAGCACACAGAAACACACTTGTGTGTACATGTACAGGAAGCTAGGTCTGCCACTGTTACAGATAAGACTGCTATAATTATAAAAGTGTTTCAACTTCAACAGTTTTATCTTATCTCCAAAATGCTTGTTTATCACTCACCAAAATAAATCCTCCTTTTTTACACATAAAATTTCACACAAGTCGTAACAACCAACACAACACTAAATACTGTGGTAGCATAACAGACAGAATCCCTGGACGGGTCATCATGTATGATGAATCTTACACAATATGTAACATAAGTGTAACAATAATAACAGCATATAATAATCAGATTTATAGCGTTGCTGAAGAAAAGAAGTAAAGCTTTGAAGGAAGAAATCCCCTTGGCTTTACTGATAAAATCAGGAAATATTACACTGATGTTGTGTAATCTATCAGAACGAGGTAAATCATTGCTTTTCCCCTACATACATATATATATATATATATAGAGAAAGAGATTTGGTGTCGTAGATTGTGAGTTTGAGGCCAGGATAGGGCACAAGTCAAAAATTGTCTTCCTTCATCAGTTGTTTTATCATGTTCAAATAACAGTTTACACAGTGCATCACATACAGTAATGTATGTTGATCTAATCGTTTCTGATTTGAATTTCCTGTCGAAATTGTATAAGTGTTTTAGAGTCAAATCCATTTCATTTGAATTTGGTTATATTGATCATTCGGTTAATTTGAAATATAAAATAACCCCCATCCAAATGTCTTCTTTGTCTTGGAATTTTCTTGTTTAATTTTAAATTGGTTAATTTGAAATCCTGCATTATTTGGCAGGTAAATACTGGTCGTAGACAGTACTAATGAACTGTTTTCACATCGCCTAATTTGAAGGCCTTCCCGGCGCCCGTGAGCAGTGTTGTCATGCTTTGGTGCGTTCGTATCTCTAGTTTAATGCTCAGGTAAAAATATGATACAAAAAAATAAATTATGAGCATCAATCAATGAACTGTGTCTGTTATTTGAACAAATGTTTTGGTTAGTTTAACTTTGTATGTAGAAGAGAGCGACAGGTGATTTACAATGGCTTTGTCCAGCAAGAAGTGTAAACAACAATTGCTGAAAAATATGAACTTATTCAAGCTGTATATAGACTACTAAGCTGTTTCTAATGAAATGTGAAATGAAATGAAATGAAATGAAGTGTGCCGTGACTAACTTTCTCCTTTCTTCGCAGTAAATAACATACAAATGGTTCCCGATTCTAGTGATAATTGTGTTAAAAGTTTGCCCTCCATACTGTTTGGCGCTATATTTACAGGTTATTATGTAAACTGCATTAGCATGAGTGGTCTGAAAATTGATCTTTTAATGACGGTTAGTAATAAATCTAAAGAACACACTCTAATGCTGTCGTTATTGATATTTTTAGTTTGATTTTCCCTACTGCTCAATCACCCTCCATACTCCCGCGTATCCAGCTGAAGAGTAAAGGAACCCACAACCCAGTCAGTAAAAGATATTTCCTTGTTTCTGCTATGTATGCAGATGACACTGTCCTCTTCTCAGAATCTGTCACTGGCTTACAAAAAATATTAGACTCTTTAAAACACTATAGTAATAAATGACAAGAGAGTTCCTCAAACTGTATGTGTCGCCTGCATAAAGTGTAACGGTCACCCAGAAATCGAACTGGATGTGCAACGTTCAACCATACAGTTGTAATAACAATTTCATTTCTATAACTCAAAGCATAAAGGGAAAACTATGCAAAGCAATATTCCTGAGAAATTTTCCAAGTTCAAAGGAACATATCACTGCCAAGAAGGGTAACAGACTGCCAAGAAGGTGCACAACTTTTGACCAAGAACTCGTATACAAAATTGCAAAGGTTCAAATTCTTGGAATTACAAGCTGAAATTTTTTGTCTGAATGGCAATAGAATAGGAATTGTTGTTCAATGGTAAGTTTACAAAAAACTCAATTCACAATTACTGAATAATGTTGAAAATACATGAATAATGTACCCCCTATTAAGAACTAATAATAATTTGTCTCTCGATGTAGAATCTAAGTCAAGGGTTTGGATGTATTTGCTTCCACTCTTCTTATTCATTGGGCTTTAATACTGTAGAAGTATGTCATGTTTTAATGTAGACTGAATAAGGACGCCTACCTTTGCATATTATCATGTTATGACAGATAATCAAATACTGGTGGAACCTGTAATTAAATGTGATAATTGTATTCTTAAGTCAGTTTCCGAAACAGAAACTGTAATTGACATTGTCTGGTTAAGAAATAATTATTGTCCTCTGGATTTAGCAATGTCTGATTTAACCATTATGTTGATGATGAAAGGCATTTGACTGATAATTTTATTCACACAAGGAACTCATCAAACTGGTATTTGTATAAAGTCTTAATAAACAGTTTCATATTACAATCTTATTTGATACAGAATGTCCTAAATACATAAATTGTTTTGAATTATGACTTTCTTCACATCAGTTATATAGAGAAGAAGGTTGGTGTTGTAATATTACTTTCCCTTTGTTCTGATTTGTCTACCTGATTTGGTGTAGATATTTGTAAAATAATCATTATAAAGTATTACAGGTAATGTCTATCTAAATTAATATGAACTTGTCATGCTGGTATCTTCATGTAACACAAGGAACTTTGTAATCTAAGACAAAAAAACTTTGTATTACTGGAAAGTATCTGCATTCAAGTTTGTTGCATTTTTGAAGCCATATATAGAATCTGACCTTAGTTATTGTGTTTTCACTTTGATTAACAACATATGATAAGTTTATGGCCAGCGTTTCAAGGTTCAAACGTTTTGTATAAAGTTTCCTTCGATCCCCTGACTACACCACTGTATACTTTACTGCATGCCCTGATTTTTGTAATTAGCGTGTTCTCTATTGAACCTTTATGTGATATGCTGCATCTGTTATCTTAATGACACCTACATATTCATATTTAAACTGGAAAGTCACTGTACACTTAAGTAAAGTAATCATACAAGAGCTGTACATGTTTATCTTCTGTCAATAGGTTTATCTAAGTGTGACAATAACATAAAACATTTGTTGAATTTATTGAATATACAAGATTATTTTTCATACTTTATTTATTTATTGTTGCTTTATAATTTTGCCCTATTAAAAGCTAGTGTCATTGAAGGATGTACAAGGTTTGGATGGTGGAGGAAAGCCAGTTTCCAAGAGAAAAACCAACGACCTGCAGCCAGTATCTGGCCACTGCCCTTCATAGGCCTCAAAAGTCATGACGCAGAGGAGGAGGGCTTGTGATAAAGGCAGTCAGATGCCTTAGCCACTCAACCACATTATACTTTCTACATGATATCATAATTATTTTGTGTTTCATATTAACCATGCAACAGTTATTTGTTGCTATGAAAACCTATCAGCTGTCTGGCTTCAATAAACAATTAAAAACTCATTAGAACTATATGCTTTTTGAATGAAGAAAGACCAAGTCAACATTAAAGATGTCACAGCATTTAAATAAGTCAGTGACACAAATGACATCATTTGTCCAGGACCAAAGAAATTTTCTACAAAAATATAATTCACCAAACTTACTTTACACATAGCACAAAGTCGCCTTTTATAGATTGGCTGTCACGAACTAGGAACTCTCCTGCTGATTGTATCGGCTGTAAAATCTCATTGGCTTCATCTCGATTAAGTGGACCAAAATACCAACTGAAACAAGAAAAGAAGCATTAATGAAATGTCATGATAGCAATGATGTTTTTGATGTTTCCATAGTAAAAAAATATCTAACAACTCATTCATAATTGACATCTACCTGGACTCAATCAAATTTTGAAAACCTACTATATCTCTTAGTATTGGGACTCATTAAAATTTTGGAGTAGGACTGGAACATATATACGAATTGAATCAGAGCTAGTCTAGATCTGTCAAATAGGAGTCATTTCTTCAAATTAAATGTCCCTTGCTTGAACAGATCTGGTACTTATATGTTTTGGAGAATAAAAATGAGTTGTCATATCAAGAAGAAAAACTGAAAATCAAATCTTAATGAAGAGAAAATCTATACTTTCAAAAACAGGTTCAATCATTGTGAATTGAAAAACAAATTATTCATACATAGATCAGTAAGTTTCAATCCATACTCTGGAATTTCACGTAATGGACTGAACCACACAATTAGAATACAAAAACTAATTCTGATATAAAATCAAATTTGTGTCTCAGTGTTATTTCAAAAGCCTTTTTATTGAATAAGTGAATTCATTTTAATCTATGTTGGCCAGTATATGAAGAAAAGGCCAAGAAATATTTTTCTGTTTATGAAATATATTATTATATTCATATCTGTACTGGTATAAGCAGTTGAACAACAAACACTTAATAGACTGGGCACATTTATTTTACAACTTCCTGGACTCTTTCACACAATCTGTTGATATATCAATCAAACGCTACATAACTTAAGTACTATAATTGGGCTTTAATTGCTCTATTCTTTTCATTATTTCATTTGTTTTAATTTACGTATCATGTATTGATGACCATTCTTTTATCAAACAGAAAAATAAACACTTTATTGAAAGGAAAACAACATATTGATATTATCAATTCTCTGCAGGAAAATACCATATTCATTCTCTGAGTCATAAACATATATATGGTAGGGTCAAAGTAATTTCTTCGTTACAATTCAAACCCTCCACACACTCTTATTTGCAATCATTATGTATCTTGATAGTCACTTCATGGTGTTATCAATTAGGTAAAACGTTTTGAACATTTTCTAGATATTTTCCTTGACTCCTGTACATGTATTCCACGCATGACTGATAACTGAGCCAACATGTACACTAGCAATGATGATCATTTATATATATATACTGATACACATGCACTATACACTTTCAAATGGCAACATAAACAAAAGTGTTAAATTTATCACATTGTGTTCCTTAAGGCATTCGTCAGAGAAAATATAGATCTACTGCACCAAATAACGTTTACTGCTAGACAGCCGATAGCTGAGTGCAGTACTGCATCTGACAGATACAGTGGCCTTTGACCAAGATGGTGCAAACTTATATGTATCTAACAATATACGTTAATTTCAAACATACCTATTTCTTTGAAATGATCTTAAAGTGACGATATTTTTAATTTTAAAAAGTTTTATTTTAACCTTTCCAATTTTTGTTGAAAGTTGAACTTGTGAATCATGGCGAACACCATAATGGAAGTCAGTGGGTAAATAAATGAGGTTAAATGTAGTATCTGAAAACAATACCTATATTTATCGTCCGGATCAAACCCTGCCATTGTGACAAAATGCTGATACTGTGAGATCAAACCATAAGTCGTACGTTGTTTACTTTTTACTAGATCCAGGAAGTTCAGAAAGTAACATCCACTTCTAAATATGGCGGATCCGATTCATAATCTTTAACAAACATCAATTTATCAGTGAGGGATATTAATACATCAATTTGTTTATATGATTCATCAGCTAGGATGCTCATATAACAAAAACTATGATTATTGAATTATATTTGCGCAAACTTCCCGAGACCTCTGCACTGATGTATTTTACTCTCTGTTAAAGAGTATGATTGTTAATGGCGGCCTCCATGTGCCGAAAATGGCGGCAATTTGTAATAATTTTGCCGTTGTAATCCTGACTTTATTTGTTGTCATTGGTATAATTTCTTCAACCCAAGGTGCACGTTTAAGTGATCCCAAGATATTACTCCCGTACCACAGTACAGTAGTAACCAATTTTACTCTACATATCAATTTAACCAAGGAAGAATCTCACGTGCACGACAGTTGTTACACATGGTTTGTTTACGAATCAAAATTATGATTTTTAGTCGTACTTGGTTATTTGAAATGCTATACTAGTACGGTTGATAAAAGTTTTCATCAATATCTTTTCTTGTTACATTTAACAATGTGTCGTTGATGTTGATATCATCATTACTATTAATATTTTGAGAAAAGTTGTTGGCGCTTCCGTTTAACAACCTTTTTTTTTACAAAGGCGATCAACTCAGCAAGAGGTAGCCACAGTCCAGCTAGTCAATAGTACAGATGGGGAGTGTGCGTTCGCAGCAGTTATCTCGGCAGTCTCCAAATCTTCCCACAGGAAAACGTCAATTGTCTTGGCCGAGAATAAAGGTAAAGATGGTTCTACTTTATTAGGAGGGTGGCGGTGTAGCTTGTATAGAGTGTTAAATACGGTCTCTGTCACTCAGCTGACGGCTTGGTGTGGCTTGTGTATAGTGTTAAATATGATCTCTGTCAGTTTGTGTATAGTGTTAAATACAGTCTCTGTCACTGGGGCTGATGAGTCGGTGTGGCATGCATATAGTGCTAAATACGGTCTCTGCCACTCAGCCGGCGGGTTGGTGTAGCTTGTATATACTATAGTGTTAAATATGGTCTTTGTCACTTAGCTGGCGGGTTGGTGTGACTTGTATATAGTGTTAAATCCTTTCTCTGTCACTCAACTAACGAGTCAATGTGACTTGTATATAGTGTTAAATATGGTCTCTCTCACTTAGCTGGCAGGTTGGTGTGGCTTGTATATAGTGTTAAATATAATCTCTGTAGGTGAGGCTTGTATATAGTGTTAAATACGGTCTCTGTCACTCAGCTGACGGGTGGATGTGGCTTGTATATAAGTGTTAAACATGGTCTCTTTCACTCAGCTGATGGAGCATGCTTCTTTGGTTCAGTTGGTAGAGTCGCTTGATTATCATGCCAGAGACCTGAGTTCGATTCCCTGTCAGGGCACTTGACATGAGTGTGTATTTTTCCTGTTCTTTCGCACTACTATGGGTCTGTTTGTGTGAAAGTGACATGTTTATAAATCTATATGTGTTAGTCTGGGATTGAATGTAGATGTGAATGGATTGCTGATGTCGATGAGTGTAGGTTATTGTTTATACCTTGTTTCTGTTACTTATGTATTGCTGCCACATGGATTTGTGAAATTGTCGTTTGTATCATACATTTTGTTTGTACTGGTGGTCAGAATAGCCAAGAAGCTGTAAACTGATCGGCTTGTGGCATTGTCATTGGCTGTTGATATTTATTTAATACAATAGTGCATGTGTATTCGTCAGACAGTTGGTAGCTCTCTGAGCTGTGTTGTCTCATTTTCGGTCTTCTTCTGTCCCCGTGATGGTTATTGTTAACTAAATAGATGGGTGTTTGAATATGCCCTTACGTGTTGACTGCATGTGTCTGATCCTTTACATGTATATGTTGTGTGTCCCAGTGGTAAAGGACCTCGTCATGTATTATTATGTTTGTTGTTTTTGTTATCCCAATAAAATAAGTTAAATGTTTTATGTGACTGGTTGTTAATTACTAAGTAGCCATTTGGAACCCCAGATGAGAACCTAGGTCACTCCACCTCAAGGTTCATTTCGGCCCGTGCCCTTGCGCCATTGGGTCACTTGTTTCAGACATGATGCTGCTTTATTTGATTGAAGCGACAGGTTGACCCCCTAAGTTGTAAATATGACCCACTGTCTTCATCCAATATGGTTAATTTCTAACACACCGTTCGTTATTGTTTACAGACTATTTATTCTAATAACCAAATAAACAAAAAGAAACCAGAAATTTGACCTGTTTCATTTTTTGTATTGTGCCCTGATATAAGTGCTCCGATGATCTAGACAGTCATAATAAACAGCATGGCTGTCCCAAAACAATCAAAGCTTCCTAAACTTACACCTAATCAAAGACCTATAATATTTTTTCGAAAGTGAAATGATGTTCATGATTAACCTGAAAGGCCAATGGAGGTCAGCCAAAATGAAATAAAGTCTACAGCATTGACTTGAAAGTTATCCAGAAGAGGATAATTAAAAATTTCTCTATGAAATTAAATGTTTTTTGAACAACTTTTTACTTCAAAGTTTCTTTTAAGTAATCATAGAGGTGTATGAATGGGTAATTTTAACCAGGTAGACTTTGCTAAAATTAATTTTGGCCCACAGGCTTTGCCTCCTTCGATCCCCACCTGGGGGCCTAGATGACCCCCAGACCCTAGCTATATGGGCTATTGATTCATAACTCTTCATTTTGAAAATAATTCTTGCATGCAGCACTATGTTCAAATGCAGATATGATAATGTTTAAGTTTATGACATTTTGCTGTCTTTAAAACCAGGTTTTCTCTATCAACTTTATTAAGTGGAAGATTTCTCATTCAAACTGTATGGCATTAATGTCTCGGCAATTTTGTATTGCTCAATTTTTAGTGTTATGAGTAAATGTTTTGAATTTTGTTTTGCAGTCACTCGTGAGATATTGAGATGTATTGTGATCGTAGAATCTCTGCATCGGTTTGAGATACAGACTACCACTCGCCTGCTATATCTTGAAGATTCACCAGAGGAGCTTACTATCCGTGGTTTTGATGAAGAAGGTTAGATTAGAAATTTGATGTACAATTTGCTGTATAATACCATGAATTTGCGCATATAGTGTGCACTTTTTTAGACAAAAACTATTGTGTCAAAAAGGGGGTGTATAATATACTCAGGAACATACCATTCTAGGGGTTATCAATTTCGAGTTTTCTGTCTACCTTATTGGATTATCTACCTTCACGTAAATTTTCAGAGCCGTCAGTCATATATGATAGATTGAAGATAAAGACAACAAATAATAAAATAAGTTTCGTATGTTTTAATGCAATTCATTATTTTCATATATATATATATATAACTTACAGCTGATAAATCCATTGATCATGGATTATGGTTTGGCAAAAATTTGGATTAATTGACTGATTTATCATCTGATTTTCAGCTCTGCCATTAACTGATATGTGACATACCTTGTTATGGCCTTGTCTGTATGTCCCTAATACAACTCGAATAAACTGATCTTCCCCTGTATGACAAGAATGCCTTGATTTGTGCATGTTTTATTTTAAGATAATTGGAAAGACAAGATGACCATTTTGGTTTTTTCACATGTTTTCAATTAATTCCACTTCAGTAATTTGTAAATGGAAGTTCCTCTTGGTTTTTATTTTGCATTTGTAAAGTTTACAATGATGGTTATCAAGATTCTTTCATAATTTCTTCCCTTCAGCGGAAAAAAATGAATAAAAGATGAATGATAAATGGTGAAGGATTTTGCATTTAATTTTAGTGTCCTGGGTGTCTAAATAAGGTCATTTTCATGATCTTTGAACATGTTGTAATCATGGATCATTTCATGTAGTGGTAATTCTTCAATCATTTAATTTTCCCAGCAAAGCTAATCTAGTTGTTCTGTACATTCCAGGAAATGTCTTCTCCAGTCTTGCTGGTCTGCGCTTTGAATGGAGCCTTGAACCAGATACTTCAGCTGACCAGGACATGGTCATTGATGCCAGCAACATCCTGCGGTAGCTAGTTTAGTCTAATAAATCTGAGAAATCTTAACATTTTGTCCTGTATTTGGTTTCAATTTCATGCTCATTCAGTGCCAGGAGATTGTTTATGTCAACGTCTTAAATTGATGTGATGATTCAAAAAGTCATCAAGCTAAGAATCAAAATTAATGAAATTAATTTTGTACTGAAATTTTTTTCAGAATCATTAAGTTTTCAGAGTCACACTACACACGACCATCCCACATCGATAGATTGGAGGGACGCGGCCTACAGGGTGACATGATCTTGGTGGAGGGTATTCGTACAGGCAGTGCCAATGTTAAGTCTATCATACGTGACCCTGCCTACAAGGTGAGTTGACCGGAATAGACACACTGTTATTTAAAAATTTAATGATAATTTTTATTTATAGAGTAATTTATGTCATAAAAATTGCTTTCAGAATATGGTATGTTATGCCTGCAATATTTTAAGTGTTGTAACAATGCTCCCAAATGTGTTATGTGTTGAAGGTTGTGGTCAGTATTATTTTTTTCCCCAGAATGTCTCGCCTTATGTTGTGAAGATCATGGTCATCGCAAACCTGATGGTTAGTCCAGCTGAAGCCTATGTCCTTAAATACTCCACTGTGAAATACACAGTGGAACTCATCAAGCAGAATTCCATCATTGGTAAGCTAGTCTTAATTCCAGTGATCTGTCAACGTTTATACAAAAAGCTATCACTTTGTTGTCTATTTGTTAAAATATGGTTTGAGTATCTCAGTATTGAGAGTATGTAAAAATATTTAATTTAATTAAAATTACTTTTGCTTTATGTATACTTGATATTTATGGTTTCCTGTGAACACTCCAATCTGTACGGCTATCATCAAATAATCATAGTTTCATTAATATGAATCATGTCCTCAGAATGTTTATCAGACATATTGCTTAAGTTTCACCTCAATCTTTGTTACAGTTTAAATTTTAATTGTAGACATGATGGTACTTTAATTTTCACTCTGTTACAGAGATTGCGATGCCATCAGAACAGTTTTATTTAGAAGTCCAGGATCACATGATCTGTGAGTTTAATGCCAAGACATCATTTGCGACAGCGGCCGAGCTTGGTTCCACAGAGATTGTACTGATGGACAAAAGTATCCTTTCCGTCTTTCCCAAATCACATGACATACCTTGCTATATAGTATTTAATGTTTACCTACATTATATAACCCTATTTAAATACCAGCCACAATATACTGCTTGGCTAGAAATAACTTCTGTTCAGCTCAATCAGTTGAGAGCCAGACTAGTAACCAAGGGATCGTGGGTTCAAATCCTTGCAGAGGCATCAAAATAAATAATGACCTCTGTTATTTTAAACAGTTTTGACAGTCATGGTCTATTATACTTTTCAGGGTAACAATATGTTTGAGTAATCACTTAAAGTACAGATATGTTGAAAACCTTAACCAACATAAGATATAAAAAATCAGGATGTTCTGAGGCGTCCATCTGCCATGATGTATGTTGTCACAGCCAGTCGTCTGGGTATGTATTATCACATACAGGAACAACTCACTTATCAGCCAATACTAGTCAATCTAGGCTAACCAATAATGCTGACAAAAAACATTGATGTTTTAACATAATTGATTGACCATTATCCTGAGCTGATCACTGCCTAGATTTGTTTTCCAGCTGATCTAGTGTCAGATTAAAGGGCATCGTTGATTGATCCAAGTTAACTGATCATATTATTTCAAATATTACAGCGTTCGTTATCCTGCCCCACAAGAAATGGGTTTTAGAAACTGGACGAGAATATGAAATCATCATAGAAGTCTATGATAAAAACAGCCATAAGGTCTACCCGTCTGATGTAAGTATATACAGATATCAGTAAGTATTTACTGGTATCATAAAGATGTATGGTAAAAACAGCCATAAGGTCTACCTGTCTGATGTAAGTACTTACAGGTATCATAAAGATGTATGGTAAAAACAGACATAAGGTCTACCTGTCTGATGTAAGTACAGGTATCATAAAGATGTATGATAAAAACAGACATAAGGTCTACCTGTCTGATGTAAGTACAGGTATCATAAAGATGTATGATAAAAACAGACATAAGGTCTACCCGTCTGATGTAAGTACTTACAGGTATCATAAAGATGTATGATAAAAACAGACATAAGGTCTACCCGTCTGATGTAAGTACTTACAGGTATCATAAAGATGTATGGTAAAAACAGACATAAGGTCTACCTGTCTGATGTAAGTACAGGTATCATAAAGATGTATGGTAAAAACAGACATAAGGTCTACCCGTCTGATGTAAGTACTTACAGGTATCATAAAGATGTATGCTAAAAACAGACATAAGGTCTACCCGTCTGATGTAAGTACTTACAGGTATCATAAAGATGTATGGTAAAAACAGCCATAAGGTCTACCCGTCTGATGTAAGTACTTACAGGTATCATAAAGATGTATGATAAAAACAGACATAAGGTCTACCTGTCTGATGTAAGTACAGGTATCATAAAGATGTATGATAAAAACAGACATAAGGTCTACCCGTCTGATGTAAGTACTTACAGGTATCATAAAGATGTATGATAAAAACAGACATAAGGTCTACCCGTCTGATGTAAGTACTTACAGGTATCATAAAGATGTATGATAAAAACAGACATAAGGTCTACCTGTCTGATGTAAGTACAGGTATCATAAAGATGTATGATAAAAACAGACATAAGGTCTACCCGTCTGATGTAGATAGTAAGATTAAGATTTTGTTAGCTCTCATTATCTGTGTAAAGCTGGAAAAATTCTCTGTAGATGCTAATGTTTTGTCATTTTAATTTTAATTCAGGATTCCTACTTGGTTTAAAATCAAAACCCCATCATCTATTTTTTTTGCCAGAATGTCATCATCAGGGCGCTGTTCCCTAAAGAATATTTCCAGGTCTTGTCCTCCACTAAGAACGGTACATACCATCTAGTAAAGACACTGGACAAAGGACAGACCGTGTTGGATGGAACTCTGGGCAGTGTTATCAGAACGGTAAGACACATGTCTGGTTAGATGTCCTCCATGAGGGGAGAGAATGATAATGAGTTAGACATTGAAATTTCCTATCTCTGTGACATGTAATCATCATGATTAAAACAAATAAATGTATGGAGTACGAGAATTTTATGTGTAGGTAAAAGATGGGAAGTTTTGGTGAGAATTTCCAAAAATTGACAGGAATTTTCAGATTTATTTCATATTTTGTACACAATAATGCATTTTTTGACCTAGTCATTTTAAAAGGACAAAATGGGATTGGTGTGACATTCAATTCTTTGTGTGCTTGATTTGACATAATGAACATTGAGTCTAAGTAATATGAATTCATGGTTTACATATGTACTAATACAGAGTATCTATTGTATGAAAACATTCAGTAAGATAACAGAAGTAGATTTCTGTTGACAAAACATTAACTGATGTGTTATCGTCAGGTGAGCCGACGTATGACAGAGGGCACTCATTACTATGTCTACTACGTAGAGGTAATCACTCTTACCAGCTGGGCTTGTCATGTACCCAAAGGGCATATTGTGTGCCCATCAAGCTTCTCATATGCTCATCAAATTTGTCATGTACCCAACAGACTTGCTATATACCAAATAGGCATGTGTTGTGCCACACAAGCTTGTCATATGCTCATCAAGTTTTTCATTTACCCAACAGGCTTGTTAAATACTGAACAGGCATGTCATTTGCTGATCAAGCATGTCATGTACTCATAGAGTTTGTCATATATCTAGTCATTCATTTTTTGAAAAATCTGACATGTTGCACTTGCTTCAAATAGCATTCGATTGTATATCTCTGCAGTCTGAGAGTTGAAGCACTTGTAGCAGTATGTTAATTGAATATTAAATTGATTCTGTATCAGTGCAGTCAGAAAGATAAAGCACCTGTTGCTATACTAAGCAGATATTTATACTTTCTTTCTATTGTGAGTTTTTTACCCTATCATCATCAGCTGGTGGGCTATTAATATCACCTTATGTCTGTGGTCAGTCCATCCCTAGACGGTTTTTGTTATCATTGATTCTTGAAGTACTGAATAGATAATAATAATAATAATAATAATAGACTTTATTTTCATTCGATTACACATTGAGTCAAAGACTCTTCTCACATGTGGTCGAAAATATAAAATATACAGTATTTACAGCATAGTTAAAACACAGAACATTACAAAACGTTTGATAATATCACAGAATATAACATTGATATCTCAGAATTTCCGAATTATAAAAGATACATGAGTATTCATTATAAGAAATTAAGTATTAAAAGTCATGCATACGTAAGATCTCATGTGGCATATAAAATATGATTATAAACACTAAATACCTAAGTGTCCAATATACATATATGCCAATGTGGCAAAGAGTAAGATTAACCAGAATATACGCTAATATAGTGTGGATTAAAACAAGAGATCTTTCTTAAATATCATATGTAGACTCCCTTTGGTCCCTAGTTGTGCCCTTTTGATTTTGAGACTGGTCAGGAAAATGAAATTGTTGAAAGATGTAGGTGGCCATCTTTGAATTTGAAAATGAAAGATGGTTCCTGTTTGATTTGGGAATGAAGAGGCAGCCATTTTAGATTTTGATAATAAAAGTATTGTTATTGCTGTTTCTTGAGAAGTGGTCAATAGATTTTTTTCTCTAATTTTGCATGTAGGTTCACCCTGGTTCCTCTTTGTGCCCTTCAGGTTTTAGGACTGATCAGATGAATCAAATGGATTTGATAGTTAAAGATTATCATCTTTATTTCTGGAGAGGAATTTTCAAATTTCATATAATTCTGAGCAAAAACAGGAAAGGAGGGAAAAGAACTTTTAAAGAACAGAATAAAGATAAGAGAATGTTAGGCATCAAGATTCCATTGTTATTGTTATTGTGTGTATGTTCATGATGATTTCCCTGAGATAAAACTTGAGCATGATGTTGTAAAACGTTGCCATGGAAACATACACAATTAGTTTGTTGTACAGCATAAGAATGTTTGAAATACAAAGCTATTATCAAATGTTGTTGATGAACGAAGTTGGCATGATAGTTAAAGTTTGTGTTGAATACTTTTCTACTTCAGATTTCAGAATTGATAGAATACTGTTTTCACTTCATTGAGAGCCAAACTTTCAAATTAAAATATTAAAACATTTAGAATGGAAATATTGTATTGATTGCATTACCAGAGAAGTGTTTGACTGGCTTTCAGCTTTTGGACAATAAATTCTGTTGTATCTCACCATGTGTATTGTAGTATACCAGGTATATATCATACATAGATACATAGATAGTCATACATAGATTATAATACAAAGATTATCATACATAGATTATCATACATAGATTATCATACATAGATTATCATACAAAGATTATCATACATAGATTATCATACAAAGATTATCATACATAGATTATAATACAAAGATTATCATACATAGATTATCATACATAGATTATCATACAAAGATTATCATACATAGATTATCATACATAGATTATCATACAAAGATTATCATAAATAGATTATCATACAAAGATTATCATACATAGATTATCATACAAAGATCATCATACAAAGATTATCATAAATAGATTATCATAAATAGATTATCATACATTGATTATCATACATAGATTATCATACAAAGATTATCATACAAAGATTATCATACAAAAATTATCATACATAGATTATCATACATAGATTATAATACATAGATTATCATACAAAGATTATCATACATAGATTATCATAGCACACATTCAGGTATAACAGCGATGTTTACCTAATATATATCTGATATATAGCTTGTATTTTATCTTAGTACACAATAGACAAACTGTCATCTCATTATTTGCTTTTAAAGCTGATATTGCATATTAAATGTAGTATTTCTAGACTTTCACCATGCTATATAGTTTCAGCAGAAATTGATTACATGTCTTAAAAATGTGGTGGTTGTTTTGTTCTGCTGTATACTAGTTCACTTAAACAGTGCAGAATCAACCAGGATCCTGACAATATCAATGACAGCATCAGTAGGTGATATTAAGCTGTTTTAGACAAATCAATTCTATGATGCCTTGTGGCATGGGACAAACAAATACTGTAAGTAATCAGTCTTAAAATGTTAAGTTAAATGCCTCATATATGGAAAATATAACAACCAAGATATTGAAATTTTCATTTTAAATGGTAACTCTGTCTTTGTTAAAAATAACTGCTGTCTTAAGGGTAAAACTACTTATAAAATCCTGACATAATGTTCTTGTTGACTTTAGGATGGTTCGGAGTACCCGATCAGTCCGGCCATCAAACAGATACAGCCAGTGGAGATCTATGATCCTATACTAGTGAAACCATCAGAGCTCTTCTTTCCCTGGGACCCAAAGGTGCCAATAAGTCATCGCTATCAACTCCAGGTGAGATTCTGTGACACTTGAGTGAACCAACTGCATGTAAATCTGACACCTCTACCACCTAAACATAAATTTCTTTGACACCTGTATGAACTACAGGTAAGTTTCTGTGACACCAGCACCAACTACAGGTAAGTTTCTGTGACACCTGCGCCAACAACAGGTGAGTTTCAATGACATCTGTACCAACTACAGCTAAGTTTCTGTGACATCTACCTTCTAATAGTAAGATTCTGTGACACTTGTACCAACTACAGGTAAGTTTCTGTGACACCTGCGCCAACAACAAGTGAGTTTCAATGACATCTGTACCAACTACAGCTAAGTTTCTGTGACATCTACCTTCTAATAGTAATATTCTGTGACACTTGTACCAACTACAGGTAAGTTTCTGTGACACAAGCACCAACTACAGGTAAGTTTCTGTGACACCTGCACCAACAACAGGTGAGTTTCAATGACATCTGCACCAACTACAGCTAAGTTTCTGTGACATCTATCTTCTAATAGTAAGATTCTGTGACACTTGTACCAACTACAGGTAAGTTTCTGTGACACCAGCACCAACTACAGGTAAGTTTCTGTGACACCTGCACCAACAACAGGTGAGTTTCAATGACATCTGCACCAACTACAGCTAAGTTTCTGTGACATCTACCTTCTAATAGTAAGATTCTGTGACACTTGTACCAACTACAGGTAAGTTTCTGTGACACCAGCACCAACTACAGGTAAGTTTCTGTGACACCTGCACCAACAACAGGTGAGTTTCAATGACATCTGCACCAACTACAGCTAAGTTTCTGTGACATCTACCTTCTAATAGTAAGATTCTGTGACACTTGTACCAACTACAGGTAAGTTTCTGTGACACTTGTACGAACTACAGGTAAGTTTCAGTGACACCTGTGTCAACTACAGGTAAGTTTCTGTGACACCTGTACCAACTACAGTTAAGTTTCTGTGACACCTGTACCAACTACAGGTAAGTTTCTGTGACACCTGTGTCAACTACGGTTAAGTTTCTGTGACGCCTGTACTTTCTAATAGTAATTTTCTAACATGTGTACACAACTTTAGGTACATTATTGTCACACCTGTACAGAGTAGCATTTATCTATTTGACACATGACAAATTATTGAAATATAAAATATAGCTTTCTTTACCTGATTCCAGGCTACAGGAGGAAGTGGAGAGTATATATGGAAGTCATCAGAGCCACGAATCACTAATGTTAACATGCATGGGGAGATAACGACAGGTCACACAGGAAGCACCAACGTAACAGCAGCTGACACAAGGAACCAGGCCCACTGGGGTTTGTCTACTGTAAGTGTTACATGATGAATCAGGGTTTGTCTGCTGTAAGTGTTACTTGATGAATCAGGGTTTGCCATCAGTAAATGTATATAAACATGTTCATACATTTACACAGTGAAGGATAATCAATACCACTAGTCGTCAATAAGGATATATATCACTTGTCATTACCATGGTCTTACCTTAATGGTCAGAACCAAAAGTTGTAAAATCAGTTAAGGAATTTTAAGTCTTTTCCAGAATTTTGGTGCAAATCTATTTAAACTTAAGTCAGTTTTCATCTATGACTGGTGATTTACCTTGAAGGTCCATGTATTGCCACCGTCGGACATGTTGTTCCGCCCTAAAAGAGTCGAGGCTGCTGTTGGGACAGATCTGGAGATCCCCTTGGCTATTTTTGCATTGTTTAAAGGTAAGTCACCATTACAGGATAATGATAGTCCTGTGTTACGTGACTAGTAGTCTTCAGTTAATTCATCTGTACCAAGTATCTGCTGTAAAAATGGTTTGTCATTATTTATTGGTATCTTCTGTAATCATAGATCTGGTTTAAACTACAATTAGTGGTGGCAATGTGGATCCAGGTTCTACATTCATTTAAATCCATTTTTATACAGGGTTACTGTTAATGGTTGTTGATGTAGATCAGGTTCTAGACCCTCTCCAATCTATCTTGATACAGGGTGACTGTTAATGGTTGTTGATGTAGATCAGGTTCTAGACCCTCTCCAATCTATCTTGATACAGGGTGACTGTTAATGGTTGTTGATGTAGATCAGGTTCTAGACCCTCTTCAATCCATCTTGATACAGGTTTACTGTTAATGGTTGTTGATGTAGATCAGGTTCTAGACCCTCTCCAATCCATCTTGATACAGGGTTACTGTTAATGGTTGTTGATGTAGATCAGGTTCTAGACCCTCTTCAATCCATCTTGATACAGGGTTGCTGTTAATGGTTAATGATGTAGATCAGGTTCTAGACCCTCTCCAATCCATCTTGATACAGGGTCACTGTTAATGGTTGTTGATGTAGGTCAGGTTCTAGACCCTCTCCAATCCATCTTGATACAGGGTTACTGTTCATGGTTTTAGATTCTCTCTTATCACTTGAGTTTTAGGGCCAGGACAACCATTGCTAACTCAGGACCAGTGTTCTTTCTTGCATTTTGAAACTGGGTGTACAGTGTACTCAACAATGCATTCATGTAGGGAGTCCTTGAAAACTGGGGTTCAAGACCAGTTTGGGTGATTTTTTACCCTCATTCAGGGGTAAAGGGGACACTACCGTGGACTTATTTAGGAAACATTCTGTATAGTCTAATGCAGAACATTCAAGACTGAATTTTTACATAATGACACATCATTTCCAGGGACACCGCAGGAATTCAACGACTGCAGAATGATGAGACTGAATGTAACTTTTACTGACCAGACAGTGTTCCAGTATTCAGAAGGTAATGAGTTTAAACGTTTCAAAATCCCATGAATATCAGAACTGATGATCAGTTCTTGTTTTTTTCTTTATTATTGGGTCAGTTGTATAGATATATATCTATTCTTTTAATTCAACATTTTTTATCAACCTGATCTTTTCTTTACCTGAAAATGCCAAAATAGCTTAATCCAGTCCGCACATTCCTCTCACATTCAAAACCTTGACCTCCTCCCCCACCCAATTCCACACTCCACCCTTCTGCAACACCACAGTCTTGATCCTTTTTTTTTGTTTCAAGGTTATAAGCCTTAACTTTCTTGAAGATCATTAGAAAAATGAGAAGGCTGGTAAAATTAGAATTTATTTTTACATGCTCTTGTAATAAAATGAAGTCTGGTAGAAATCAGATGTCTGGTTTTTATTAAAGATGCTGTTGTAATCAAACGTTCAATATATGATTAACTTGACATTTGGTGAACTCCTTTGTTGAAAAGTACCATTTAACATAAAATAGGAATTTTTTCCCTTGTTTTTCCAAAATTTTGGTTGCTGTGGTATTTGGTAACTGTAGACAGGTTTCACTTCGAAAAGTCATTCAACAGATTTCATTATTTGACTTTGGTCAAATAGTATAAACTAGTTAAAACCTATAGTAGGATACATTAGGTGTTTCATAAACAGTGGCAACACAATCCTGGCCTCTGATTAAATTTCATTTATTTTATGTAAATGTGAGATGAAGGTTAAAAATATCATCACTATATATTTGTATATGAAATGGTATTGCATATAGGGTGTTATGTTAAAAATCAAGGTCATTGTTTGATTAAACATTTTTTCTGTATCTTTTATTCAAATTCTTTGATGTATATATTATAACACTTAAACTTATGTAATCTTATACATGTTTTGTTTTGTAGATATAACTTCCTTACCTGATAATGGGTGTCGCTTTGTAAAGGTCAGGGCAGTGATCCAAGGTCACACAGAAGTGAAGGCCTCCTATATAGTAGGCAATATACAGCTTGAATCCACAGTCACAATTGCTGCTTATGATCCACTTCAGGTCAGTCAAGAGGATGGAAAATTGTTTGTGTGATATTTTTTAGCCAGAAATATGAAAGGCTAGCTGAGCATTGTCGTAGAAGATCATAATTCATGTTGTACAAATATTGATCATAATCCAGTTTGATTTATTTGTGTATACAGGCTGTGGATCCAGAGAAGGAGGCTGTGGTTGCTGTGGGCTCTCAAAAAGAGGTGGTGTTCAGAGGTGGCCCCCAGCCCTGGGTCATAGACTCATCCAAGTACTTCCAAATATGTAAGTAACACACCACCCTGAGTCATAACTCAAAGCCCTATACATGCTACTCAGAGGTGGCCCCCAGCCCTGGGTCATAGACTTATCCAAGTACTTCCATTGTTATGCTGAGTTTCCCTCACCTATAGGAAGGAAAGTAGTGATATAGAAATAATCCTGATTTAAAATCCGTTTCTGAGCTGACAAATGTTATGTCTTCATTGGTGTTTTTATAATTTATCTTTCTACTTTATAGTGACACCTGAAAATCCAAGCATTGTCAAACAGCATCAACTGGGAACATTTGGCAACAATAGTAAGTATCGGACTGTCTGTGTCACTGTTTGTCGAGAGTAAGGGTATATTGTTTTATTGTTTTATCTAATGTGCATTTCTGTCTCTGATATGATTTCACAAAACTGACAACAATACTTAAGTTAGAGGATTGATTAGTGGGCTGGACTCTCGTCCTTGGTATTAATCAAAAATTTGTCAGGGCAATAAAAATAACATTTAAACTCGTAATTATTTATGAAAAAGGTTTGATTTCAAATATCTCTGTTTAAAAGTCACTTGATTATTTAACCAAATGTTGTCTGATGGTTGTCAAGGTTTTTAATGATGTGATGATGCATCTTTTTCAGGAGGTTTCCATAACTTCTTAGTGACCTGTAGAGATATTGGTAAACAGGTAAACACTCTAAACTATAATGGTATAATTTGTGGTGTTATCCAGTGTAATTAAGTATAATTTTCAGTATAATTTAGTGTAATTCATGACGTAACTGTAATTCAGTGTAAATCACAGAGTGTAATTCAGTATAATTCACAAGGTAATTAAGTGTAAATCAGAGTGCAGTTCAGTGTAATTCATGGTGTAACATATTTCAGTGTAATTCACAGTGTACTCCTATTGTAGTAGACCATGGCAGAGTTCCTTTGAGGGAGCCATTAGCCGGGATAACTTTGTAATAACATCTCAAATTCAAAGTTTTATATATACAGTGAGCTCTAATTTGATGTATTAAGTTTCAAAAGTGACAGGTGTTCACACAAATATTAAATTTATGTTTCACAGCTCATTTTTTATCTTAAATTTTTTTTTTATTTAGTTTTCAAATCTAAGAAAGAGGGTTAGGGATGCAGTTTTCTGATTTGTATATAGCATTTTACTCTTATTACTTACAGAAACTAACTCTCAGGGTTGGAAACGAGAAAACAGCCAAGAACCAGTACCCAGCTACAGAAGAAGTGTCTATCATGTAAGCTTTTGGTGAAGAAGACAATGCCTATAACAAAGAAACAGATGATTTGTGATGTTTTTTTGATATATGGGGGATAAACAGGTGGAGCTATGGAGAGCTGTGGAAATCAGTAGTTAAAAGGGATAATGGGGCACAATAATGTCCCCTCCTTGGCCCATCCCCATTATACTATATTTGGGAAGTAGAAGTAAAATATGCTAGTATATTGCCTGTAATGAGGTAATATTAAAGGTAGGTCTGTGTAAATCTTTCCCCACCAAGTCTTTTTGTATCATACCTGATGGTTTTCTCTGAAATTTAGTCGCCCCTCCCTCTCTCCCTCTCTTGATAAAACATGAGCTGGGAACGATGGTATTACTATTTCTCAAGATAATTTTTTATTTGATTGCAAAAGAGAAAAGACATTTGACAGTCAGTATTTATATTTTATATTATAATGTTATTTGAACCCATCAGATACAACTGTGCTGCTCCAGTAGAACTACATTTGACCCCCCTTGTAAAGATGCCAGACAAGAACCTGCCTCCGTGTCCTGTTATACGAGATCCCACACAGTCGGTAAGTTTTGGACCTCCCACCATGACCTATCATAAGAGATCCCACACAGGAAGTAAGTTGTTGAAATAAGCAATTTTATTACCGGGGGTATATATATTATTTAATGCACAAGTTTATTTGCAAAAACTCATAAAAAAAATGACCGATATGTCCATTGAATTTCGGAACTAAATTTCCATGTGGAGCAATTATTTTAACCTACGTCAGTAGACAAAATACAGTATAATGTCTGGTAAACAAAGACTGAACAATCTCTGGACAGAGGCAAGCCACTTTTGTGTTTCTTCCCCTGTGCCAAAATATAGCTTATATTTTAAGACACTGGTCATATCTTCTCATTGAATTTCACACCTTTTACTGATTTGTATTAAGATTTTATTTATTAGGGCCTCACAAGAAAGTGCTTAATCCCTATAGTAATCACGGTGTCCATCCGTCTATCTGTCAGCACTTTTGTGTTGGTGTAATAATTTGAATTTCCTTGGGCCAATCAAGCTGAACTTTATACAGTGTTGTCAGATAGCTGGGCCATTGCTGACCTGTCAGTGTTCAAGTACTAGTACTATGTTACTTCCAAGTATCTAAACTTAGAAGAATTGTTGCAGTACAATTTTGGTTCATGTAGATTTCATGGTCTTCATGTCACTGCGGGAAATTATCACTGAAATCTTGTTATTTATGAAACTTTATCATTAGTTCATTGTTCGTTTGCTATGTTGTAGGTACCTGTACATTGTAGCAGAGATTTGGACATTCTGGTGACTGTCACCGACTCGGCTGGCAATAAGTTTGACAATTTCTCCTCTCTTGAGTTTGAGTGGACACACACTGACCATTCCTTAGGTTCCTTAGCCTTGGAGACTGGTCTTATGACTGAGGTGACCACATCCAGTGAAGGAGTCACCACCATTAAAAGTAGGTCACTGCAGATGTAATAATTCAACACCATTAAAAGTAGGTCACTGCAGATGTAATAATTTAACACCAATTAAAGTAGGTCACTGCAGATGTAATAATTCAACACCGATAAAAGTAGGTCACTGCAGATGTAGTAATTCAACACCATTAAAATAGGTCACTGCAGATGTAATAATTCAACACCATTAAAAGTAGGTCACTGCAGATAATAATTCAACAATAAGCAGGAGTTTGTGGAATAAGTATTAAATAAGGAAACATACAAGAAGAAACATTTTACCAGGATATTACAGTTATAGTGAGAGAACTATGTGATATTACTGAAGGAATTTTTACAAAAATGAAAAAAATGTTTAGTAAATAAAAAGTAACCCATGTAAGAGTGTTTTTAATGTTTTGTTGTATTAGTCTTTGTCACTTTGTGATTATTTGTGGATGTAGAATTTTCTGTTTTGATGGTTATGTCGTAATGTTATGTTGAATATAATAGGTGTAACCTTTGTGAAATTTTGTGTATGATTGTGTAATTAATCTGTTACTTTCTGACAGACTTCCAGACCCTGAACCCAGCTGGCCGTCCTGGATATATCACTGTAACTGCCACTGTGAATCGCTACTTAGCCAAGTATCTCAGGGAGGCTGGATCAGGAATATATGTACGCTACTGGAAATAACCCTGGGTTTACCGTTGGGAATAATCACAAAACATGTTTGACCAGATAATTGTAAAACTAGAACCTTGTCTTCTGTGTATTATCTAAGAACCAAATGACAGATTGTTTATCTTCAACCAACATTAATCTTGGTACATAAAGACCAGTTGATAAGGAGCACAGTCACATTTAGCTGGCTTTTATTGGCACAAGTGGTTTTTTAATAGAGATTCCAGTTATGTCATTTCAGTTCAATACATTTTAAAACTATCTCAATAAATTCTACACCTTATATCTGTTCAGTATGTTGATCAAGAATTTACTCCTACACAAAGGAAAGTGAAACTCTTGGTTCAGTGATGAAAAATTCTGACATATTTTCATTACAGGCCAACATATCACCACCCCTTACTAAGTCGCTTCAGTTAAAGTTGGTGGAGGAAGCTGTTGTATCTCCAGACATGATATCAGTGTTCAATCACCCTTCTAACAAGGTCAGTATGTGCTTGTGGCAAGTCCACTACAATATATTGATGTGATTTTGTATTACAAACATGTCACGAATCAACTTGACTGAAAACCAACAAAATTACTTACTAATGAATGGCCCCTTAAAAGGATTCCAAGCAATTTTAGCCAAACCATGTGACCACCTCATGTATATTCTAGTTATCCTTTGCCATTTTTTACTAAGTTGCGTTAGTTCTCACATCCAAAAAGAGTTTCAAAACCAACACGAGGTATCTCCCTTGAACTCATTGATTGGGAACCAATACGCATTTGGAAGAATAAATTGATAATTTAATTTCAAACCTCTTTAAAAATCAAAATAACTGAATTGTTTGACCCACAAAATCTTACTTTCTGTATCAAGTTTAACTCCACATTTTTTGGGGAGTTCCCATTTTACCTGTCAACTATGTAATTCAATTTGTAATAGTACCAATCACTCATATAATTCATTATAGTGTTGTCCCAACCTCTCACAAAAAAACAATTTATCTGACGCCAGACTCTATCACACATTTAATTCTGGAACCGCCCTAAAGAAAACCTACAATTTGTTTTCAAAAACCAAATGTAAAATAACAAATGTTGTTGACTTTGATTGAATTTTGTGCAATTATGTGAAAACATAGTCGTCCTTACTATTATACTGTTGTTTATATTGATCAGGTGACAGTTCACGTACAGAAAGGTTCGGGGTACTTCTATATCCATCCAGCCCAGTCTGACATCGTGAAGATCGACTACAGCGATCAGAAACGCGAGATGCTGGTAAAGTGTTATTTATATATGCTGTCCATTGATAACAAAAATTGAACAGTGATACAATCTTTTCTCATCTTCATAAAAAATATCCTACAATCTTTCTATAAAAAAGAATGGAAGAAAAAAATAAAATAAAAAAAAAAAGAATAAAGAAATGGAAACAGTATCAACAGATTTAAACATGGCAATGTTGTGAATGTGACATCACTGTGATCTATAAATAATCTTTGTCACCTGTTACAGGTAAAGCCTATATCAGATGGCTCCTTGTCTGTGACCGTATTTGACCTCTGTATTGATATGCCAGACCCTCCTATGGCTACGGTGTTCGTGTCAGGTGTAGGAAGTATTCAGCTCTCTGCCATGGACAAGGTAAGACATCCTATCACAAACTACAGGTACTCTGTATATATCAGGTACTATATCTCCCATGAACTTTATTGAGGTAAGCTGCTTCTTTGACTAGGAATAAAATTCCTGTAATTGTACAGATGGTGAAGACATTTCTGCCTGGTCAGGTTTGATAGCACTAAGACTGCTGAGTATTAGAAATGGCTGCTTTAAACAAATCATAGTCCATATTTATTGTTTTAAGAACTGAAAAGAAACTTTATGACATTAAATTGAATTTTTAGGTGGAAGTTGGCAAGGACTTTCAGGCCAAGGTGAAGGTGTTGGATATGCATGGTAAACCACTACAGGCAAGCTTCTTCCCCTTAATGGGCCTCCGGCTGGTGCCTGCATCTACCATCATCACAGTCAAGTAAGTGTAAGGAAGGATGGGTCTCTGTAGGGGTTTTATACAATAATTACTCACTACAGGCGAGCTTCTTCCCTTTGATGGGGCTGGTGCCCGCATCCACCATCACGGTCAAGTAAGTATGAGTTAGGATGGGTATCTGTAGGGGTTTTATACAATAATTACTCACTACAGGCGAGCCCCTCCCCTTGATGGGCCTCCGGCTAGTGCCCGCATCCACCATCATCACAGTTAAGTAAGTATGAGTTAGGATGGGTCTCTGTAGGGGTTTTATACAATAATTACTCACTAAAGCCTAGCTTCTTCCCCTTGATTGGCCTCCGGCTAGTGCCTGCATCCACCATCATCACAGTTAAGTAAGTAGGAATGGGGACTTGTATGAGAATAATAAAAGAATTAACCAATGCAGGCAATTTTCGCCCCAATGGGCCTCAGACAAGTACCTGTGAATAAGGATGGGGCCATGTTCTGGTTTTATGTAATAGTTAACTACTACTACAGGCAAGTTTCTTTCCCCAACTCTGACTGATGCCTGCATTTACCATCATCTCGTTGAGGGGCGCGATGAAGGGATTTTTTAAAATGTCTGAGTTTCTTCTCCATTGTGATTCTGTCTCATTACATTACATAGACATTCAGAACTTGTGTTTCATCTGTCAGGCCTGATCTTGAGGCAGCAGAAGACAGATTCACTGCATTCTACACTGTACATGGAGCAATAGTGGGCCACACCTCCCTAGAGGCTCGGGCGACGCCCAGACCTGATGTTGCAGTGACCAGTGTTGCCAAAGCTGTTGAGGTAGGTATCCAGGAAAGTAATTATTCATTATGAATATTTATATGTAAAATAATTAACAAGAAACTTGTAGATAATAAAAATGAATGGCTGTGAGACCTCTAGACATCAAAGTGATGATCGTAGAATAAGGTTTGTAAGCCATAAACAAAAAGATAAAAATAACAGAAATTACCTACATATTTATGCTATAATATAATGTCTTTCACAGTGGACTGAATGTTTATCATTTTGAATTTCTGACATAATTAGATAATCATATGTATTATATTTCACTCTCAATTTGAATAAGTGTAACAAATGAATGTTATATTGCAGGTGTTTCCCCCACTCCAGCTAATACCTCAGAATATTACACTGATTATTGGAGCACTCTTCCAGGTAAGCAAACATATGAGGCCTCACACCTCAATGTATCGAATTGATAGGTTTGTGATTTCTGTTTCAGGTGCTCAGTAAAGGTGGCCCCACCCCTCAGTGTGTCAAATTGATAGGTTTGTGATTTCTGTTTCAGGTGCTCAGTAAAGGTGGCCCCACCCCTCAGTGTATCAAATTGATAGGTTTGTGATTTCTGTTTCAGGTGCTCAGTAAAGGTGGCCCCACTCCTCAGTGTACAGTGCTCTTCTCAATCGCCAATGATGACATCGCTTTAGTTTCAAGCAGTGGACTACTTGATGCTCAAGAACTGGGTTCAACAAGGGTCATAGGTCAAGCTGTAGGTCAAGACCCAGAAACGGGAGAGACAATCATATATTCACAGGTGAAAATTTATTCATTATAGACTTTTTGCTCAATAACATAAATAATAAATAAAGATTTTTATCTTCTGTACAAAAAGCTATTTAAATATCAAGAGACTGATGCCAAGTCTTTTGATTGGGTTGGACTTGCAAGGAGTGATAGTTGTGTTCTAAGAGATAATACTTTGTTTTTTGCCCCCAGGATGAAGCACAGGTACATGTTGTGCCTCTGACTGACATCAGAATCCACGCCCCACTGACACGTCTACAAACTGGCACACGGGTAAGTGGAGGTATTATTATCAACGTTTTGGCATTTCTCAATCTTTTCATTAATGGTAAGGAAATGACATTACTGTTCAGGTTTATTACATGTCCTCCAGGAATATGATATTTTGATTATTTAGAGGATGGTGTTCTTTTAGTTCTCATTTGTCTAACATAGTCATTTTCTAAAATATGTAAAAACCTGTTTTAATTTGGGTAAAATAGCCATTTTGTCATAAATGAAAGCAAAAACAAAATACCACCTGTATAATTGCTAACAGTTTCCTTCCCCTGTGTAATCCAGATGCCCATGTATGCTGTCGGAACAACAGAACATGAGACTCCGTTTACATTTGGTAGTGCCATCCCACCACTCACATTCTCATGGTCCGTCTCCAACAAAGATGTTGTCTTTCTCGAGAACGTCTTCCATTCGGTGAGTTATTGGTATATTATTGGATGAAACTGCAGGATTGTGTGTGCTATTATAGTCCAGATCAGTGTTGTAGTAAACAGCTCTCACTCTTGTGAGAGAATTTTCTATTATTCCATTAACTGTTCTCAGCCGCTAATGTCAACCTGAAATGCTTGTTATGAATCTTTGATTTGATTTTTACTCTGCAGAGTGGTGTCTTTCCTCCAGAACAGAGTGACTTTGCCAACCAGCTGGTTGCTAGGGAACCTGGAAGGGTGACAGTCAAGCTGGAGGTCAGCCCAGCAAGATTCCAGAAAATCCAAGTTAGCGGTCATATGCAGCTAACTGATGAACTACAGATTGAGGTAGGGTTTAGGGTTACTTAGGGTTTCAGAGGACTGATGTGTTACAGATGGAGGTAGGGTCAGTTAGGGGTACAGAGGACTGATGTGTTACATATTGAGGTAGGGTCAGTTAGGGGTACAGAGGACTGATGTGTTACATATTGAGGTAGGGTCAGTTAGGGGTACACAGGACTGATGTGTTACAGATTGAGGTAGGGTTAGTTAGGGGTACAGAGGACTTATGTGTTACAGATTGAGGTAGGGTCAGTTAGGGGTACAGAGGACTATTGTGTTACAGATTGAGGTAGGGTCAGTTAGGGGCACAGAGGACTGATGTGTTACATATTGAGGAAGGGTTAGTTAGGGGTACAGAGACTGATGTGTTACATATTGAGGAAGGGTTAGTTAGGGGTACACAGGACTGATGTGTTACATATTGAGGTAGGGGTACACAGGACTGATGTGTTACAGATTGAGGTAGGGTCAGTTAGGGGTACACAGGACTGATGTGTTACAGATTGAGGTAGGGTCAGTTAGGGGTACAGAGGACTATTGTGTTACAGATTGAGGTAGGGTCAGTTAGGGGTACAGAGGACTGATGTGTTACAGATTGAGGTAGGGTCAGTTAGGGGTACACAGGACTGATGTGTTACAGATTGAGGTAGGGTCAGTTAGGGGTACAGAGGACTGATGTGTTACAGATTGACGTAGGGTCAGTTTGGGGTACAGAGGACTGATGTGTTACAGATTGAGGTAGGGTCAGTTAGGGCTACACAGGACTGATGTGTTACAGATTGAGGTAGGGTCAGTTAGGTCAGTTAGGGGTACAGTTAGGACTGATGTGTTACAGATTGAGGTAGGGTCAGTTAGGGGTACAGAGGACTGATGTGTTACAGATTGAGGTAGGGTCAGTTAGGGGTACAGGGACTGATGTGTTACAGATTGAGGTAGGGTCAGTTCGGGGTACAGAGGACTTATGTGTTACAGATTGAGGTAGGGTCAGTTAGGGGTACAGAGGACTGATGTGTTACAGATTGAGGTAGGGTCAGTTAGGGGTACACAGGACTGATGTGTTACAGATTGAGGTAGGGTCAGTTAGGGGTACAGAGGACTATTGTGTTACAGATTGAGGTAGGGTCAGTTAGGGGTACAGAGGACTGATGTGTTACAGATTGAGGTAGGGTCAGTTAGGGGTACAGAGGACTGATGTGTTACAGATTGAGGTAGGGTCAGTTAGGGGTACAGAGGACTGATGTGTTACAGATTGAGGTAGGGTCAGTTAGGGGTACAGAGGACTGATGTGTTACAGATTGAGGTAGGGTCAGTTAGGGGTACAGAGGACTGATGTGTTACAGATTGAGGTAGGGTCAGTTAGGGGTACAGAGGACTGATGTGTGTGTTGTGTTACAGAGGTAGGGTCAGTTAGGGGTACAGGGGACTGATGTGTTACAGATTGAGGTAGGGTCAGTTAGGGGTACAGAGGACTGATGTGTTACAGATTGAGGTAGGGTCAGTTAGGGGTACAGAGGACTGATGTGTTACAGATTGAGGTAGGGTCAGTTAGGGGTACAGAGGACTGATGTGTTACAGATTGAGGTAGGGTCAGTTAGGGGTACACAGGACTGATGTGTTACAGATTGAGGTAGGGTCAGTTAGGGGTACAGAGGACTGATGTGTTACAGAGTGATGTGTTACAGATTGTGTTACAGATTGAGGTACACAGGGTGTGTTACAGTTAGGGGTACACAGGACTGATGTGTTACAGATTGAGGTAGGGTCAGTTAGGGGTACAGAGGACTGATGTGTTACAGATTGAGGTAGGGTCAGTTAGGGGTACAGAGGACTGATGTGTTACAGATTGAGGTAGGGTCAGTTAGGGGTACAGAGGACTGATGTGTTACAGATTGAGGTAGGGTCAGTTAGGGGTACAGAGGACTGATGTGTTACAGATTGAGGTAGGGTCAGTTAGGGGTACACAGGACTGATGTGTTACAGATTGAGGTAGGGTCAGTTAGGGGTACACAGGACTGATGTGTTACAGATTGAGGTAGGGTCAGTTAGGGGTACACAGGACTGATGTGTTACAGATTGAGGTAGGGTCAGTTAGGGGTACAGAGGACTGATGTGTTACAGATTGAGGTAGGGTCAGTTAGGGGTACACAGGACTGATGTGTTACATATTGAGGTAGGGTCAGTTAGGGGTACAGAGGACTGATGTGTTACAGATTGAGGTAGGGTCAGTTAGGGGTACACAGGACTGATGTGTTACAGATTGAGGTAGGGTCAGTTAGGGGTACAGAGGACTGATGTGTTACAGATTGAGGTAGGGTCAGTTAGGGGTACAGAGGACTGATGTGTTACAGATTGAGGTAGGGTCAGTTAGGGGTACAGAGGACTGATGTGTTACAGATTGAGGTAGGGTCAGTTAGGGGTACACAGGACTGATGTGTTACAGATTGAGGTAGGGTCAGTTAGGGGTACAGAGGACTGATGTGTTACAGATTGAGGTAGGGTCAGTTAGGGGTACACAGGACTGATGTGTTACAGATTGAGGTAGGGTCAGTTAGGGGTACAGAGGACTGATGTGTTACAGATTGAGGTAGGGTCAGTTAGGGGTACAGAGGACTGATGTGTTACAGATTGAGGTAGGGTCAGTTAGGGGTACAGAGGACTGATGTGTTACAGATTGAGGTAGGGTCAGTTAGGGGTACAGAGGACTGATGTGTTACAGATTGAGGTAGGGTCAGTTAGGGGTACAGAGGACTGATGTGTTACAGATTGAGGTAGGGTCAGTTAGGGGTACAGAGGACTGATGTGTTACAGATTGAGGTAGGGTCAGTTAGGGGTACAGAGGACTGATGTGTTACAGATTGAGGTAGGGTCAGTTAGGGGTACACAGAGTGTTACATATTGACTGATGTGTTACAGATTGAGGTAGGGTCAGTTAGGGGTACAGAGGACTGATGTGTTACAGATTGAGGTAGGGTCAGTTAGGGGTACAGAGGACTGATGTGTTACAGATTGAGGTAGGGTCAGTTAGGGGTACAGAGGACTGATGTGTTACAGATTGAGGTAGGGTCAGTTAGGGGTACAGAGGACTGATGTGTTACAGATTGAGGTAGGGTCAGTTAGGGGTACAGAGGACTGATGTGTTACAGATTGAGGTAGGGTCAGTTAGGGGTACAGAGGACTGATGTGTTACAGATTGAGGTAGGGTCAGTTAGGGGTACACAGGACTGATGTGTTACAGATTGAGGTAGGGTCAGTTAGGGGTACAGGACTGATGTGTTACAGATTGAGGTAGGGTCAGTTAGGGGTACAGAGGACTGATGTGTTACAGATTGAGGTAGGGTCAGTTAGGGGTACAGAGGACTGATGAGTTACAGATTGAGGTAGGGTCAGTTAGGGGTACAGAGGACTGATGTGTTACAGATTGAGGTAGGGTCAGTTAGGGGTACAGAGGACTGATGTGTTACAGATTGAGGTAGGGTCAGTTAGGGGTACAGAGGACTATTGTGTTACAGATTGAGGTAGGGTCAGTTAGGGGTACACAGGACTGATGTGTTACATATTGAGGTAGGGTTAGTTAGGGGTACAGAGGACTGATGTGTTACAGATTGAGGTAGGGTCAGTTAGGGGTACAGAGGACTGATGCGTTACAGATTGAGGTAGGGTCAGTTAGGGGTACACAGGACTGATGTGTTACAGATTGAGGTAGGGTCAGTTAGGGGTACACAGGACTGATGTGTTACAGATTGAGGTAGGGTCAGTTAGGGGTACAGAGGACTGATGTGTTACAGATTGAGGTAGGGTCAGTTAGGGGTACACAGGACTGATGCGTTACAGATTGAGGTAGGGTCAGTTAGGGGTACACAGGACTGATGTGTTACAGATTGAGGTAGGGTCAGTTAGGGGTACAGAGGACTATTGTGTTACAGATTGAGGTAGGGTCAGTTAGGGGTACAGAGACTGATGTGTTACAGATTGACGTAGGGTCAGTTTGGGGTACAGAGGACTGATGTGTTACAGATTGAGGTAGGGTCAGTTAGGGGTACACAGGACTATTGTGTTAGAGATTGAGGTAGGGTCAGTTAGGGGTACACAGGACTGATGTGTTACAGATTGAGGGAGGGTCAGTTAGGGGTACAGAGACTGATGTGTTACAGATTGAGGGAGGGTCAGTTAGGGGTACAGAGGACTGATGTGTTACAGATTGAGGTAGGGTCAGTTAGGGGTACAGAGACTGATGTGTTACAGATTGAGGTAGGGTTAGTTAGGGGTACACAGGACTGATGTGTTACAGATAAAAGTGGGGTCAGTAAAGAGAATGAAGTAGTGGTGAGCTACAGATTGAGGAAGGGTCTGTTAAGTGAAGGGAGAAATAGTGACCTACAGTTTTGACTTGGTAACTTTTTAAAAAAAAAATTTGTGAGATCATGATACATGAATCTAAAAAATACTGTTAACATCCTTGATTTAGTGCAATGAAATTTTATCACATGATCTCTTATTTTGCTGCAAAGAGTACAAATTAGTACAACAGTAATCAATTGGAGGAGCAGCAAACAGACACTAACACTGTCACAGTACTATAACTTACGTTTATTATTTCTGTCATAGTCTCGTAATGAAATGATATTTAGTCATGTTACATTTCATTGTGATTATTGGTGTTGATTTTCAGGTGTTCCAGAAGCTTGCTGTGATCAGTCCGTCTGTGTGTGATGGCAAACTTCTGATGACTCCTAACACCGAGGCAGTCATCAAAACAAACAGGTATTACAAATCTCCACATTCAAACACTTCAAGCAATCATAAATTGTTCGCTTTTTATATTAAAGTTATATGAAGTTCTTGATTGCAATATCAACAGATATTTATTGATTTGTTTTTTGGGTGTAAATGAAGACAGTAAACTGTGGTGGCAATAAGTCACCAATGTACTACAAGACTTGTACAGGTCGATGTTAACACAGTACTAACACTCAGAAATCTTCTATAATTCAATAGAGATGGGGCAGCCAAAGTGAGCTACACAGTACTGCCATCTAGTGGTGACCAGAGGGTCGTTGCCGTGGGAGATGGAGGCTTATTGATTTCTGGACCAAAGGCTGGAGAGGCTGCCCTCCACATCACATCTCAGGAGGAGTTTGGTACTAACCAGACATTAGTACTTCTAATAAAGGTCATTATCTCTCTCACTCATCCTTCTGATCAAGGTTATTGTCTCTTACCCTCATCCTTCTCATCAAGGTTATTGTCTCATACATTCATCCTTCTCATCAAGGTCATCTCTGTGACCTCTAGGTAAATCCTGTATATTTCTGTGACCTCTAGGTAAACCTGTATAATTCTGTGACTTCAATGTAATTCCTGTATATTTCTGTGACCTCTAGGTAAATCCTGTATATTTCTGTGACCTCTAGGTAAACCTGTATAATTCTGTGACTTCAATGTAATTCCTGTATATTTCTGTGACCTCTAGGTAAATCCTGTATATTTCTGTGACCTCTAGGTAAATCCTGTATATTTCTGTGAACTCTAGGTAAATCCTGTATATTTCTGTGACCTCTAGGTAAATTCTGTATATTTCTGTGAACTCTAGGTAAATCCTGTATATTTCTGTGAACTCTAGGTAAATCCTGTATATTTCTGTAACCTCTAGGTAAATCCTGTATATTTCTGTGACCTCTAGGTAAATCCTGTATATTTCTGTGACCTCTAGGTAAATCCTGTATATTTCTGTGACCTCTAGGTAAATCCTGTATATTTCTGTGACCTCTAGTTAATTCTTTATAGTTCTGTGACCTCTAGGTAAATCCTGTGTATTTCTGTGACCTGTAGGTAAATCCTGTATATTTCTGTGACCTCTAGGTAAATCCTGTGTATTTCTGTGACCTCTAGGTAAATCCTGTATATTTCTGTGACCTCTAGGTAAATCCTGTATATTTCTGTGACCTCTAGTTAATTATTTTATAGTTCTGTGACCTCTAGGTAAATCCTGTGTATTTCTGTGACCTGTAGGTAAATCCTGTATATTTCTGTGACCTCTAGGTAAATCCTGTATATTTCTGTGACCTGTAGGTAAATCCTGTATATTTCTGTGACCTCTAGGTAAATCCTGTATATTTTCAGTGACCTTTTTGGTAAAACCTATATATCTGTTTGTCCTTTAGGTAAAACCTGTTTCCTACATGATGATCAATTCTGACACTAAACTGAGGACTTCTGGAGGGTTGCTGAAAAAGATTCCAGTTGGAAGTACTCTTCATTTATCTATCAGTTACCATGACAACATTGGAGAAAAGTTTTATGCAACAAATGTGAAAATGCGTTACAGATTTAGCAGGTAAAATTTGTTACTTTGGTTAATTTATTTATATGTGTATAGGAGGAGGTGGCATAAGTTTTATTTACCGTAAAAACCCATGTAATGTCCACACTTTTTTTCACCGAAAATCAATCCAAAAAAGGGGGTGCGGACATTACAGAGATATAGAGGAAATGACACTTTTTTCCTTCCGACAATTCATATCATATCTCCTTGAATTGTGTTCTTAAAAGCCAAGCATACCTGATATTATCGTTCTATGGTTTTTCCTATGATGTTTCCTCAACCAAACATGATTATTTATGATTATTTATTATAGTTTCCATGGCTAATTCCTTCCAATTTCTCGTTACAAGTTCGTATTGTGTCGTCCTTCGTAATAGGAAGCCATTTTGTTTGACTTTGTCACATGAATAAAGTTAGAGTTATTCCCCTTTCCCCATTGAAAAAGCATACCCATGAGCATATACAAAATAACACAACATTTTCATTCTACATTTTATTTACAAAATAACAATAAATAACATGTACAAGAATATTACATAAAATAAATAATCAGACGTTTTATTGATTATGGATCGTTTATCAGAAAGTCTTAATACATAGCAGGCCGGTTTAATAGCGTTTCTCGAAAAACCCCAGAAGTCGTCGTCGTCACTGTGGAAGAACTCCTTGGCGTTGAAGTTGTCTTCCTCTGTCTGGTCGTTGTAATAAATGGCGTTCTCGTCGTCTGATGGTGTGTCAGTAGGGTCAGTGGCGCCGTGGGTCATGGGCGGGTCATGTTACTGTATAGTTATCGTGAATTGGCTAATCACACGCTGTCACTCACTCACACTCGAGGTGAGGAGACGACCCAAGCTGTTTATAACACTGCTGGGCTAACCCTTATCAAAACACCAATTATCGAAATGAGGACTTGTCATACTGGTAAGCTTACTGTATCATTATGGAGAATAACTGTTGTTATAAACAATTAAGTGAATTCTTGAATGGTACCTGTAAGTTATACACAATGCGACATGCTCTCGGCCATTACGACATTAGCGTACGTGAAATGAAATCGGCAGCTTCAATTTGCATTTTTTACCCGCGGACATTACATGGAAGGTGGATTTTTTCCCCAGATTTTTGTGTCAAAAAAGGGGTGCGGACATTACACAGATGCGGACATTACGTGGGTTTTTACGGCATTATGAAATTTATGAAACAATTTTTTTTTCTTTTGTCCAAACTTGTTTTTAGAATACTGCTGGATCTCCTTTAAATATTTTTAAATTGACTTATTTTGCACAAATGTTTGATAAAAAATGTACATTTAAATGTGAAAAGATTTTGATTATTTCAGTGTTTTGTTTAGCCAAAGTGCTGAAAGCAAAGTGGAATTCCATCAAATTCTTGTATAGTAGTGATTTGTACATTTACTAGGTATGATCTGGTACAAGCTGGTTATGGCGTAGAAAATAATACCCTTGTTGTCAAGGTCTCAGATGTTGGCCAAACTATACTCAAGGTAAGTGATTCCTTAGGGTTGTAAAGTCTATCTTGTCCAGTATCGCACTCAACCTATCAAGCTGAAAAGATTTTTCTTTAGCCTCGCAGAATTTTATGAATAGTATTTGCCAGAGGATGTGTTTTTCAAGTGAGACCTACCACAAATATCTGGATAATTACAAACCTCTCTGTTTGTTGCTCCATGATAAAAAGCCATTTCTGGGATAATACTTAGGCACATGTCAGTAGATTCCATTGGTTAAAGAAATATTTTGATCTTGTTTTCACTATTTGGGAAACTCTTCAATTTGTGGTATCGCATGATTTCCTGTTTCATTAACCAATGTCCAATGAATTTCTCTACAGGTTTGGGACAAACAGAATCCCTGGTTAGCAGATTATATCAATATACATGGAGACTACGCCATCATGCCTGTTAAGGTTGTCATGTCCTTAGGAGAAATTGTTTGTTTCCAGTCATCACTGGTATCGGAGAAAGGTAAGTGATTCACCAATATTTCCTTTTTTGACAGGATACTGTGCATTTACAACAAGAGATTTTATAGATTCTGGTATCATTTTATTGACCTTGATATCAACAACAGATAACAAGCAAAAAATTTTAAATGCACTAGCTATATAAAACACTGAAAAAATCTTGCGACAGAGGCAGGCATAGTTGTTAATTTTTCAGCAACATCAGTGATGGTGTCAACTTTTGTGCTAAACTAAAAGTTGTTCAATCATTACGAGTGCTATTATCACTAAACCTGTTCTTTAGTCATATAACCAAGAGTATCTCAGGACTTGGTTTCATTTCTCAATTTAGCCTAATTTTTAAGGTTAAGTGTGCTTGTTAATCATAAAACAGAATGCTGTTTGTGTTTAGAAGACAAATTTTCTCAAAACAAAGTTAAAGTTTTATGTTCAGCTTGGTGTTGAGCTTTATTTTTAGATCTCCTGGTGAAAAGATCCAGTAGAATACAGAATTTTGAATTTTACATTGTCATTTGTAAATGGTTATTACTGTTGTACTTAAAGATCCATATCATTTAGGGAAGGTTATTATCATAGTCATACCCAGGTAGTGTGATTTTATGTTCTATCTGGTCAGTCAGGCTAATCGTCATCACACCAGCATACTTATATATTGAATTCTATATGTAAAACACATAGGACAGAGACTATGCAGTAGTGTGTAAACACATGGGACAGAGACTATGCAGTAGTGTGTAAACACATGAGACAGAGACTATGCAGTAGTGTGTAAAACACATGAGACAGAGACTCTGCAGTAGTGTGTAAAACACATGAGACAGAGACGTTGCAGTAGTGTTTAAAACACATGAGATAGAGACGTTGCAGTAGTGTGTAAAACACATATGACAGAGACTATGCAGTAGTGTGTAAAACACATGGGACAGAGACTATACAGTAGTGTGTAAAACACATGAGATAGAGACTATGCAGTAGTGTGATTAAAGGACCCTTCACTGATCACACACAGCCCATTCATGTTAGAATCTTTATTAAACAGGACACAGAGGGGCTTGGTTTTCCAGCAATGGCAATATCCACGTTGACAAGGACTCGGGTATCGCTATTGCTACAGGAGTTGGACAATCTTTTGTAGACTATAACATTTCCAGCACAGTGTCTACATACATGGAGGTTAGTATTGATTGATTGGCATGGTACAGAACATTCAATAACATACTTATGTACTTGATGTTCTCGAACTATCTGACATGAAAAAAAAAATTAAATTTGCTTAATAATTGGGCAAGAGTATCTCCCATTCTAGATTCTGACATTTTATTGGATCATTTGTTATATATCTCAGCCACTTTCTAGGTTTTAAAAGTTAGCCCCTCAGCATCACTGATGAGTGCATGAAGGATGAAACAGCTGTATTCAGTTTTGTTCTTTGTTTGGCTGTAAATCTCATTCCTGAATTGTACTGAATGGTGCTATTCACTTTACCTGTCTTTTGTACAATCTTCTTTTCAAGGTGTAAGGCAATTCTATTATGTTAAATACAAACACACAATTTAAAGTTTTCTTTGTGTTGGTTTTTGGCTCCACATGACTTCTTATCAAGGTTAGGTTAGGTTAGGTTTCCTTACCTCAGCCAGGATCATTTAAGGATGTGCCAGGTTTGGTTTGTGGAGGGAAGTTAGGGTTCACAGAGAAAAAATACCGACCTGTAGCCATTACCTGGTGTGGGCCCATGTAGGCCTTGAACCCTTTACCTAGAAGTGGAGGGCTAGCTGTGATGGAGATATTTAGACTCCTTAACCACTTGACCACTGCAGTTTCACTTATTATCAGATAGTAATAATAACATTTTCAGTTGCTAGAACAAAGGTAAGTTTGAAAATAAGTGTTCGAGATAATATTCCTGAAAAATGTCCCCTAATCCTGATTTTTCATTGTTACTTTACAGGTGACAGTTTCGCCAATCAGTAAGTTGACACTGGACAACAGTGTGGACCACTTGACCAATGTCCAGTCTAGAGGGAAAGCTCCCTTCATTACTGTCGTCCTGGATGATGAAAATGAAGTTTTGGGTAGGTATTTTATAACTAACATTAACAACAGGAATCACAGGTTCGTCTTCATATTAGATTAGAACCAGATCTTGACCATCGTCTTCATATTTATTTAAAACTAGATCTTGACGAAATAGGAAAGTAATCAGTGAAAATATCAGTGAATATCTCACACAAGAGATATGTACTTGTATATACAAACAAAGAGGCAGTTTTTCTTCTATCTTTTTTACCTTTGTCAAAATTTTGAAAAGCTAGTGTTCTCCAAATAGTAATCCATGTACACTTGTTCTGACTGAAATGAACATAAAATGTAAGTCCTGCTAAATTGGAATATTGTAAAGAAATTATCTTGTTTGCAAATCTAGATAATAAATTTACTTCTTATTTAAAGGAGTGTTAAAATGTTTAAAATGTTGATAACTGGTCAAACACACTGCCAGTTGTGTCACAAAAGTCATCTTGACTAGTCTGCATGCTTTCTAGGTTAAGTTAATGAAATATGAAATGAAATAAACTTTTGACATGTGAGGTTAAAAAGGAAGTTGGATCGTACATTACAGGAGAAAACTGCACAGCTAGAATCCAGGAATACCATTTCCATCCTAAACATATTCCTTTCTGGTGTGAATTGGAACTCGCCGGCAAGACGCCTGATATCGGTGTAGAGGATCTTTTCACCACACACCCCGACTTTGATTTGAAGACAGGTTTGTAATGTTGTGACATTCGTGTGTTTATAAAGGAAATGATATACAAGAGGGTTAATGGAATGACATTTATGACAGTATGTATCAAAATGTGTCTGACTCTCTGACATGACTGGTAAAAATTTGGTGTTATGATATCAGGAAATGTTGGGTAAATAAGAAAGGAAATACGAGAATTCTTCTTTCGGGTCTGGTTAACATATAAAAAGTTTTAACACACTTTGTCATGACCATTGACAAATGTTGTACGCTGACCTAGTTTCTTCATTATTGTCTTTGAAATGTTATATCCCATTCAGTTGTATTTATTATTAACATCATGGTCAGTTATACTTAAAAAATAAAATGATTATGAACTGTTATTGATCTCATTTCATCAATTTTGAATTTTTATTTTTTAAGAATGCATATCTTTTTAATATCAAAAATACAGTACCACCATCAGTATGTGAATCAATTGGAAACCACTAGATGCTGACATTATAGTAGATTAAGATTCACAGAATTTATATTTCATTTTTCAAAATTTCAGGGAAGTTTGGATGTCAGATAAACCAAGTGTCAAGACCAATGATACAACAGCAGATTAGTACATTAAATGTAGACTTGACCTTGTCAGTAGGAGTCGCATCCCGTGAAGGTCAAAGGCAGGTCATGCCGCAACAGCTCATATTCAGCTTCCTACCTTCATTTTTTATCCACCAAAGTGAGGTTCATCTATCAACGATTAACCAACTCTCATCTGTCCGTGTCTCCACGACATCTCGTCTCATGGACTGTATAGAGGTATGTCTATGATTTTGTATCAACAATGCAAAGCTTTGGAATAAAAAAAAAACACCTGTAGAAGAAAACTAGCAGGTAAAAATAATCATTGACCCACTTATTGAGGTGGAAGGGAGATTGCAACTTTTGGTGTAAGAATATTAAGTGTAAATTCTTGAAGAACCTTATGATATCCTTACCATTCTGTTCTCTTTTTTGTATGTCTATGTGAGTGATCTGTCTATATGAGTTTGTCTAAGTGTGTGATATCCTTACCATTCTGTCCTCACTTTTGTATGTCTATGTGAGTGATCTGTCTATATGAGTTTGAGTGTGTGATGTCCTTACCATTCTGTCCTAACTTTTGTATGTCTATGTGAGTGATCTGTCTATATGAGTTTGTCTAAGTGTGTGATGTCCTTACCATTCTGTCCTCACTTTTGTATGTCTATGTGAGTGATCTGTCTATATGAGTTTGTCTAAGTGTGTGATGTCCTTACCATTCTGTCCTCACTTTTGTATGTCTATGTGAGTGATCTGTCTATATGAGTTTGAGTGTGTGATGTCCTTACCATTCTGTCCTCACTTTTGTATGTCTATGTGAGTGATCTGTCTATATGAGTTTGTCTAAGTGTGTGATTTCCTTACCATTCTGTCCTCACTTTTGTATGTCTGTGTGAGTGATCTGTCTATATGAGTTTGTCTAAGTGTGTGATGTCCTTACCATTCTGTTCTCTTTTTTGTATGTCTATGTGAGTGACCTGTCTATATGAGTTTGTCTAAGTGTGTGATGTCCTTACCATTCTGTCCTCACTTTTGTATGTCTATGTGAGTGATCTGTCTATATGAGTTTGTCTAAGTGTGTGATGTCCTTACCATTCTGTTCTCTTTTTTGTATGTCTATGTGAGTGATCTGTCTATATGAGTTTGTCTGAGTGTGTGATGTCCTTACCATTCTGTCCTCTTTTCTGTAGGTCTATGTGAGTGACCCATCCATCCTAGAGAGTTTGTCCCCAGAGAAGGATACACAGTCTGGAGCTGTGCTTCTGTATCCAATCAGATTGATTGAGTCAGCAGCTCTGTGGGAAAAAGACCAGATTGATGTACACATTGAGATGATATGCCAAAAGACAGGTCAAAGGGTCAAACTACCTGTATTTGTCAGTCTTATTGGTCAGAAGCCGGATTACATCAGTAAGTTGTTCAAGCTAGGTATTCACAGGCAGTTTAAGTGCACAAGAACAAGTCACAGTGGACCTAACTCAGTCTTTAAAAACTCAGTCCATAAGTATTTAATACAATTGCTTTAAGATTAAGTTGCAAGTATAAATTATATTTGAAAAATCAGATCAGTGTTTGTTCTTCTTATAAATCTGTAAAAGGGATTGTCAATTAACTCCAGTTAACTGGACAGAGGTTTAATTACATGTAGGGTTTATTTCTTGAAACCTGATTTTGTTTGTGTTACCATTGACTATAAGATTCAGGTAAAAGTTTAAGATAAGGATAGAGATATTCTATTGTTTCTTGAGAAAGATATGGTTAAACTCCATATCATTGATCCCGATTCAGATCAGAAATCGGAACTGTTCGTGATATTTCTATTGTTCTTTTGCAGGTACATACAGAGGGAGTGGCTGGCAGTCCTTGGTTCGTAACATCTTCTACAATTATCAGTCCTGGCTCTTCATCATCCTGGTCATCATCCTCACAGCTCTAGCAGTCATCATTGGTAAATTTCACTCCTTCATTATTGTACTACAGCAGATTTATCAGTAAATATGTCTAGCAGGACAGCACCACTGGTGCATGATTTGTATGAGATCTTTAGAAAATTAAATTGGAACGTCAAATATAATTGATCTCCTGATGACTGTGGTAGTCATCATCATGCTTGTATCTATTATTATTAACAGTGCTGTTCAAGTTTTGCATAGCTTTTAGTTGGCATTCATGGGTATATGAGTGACAGGTGAATGAGATATTCAATGAAGCTCATGTTTTATTTGTTTTTAATTGTCAGTTTATGAACTGGTAATGTACAATTGACTCGGGAAAGGATACACTGTAGCAATATCCTACGTATATCCATAAATACATTGGGACAAACACACAAACAATTATAATTTATTATTCATCTTCAAATGTTAGCACTGCTGATGTGTGCTTTATCTTTCAGTATGCTTATAAATAACAAAAAATAATAATTTTTTACATTACCGCTCTTCTACATATAATGTTCTGTGTTTAACAGGTTACCATGCTGTGTTTGGACCGAAGTACAGAGCTGCCAATGCAGGTGTATTCATGGGACCAGGAGGAGCTGCCACGCCCATCAGCTACTCACCTCAAGGTAAAATATGTAATAAATCATACAGCATTGTCAGCGTTATTTGATTTGGAACATTAACATCTGCATGTAGAAGTACTTATGTCAGGTCTTCTTTCATTTAATGCATTCCAGATTTTTTGATGGTATATACCTGAGTATATCAGCCTGTTTTATATCACTGTCATTACTATATTCCAGCTGTGATGTCTCCTCAGTACAATCCATATGGAACCACACCCAAAACTCCATACCTCTGGTCACCTGGATACAGTCCTGTTGATGGCACTACTCCCCGACAACGCAGGTCACCTTACCAACGCACACAGACACCTTGACTATGATCAGGAGCCATGTTTTTTTCTCATTGATCTATGTACGACATTCCAACTGGAATCTTAACCCAATATCTTACCTGGTTTATGTTCTTTACATATGTACTGTCACTTTATGTGTGTGTAAGTTAGTCCATCACTGTAATAATAAACCGACAAATGAAGGAGGAAACTATCTTCAGCAAAACTGAAATTGATGCTTTAAAATTAAAGTACAATGGAAATTTTTGATATTTAAAACAATTTCTTCTCATTTTTCTTTTTCTTCAAAAAAGTTTGATTTTAAAATGTTTTGGCAATCAGAAAAAATGTACAGTGAAAGAGATCAGTTTCTATACTATACTTTCTATACAGAGAATTCAGTTAAAGACATCAAATGTCTGCCAACATAAATAAATGTAATTCAGGGCACCTAAATCCATCTACTCCAAGACGTTGCCTGAAGAAATAGCTATGTATTTAACTTAGGTGTTGCTACACCAAATGAATAAGACAATTATATACATCGTTGTTTATTGAGGCCCCCACCATTTATGTCATTAAATTTACCCATTAATTATGGGAATCATGTCAGTATTCTTCATTTCTCAAGGGATTTCCAGCAAACTTTTTGCTTATCTGGAAATTCCTGAAATGGGTTTGTTTCCAGAGTTCAAAAATCAGGGTTGTTCTTACTATTTATAAAAGTCTTAATGTCAATACTTGTATCTATGAGAGCAGAAGCATCTATAGCCATGTTATATCTGAGATTATTAATCATATGAGACAAGACAATAGTCAGTAGGTTGTTTGATGTCCACCTTGACAACTTCCACATCCAGTTTTCAACTATTGATTGACAATCATGGAAAACCACTAAATATGGCTTTTAAAAACATCTATCTTACAATAAAGATGACATACATATAGTATGAAATAATTATGCTCCTGAAAAGTTCAATTTAGGTGAAGAGTTTTCCTTGAAAGGAAAATTAGATTGAGTTAGAGCTTGAGAAATCTATATATTTTGGTGGGGCTTAATTTTCCTGCTTTTTTAAAATATTGCTAATATGATTTCATGAACTAAGGGTATAGTGAAAATAAATTCCACACGAAAATTAATGATTTTTCCATATTGATAATATTATATTGTTACCGGTGTAGCAATTGTTTTAATTTTTGTCACTGTTGCAAATAATGCTTTCATGTGTCATGTTGAATATTTTATGGTAGTGTTTTTTTTTTTTTTTTTTTTTTTTTTTTTAAACAAGGACTTGTGTTCTGTAGTATAATTATTCACTGCTTTTGCTGATAACCTTGTGTGTGTATTTTGGCGATGTCATTAAGGTTCCATTCAAGGACCATTAAAGTCTACATCTCTATAATTTTGGGGTAATTTACCCCATCTATCAAAATGTCACTTAATGTTAAAAATGTACTGATTTTCTTTGAGCTATCAATTACATGCAGTATACCTAATGGTAATTATACAAGTTCATAACAATAGACAAGTAGTAAAAATGTTTGAGACTTGAGATGGAGATGTTGATATGACAGAAATTCCCTAAAAGCACATTTCAGTAAATTAAAGAAATTACATTCTACCTAATCTAGGATAGTCCATAATTTGTTTTCTAATGTATTGTTAACATGGTATCTGTTTACCAAGAACATAAAGAAGTTTATTTTAGTGAGACATGTACCTGATATGCATGCTTGTACTTCTATAAAAATGTCATTGTTGAGATCTTTCCCAATTATTGCCCTCTATGATACCTAGTTATGAATAACAATGCCAAAGAGCATTATAATCCATCCTCAGGGCATTAATGCATTTGTGTACTTGGATTTATGATGATGAAGATGATAATACTGCCTGGTTGTTTTCAAATCTACTAACAGCCAAATTTTGTGCATTTAGTCTGAATATTTTATATTAGTACAGTATATCTAAAGTTCTTCAATACAGACTCAAAAATTCCATATACACAACATATTGTTTATCTGTACAACAGTTTTTTTTCTATTGAATAAACAAATTTTGAGTAATAAGTTCAGTTAATTAACATACTTTTGCAAATATTGTAGATATAAAATAGACCTTTTTTTGTTATCAAACATGCAATTTCAACATTTTGTTTCACCATTTCTAGGATTTTTTCACATTTTTTTGTCAACCATCACCTAGTAAATATTCACTCTATTCTGGTAATATTCACACTAGTCTTGTTCAGTGTTTCACTGTTTATAGTAAGCTGTGTGTTAATATTGTGTCCTTATTTCTGATGATTATAAAACACCAGCTTCAGTGTCCCTAATTCACCAGCTCTGTCAGGTCAACCTGATGTTGGCTGTATCATGACTAGCTTAAACTTTGAAAAATTGTTAGTACCACCTGATATTTCCTTACATTTTAAATCATGACAAATGTTACTATTGTAACCCTGTAGCTGCAATATACCACTTGGCTAGAAAGAACTTCTCTTTAGCTCGATGGGTTGAGTGTCATACTAGAAAGCCAGTGGTCCTAGGTTCAAATCCTAGCGGAGGCAGTGAAATAAGTAAGGACCTCTGTTACATTGGTGCCCATGTAGGGACTCGGGAATAGTACTTGGCGTTACTTTCACAAGTATTGCTGGACAAGTTGTTTCCTGGTAGGAGAGTATGTCACCCTGGAGAATATTAGCTGCAATATACCGCTCTGCTAAAGAGAGCTTCTCTTTAGTTCGATCAGACTAATAAGCCAGGATCCTGGGTTTGAATCTCAGCGGATCATTGAAATAAATAATAACCTTTGTTTCAATCACCCAATATTTGAGTTTGTCAATACTTGAAATTTTCAAAATGAATTTTGACATTTTGATAATGTTAAAATATAACAAAATATCATCAAAATGTGATAATTTACTATACAATAGATTATAGGGTCTTTTTCCTTTACTGCACCTCAGTCATCTTTGATTTTGAAGGACATTGACCTGGTATGAGTTTGGCGACACTGCAGCTCTCAGTATTATATATCAACACTGCCTGAAAATCAGGGACATGTCTGCTCTTTTTAGATATGCAAGAGCCAAAATGGTCTTATTTACTTTGATCTGGTACTGTCTTATTCTACGGACCAGATATCGTGATTTTAATTGATACAGATTACATGGGGTTTATGTGTCAATATCTGTTACCAGAGGGAAGAGAGATTACATGTTTAATTATTTTTGAATGACTGAAATTTAAAGGAGTGACAGAAGGAAATGAGAAAGATTGGTGTTTGGAAAAGAGAAAATGAAACTAGATAGAGAGGGAACTTGAGGGTGAATTAGAATGTATGTGATGTGTGGAAGGAATGAAGACATTTTGAATGGTTATTTTGTGAGAATTTGATCTCTATTTCATAAGAATATACTTGTATGTAATTTGTTGACTATGTTTGATAACAGTGTGTAAGTATTTTAATGATGAAGGGTTGCAGCAGATTAATATTTTGCATCATTATATAAGATACGTTTTCCTAAAATAATACTGTTAAGGGGTCCAAAGTCATTGTCAGTATAAAAGTTGGGGTTTCAATAAATATATAATATGACACAAATTGATAAATTTCTTTTTTAAAGTTTTGAAGATTTAAAGACAAATTATTGCTACATGTTTAAATAATTAATTCCTGACCAGTTTCACTGCTACTGTCCTTGTATGTTCAGGAACAGTTGGTGTAATGTCTGAGATTAAATAAGTGAGGAAGAAAAGATACATGGAGACTATTTTAAGATGAGGGAGAGATTAAAATGAAAATGGTAATTTATGAAAATATGAGACATTTTGTATGGTGAATAAATTTTCAATATTTTGTATACATTTGTGTTAAGTGGTATTTTTACTCTGAAGCACTCATTGATACACAACAACTGATGATAACAAAGTACTGAAAGACTTCGACACAAGACTGCTTTACAAATCAAAGCACTGTAAGTACTGATTGTGTGGAGAGCTGGGTTTAAGAACAATTAATCATTGAACCAATTAAACATAAAATACAACTCAAACACTAAACATGAAATCTTCACACCAACTCCTCTTCAAATGTATCATTGAGGCCAACACAACCCCGACATGTTTCCCTTGCAGTGCCTCTTGCCCTAACACCCAGTAAGGTATTTATTAACATTATTTTTAAGACCTTAGACTCCTTCATCCTAGGTATTCCCCTTTGGCAGTCATTCAAAATTGATCATACAAAGAAATAGACCAAGTGTTCCGGAAGAGTAAGTGTGTTCTGCTTCATCGTTGACACCTGATTTCTTAAGAAATCAAACTGCCCATATGTATTACCCAAAAATGACCCCCTTTTACTACTATACCTAATTTTTTCTTAAAACCATTTCGGAACATTTTCTTTGGGTCGGTAGTATCAACAGGATAGAAGTTTTTATGACATAACCAGTAGAAGAGTGACATTTCCATGACTACATGGTCACCTTTATCAGACAAATGATTAGTGTGGAGCGCACTAGTACTGACGCAATGTACAAGATGGTAGGGAATCTAACAACATTTTTTGGCTGTACTATAATCTTGTGTACAACAAGATAAAAAATAGTTTGACAAGATGGTTAACAGATTATAGACCAAAAATTACATGATGGTAACAAAGTACTGAAGTCAATTTGGCTAAGCTTTTAATAAATGTGGAAGAGTCTGTCACATTCTAATCTTCTACTGATTCTATCTAACCGAAAAAATAAAAAAAAAATCCTCCTTCCCCACCATCTCCATCTACATTGTAAAGTCATGATATACTGACATCATAATCACTCTTGGCTTTGTTTACAGATACAGCCCATGGTTTATTAACAATTTGTAAAGAAGTGAGAAGCAGGTATTTTGGTACCCCAAGGGAGAGTATCGGGGCCATTTCTTATGGAATAAAGCATTTACTGGAAAGGAAAAAACGTGTGTAGTAGTATACTTAGTAGAATATAGTATTTTTATTGCGTCTTGGCATATATTACATTAATGTAGAAAATACAATACATATATCATTTCCATTGTAGAGTATCTAACATTTAATAAGAAAACTTTTTATTCAACAATCAACACTTACTAAGTATGAAGACTTTCTTTTGTTATCAACAATTATGACATTCTTAATGGCCGTCAACACAAAAGGTCATTAGGGCCAGCAACAAGTAAGTGTATTCAGCAAGATAACACTTTGATACATAATACTGATGCACATATTTAAATGTGTCCGTTCAAAAAAAGTAATGAAAATACTTTAATATATTAAAAATATATGTACATTATATATGTATATTGATAAGACACTTTTATGACAAGACTATATCGTGCTATAGAAAATGATATTAAATTGATAAACAACTATTTGTAATGTATCGCCTCAACCCTCTGAAAGTCAAAATATGCACAATCATTAAAAAATGAGCTATTTAACTAACTTTTACTATGATGTCTCCTGCCAACATAAGTGACTATTAGAGTAGAACTGTAAAATGAGGTTGAGACATAGCCAAAACCTCTAATGTTTTGTCTATATGAGATAAGAATTGCACTATGCCTAAGGCAGAACAATCAAATATGCTGGTTACCATATGAGAAAAACTTTATAATTATTCAAGTGTCTAACTGTACATGTAGCTTCCTCTTTGTAACCTGGGTAAAAAGGTAAAAGATGACAGAGACTATTCCACAAAATGTTTGTTAGAATCTACTGGCCATGGAGGTGGGGGAGTTACACTATTAAAATGTCAGAATGAACAGTTTTCTATCAGTGTAAAACAAAATATTAAAAACATTCAATTACACAATGCATTCCATTGTTTGCTTTACTGACTTTAACATTACATGAAATATAGAAATATGTGCAACAATGTTTTGTAGATATTTTCAAAACTAGTAATCCTACAGCTAGACCAGTATTTCATGGGATAATTTCATTTCTAATCTGTGTGTGTGTCATATTCTGAAAGGTTCAAATGGTTCAGGCTATGCAGAAGCAGCGTCAGTATCCTTTAGGCAGGTTACAGAACATGATTACACAGCCTTCCAGCAGTCATAGCAGCTTCAGTCTCCTTTAGGCAGGTTACAGCACATTATTACACAGCCTTCCAGCAGCCATAGCAGCTTCAGTCTCCTTTAGGCAGGTTACAGCACATTATTACACAGTCTTCAAGCAGTCATAGCTTCAGTCTCCTTTAGGCAGGTTACAGCACATTATTACACAGCCTTCAAGCAGACATAGCAGCTTCAGTCTCCTTTAGGCAGGTTACAGCACATTATTACACAGCCTTCCAGCAGTCATAGCAGCTTCAGTCTCCTTTAGGCGGGTTACAGCACATTATTTCACAGCCTTCAAGCAGTCATAGCAGCTTCAGTCTCCTTAAGGCAGGTTACAGCACATCATTACACAGCCTTCAAGCAGTGATAGCAGCTTCAGTCTCCTATAGGCAGTTTACATCACATCATTACACAGCCTTCAAGCAGCCATATGTCTTGCAGTAGTGGTCATTCTGACTTTGGTCTGTTCCTCTATGTAGACAAAGTCCTTGTTTGTGACCTGTCCAAGTCCTAGACAGGTGTACCAGGTAAGGAGAGTAGACACTAGCCAGCGGTCCAGGGACATGTGTGGATACACCCACAAAAGGATGAGAAAGCACAGAACACCAGGGTGTGGCATGTGAGTGATGAAACTCTGTAATCTCCGAGACATGTACTGCCAGGGTGACATGTCACCCCACAGTCGATAGTATACCTGTAACAGTAATTGTATAATGCAAAGCAAAAATATTGATTGTGTATTTTAGGCATACCGGTATTAAAATATAAATATTATATCAACAAACTATGTTTATTAACAAATCTGTTCTGGGTATACCTCAACTTCAATTTTACAAAAAATTGATGGAGCATTTAGTCATGCAGCTCTCTCCATCCAGATTTCAGTATAAGATGCTTGTGTCAACTATAATTTCAGTAAAGATAAAAGGTAACATCACATTGAGGTCAATGTTATTGTCGTGACCTTACTTTCTTGGTTAGCTGGTTATAATGAAATTTGATAATTATATATAATTGACAACACAAAAAACTATTGTCCTCACCCTAATTAGTGATTGTAACAAAACTTTCTGAAATTCTACTGACCTGCTTCACCCCTATGAGGTAGAAGGGGTCTATCAGTGCATGTTCTAGGGCAAGGAAACACCAAGCAACAGTATGAACCAAAGAAAAGAAAAGGGAAGTAACAGGAGAATCATGAAGGTCCCAAAACCATATGTCCCATCCACTGACTGTCTTCCAATTTTCAAACAAAAACTGCAAGTGAGATTAAAAACAAAGACATATTAGCACCATGCCTGCACACAATCTGAAGGAACAATGCTTCGTTATTTCTGAGGATGCTCTACAGAATGAAAAGTCTGTCTCAAGTGATAAAGATTTGTATTTAAATTTGTTCATATTCTAAAATTGATAGTTATACACGGTTACCATATGTGTGAAAATTTCAATGTTACCTGAAGAATAATGCAGGTAAGTATTGTGTATACTGATCTCTGCAGGAATCCTAACCTACTCCCAATCATTTCTTTGTACAAACGACTTGCCATCAAGCTGTGTTGTAATACAAACACTCCAACTAAAAGCAGATCAAACAGCAAAATCTTGAAGACTTCTTTTGAATCTAAAAAAACAAAACAAAATTTCTTTAAATTAATTGAATGAAAAAAATATTGCAGATTTCAAAATTTGTATTAATTGTAAATCTAACTAAATTCATTTTACGAAGCAAATTAATAAAATTACCAGCAGTTTTTTTTATCCTCCTCTGTATTTATTATTCAGAAATCTGCTGAAAAGTTCAAAATAAGCCCCTATCGACCGCTAATCTCAAGTGCCAGTGAAGGCATCGGAAACTAATTAATTTGTCACATTATCTCTACTTAGCATTTAGATACACGTATCCATGTTATGTTAGCCACTGTGTTCAGGTTCAACCACTCTCCCAAAATTTTGTAAGTCTTGGACAGACCAACAGAAAAGAAGAGCACAGAGATGCCAGGTAAAACCCACAAGAGCTTTGTGATGTAGCTCATTTGTGAATGGTGATCATAACTTAACTAGCAACGTCGAGCGTGCTCGGCACTTTGACAGCTGATCACTCCGTTGTACAAGTTTCATGAATTTGCAGCACATGTACATTTGGAATAACACTGTTGTTACTCCTGAAAGATTTGCTATCAACAGAAATCAAATCCTGAAAATCTACATGCATGATCACTACGTGTATGTAACCAGGTAACATTAATACCGTTGTCGACATGCAAATATCACCTTGTATAACGTTAAACGCTTGTGTCTTCTGGACTGAAAAGAACACCACAGCTTTATAGGAAAGTACAAATATCGCATAGCATGCTACTATGCTTAGAGGTAACGAAAACAGCGCTTTTAACATCATGAATTTGCTCTGATCTCGTCACTTTAAAAACAATCGTCTGCTAACTGGCTGATCAGCCGAATAGTTGCCGCTTACAACGCTAAAATATATCTTACATTTTAGGTAATTTTGCTATAGATTCAAATATAGTCGCTGTGTTTTGCAATCAACGATTGTATGACGGTAATAAACCATGTTTTTGAGAATAATGTGTCATGTTATCTTTTTACATAAATTGATATCTTTATTTAGTTTTAAGCGATATACCGGAAATAAGGGCAGATAACCGTGGAAGTGAAAATGGCCGGGCACGTCCCAAGAACTGTCAGAAGACTAATAGCTACACAAATTAGTCCAAAGTTCAGAGATATAACTAAAATCGTTGAAGCTCCCCTGAAGGAATTGCAACCAGGGGAGGTTTTAGTGAAGAACAGGTTAGAACAAATAACTGACATTGAGGGAAATGCGAAAAGTTTAGCATTCAATGTCACGTGTGCAGTCTTATCTATTCATTTACTCAACAAGGTTAAGATTTTGTCATACTTATAGTTACTTATAGTTGATTTCCAGTACAGGAATTAAAATTCCTCTTCACCGGACTCGTTGTTGTTAATCAATGTAGTTCTGTCACTTCCATTCTTTTTTATATCTGCTCTGTAGCTGTAATACAGCTCCTGGTGTTTCCATTGTTTATCCAGGCGATTTTTGAATGTGTTAGTGTTGGGTGCGTTGACTACATATTCTGGTAGGTTGTTCCATACTTTCCATACTCTGTGAGAGAAGTAATGTTGCCTAAGTTTTGTTCTAGCTCTCTGGGGGTAGATCTTGTTTGAGTTTGTCCTGTTGCTACTCCTGCTTGCAGCGCTGCTCCAGCTTATAAGTATGTTGTTTGTATTTTTATCATATATTCCACTCATTAGCTTGTATGTCTCGATCATGTCTCCTCTTGTCCTGCGGTAAGCGAGGGTTGGTAATCCTAATTCTTTTAGTCTGTCCTCGTAAGATAAGTTTTTAAGGCCTGGAAGTTGTTTTGTTGCCCTTCTCTGCACTCCTTCAATTCTCTCAATATCTTTTATTTTATAAGGTAACCATACTGAGCTAGCGAAGTCTAGATGCGTTCTCACTAGGGTTTTATAAAGTGGTAGGAATGATTTTTTGTCCATAAAGTTAAAAGTTCTCCGAAGCATGGCAAACATGGAATTGGCTTTATTGACTTTCTCACTTATATGATCTTCAAACGATAGGTTTGAGTCTACTTTGATACCAATGTCTTTTTCACATTCAGAATTCTCCAGCACAGTATTGTTCAATGTATATATGGTTTCACTCAGATTAGGCTTACCAACATGCATGTATTTACATTTTTTTTACATGGTTAGAAACTTTTGTCGTGATATCTGCTAATGCATCAAGGCGGGCTAGATCTCTTTTACATATATGAGTACTGTTCGTTAATCAGTCCGCATTGTAGTATGGGTTTAAACATCCAGGGTACACACAGTACGAGGTATATTATTCCACACAAACTCTCATTCCAGTCGAGAGTCTAAAAGCTTTATTTAATGTTTCCAAAAAAACATTGTTACAGGCCCCTGTGGTTTTACCAGCGTAAGACATTCAGATAGACAGAATATTTACCACATACATAAACAAAAAACCTAAACAAACCAAAATGAATACTTTGACACTTTGTATGTATAAGAGAAATGGTGTTGCTAAATTATAAGTTTAAACATGTGACAAATATGGCATCTTTTATTGCAGATATGTTGGTATCAATGCTTCTGATATAAATTACACAGCAGGGAGATATGATCCGTCTATCAAACCACCGTTTGTCTGTGGAATGGAGGTGAGAACTTCAATTGCTCAAGCTTCCTCAACATCATACCATTGACAATTCAAGTTTCATGTAAAGGTTGCATTTGGATTGTGAAAATACTTAAACTTGTCCTCCAAATTAAAAACAGTTTGTAAACATTTGAAATAAAATTCAGAGATTTAGGAAAGAAACGGATGTATTTGAAACTGTTCCACTGATACGTCAATTTTCTACAGTAGTAATTCAATCTGTTTCATATCCATGATTAGTTTCTGCTTTTCATTAACACAGGGCCTTGGTGAGGTTGTCAGCGTGGGCTCAGGGGTCAACATATCTCCAGGTCAAGCTGTCATGTACTGTAGAAATGGCAGTTTTGCAGACTATGTGGTACATTTTATAATCACTTCTTGAACGTTGAACCTGATAATTAATACTAGAGAAATGCAAGGTTTGCTTGAAAACTATATGGTTAATGGAATTTCAAATATGCTATGTAATGAAATTACATGGGATAGAAATACACATGTATTTAGATTGATTTAAGGGGTTATGATGAAATATATGTTTTCCTATTATGTGCTTTGATGTTGTTGACTTATAGTGTAGTGATGACAATTAAGTCAAACTTCTGGTCTTCATGTTAATTGTAGATTGTCCTATATATATCCTATATATATAAGTGTATATATTTACAAATTACATCCAAACTGTTCAGGCAGAAGCCTGAGCGAACAGCTGTCCTGACAGTGGAAACTAGCCTCTCTCCTGTCTGGCCTTTGCTCTTCTCTTCTAGTAAGCCAAGAGAAGTCTATTTATACCAAAAAGTTAAAAAATTGTTGGTAAAGTAACTTTACACAATAGATAAACAGACTAACAAAGATTAATACATGAGCTTAGGTAATAACTTATGTAATCAGGAAATACATTTATAACATTGACCATGTATATATTAAGTAACAACAGTATGCCTCTGGCCACTGGTCAATACATAGTTTTCCCACTGGTCGATAGATGTCAGTTACAAATTTAGCTAGTCTCATTCTGGCATTTAAATTAAAAATTAATTAAGACTAAAAAATCTGACATATGTCTAAGTGAATACAATCTTGAATAATTTACTTCACTCATATATTAACTTTTGATAGTTCAGGGTTCAGTGTCTCCTTGCAACTGTAAAGGAAAATATAGTTAACTCTATTGTATAATAGTATATGTGTATGAGATGATGTTTCATGTTTGAATACTATTTTGACTAATATTAGATTCAGAAATAGATTTTGAAATTTTTCAAAACTGGTCAAAAACAAAGAAATATCGAGTGATTCTTAAATTTTCCACGATTTGAACAAGTCCAGTATCAGACCGACCTGACAAAATCATGTGAATTGGCAATACTGGTGGCTTGTAAACATTTTAAGGGCTGGATTCTTCAAGGAAACTGTTACTCAAGAGTATGATCTATCTTGGGAAAGTAAGACCTAATTAAATTTCCTAGCTGGGGACGATGACTAAATAGTATGACTGCTCTAGAACAGCCAGGTGCAAATGTATGACAGTTGGACTTTACGGAACAACATCTTTAAGAAGCGATGGGCCTTAGAGGATAACCCTTTCTCAGTGTAGATTGCCAAACTGTAGTCTCCCAGGGAAAGCAGAGTCTAAAGGGATGTTTATGAGCAGAATGAATAAAGGGTGTTTTGCAGTATCCCTTGAAAAATATGTGGCAGAGATTAAGGCCAGATCTTGGAAATACTGTTGTGTAAATAAGGTCTACTACATAATTACAGAAAGTACCAGCCAGACTCCTGACCAAGATTCCGACGGCCTCCCCAGAGTTCTTGCCATTCCAATTAAGTGGACCCACAGCAACTGTTGCCTTAGAAAAGGTGAGACAATAACAACAAATAAAATTGCTTTTATCATTTCTTCCTCCATATATTTCTTCTTTGATTTTGACACATTTTTCATAAAATATGCTACATGTAAGTGTATGGCTGTTCACCTTTCTTGAAAGAGAATGGTTCCATAACAAGAGAACAGAGGCGTTCTTTCAGTCAAGAACATTAACAGCAAGATGTTTTTCTTGTTCTGTCCATTTCCACAAATTATGAATATGTAAGGTATATCAATAGATGTCTTATCCAATAAAACATTTTCACTCTGCTGTTTTCAGTTTGGAAATTTGAAGAAAGGAGAGACTGTCTTGGTCACTGGTAATTATTACATTTAGATCAGCATTATATTCATGCTTATAGATTTAAATACTGTAATATGTAGAGATACTGTTTAAATAATGTATTTATTATTTGAAGAAGTTACTGTTTAAAAAATTCATGTGTTGAAATATTAATTCTGCCAATATATGATGTACATGATAGAGTAGGTGATGATGTTTATTGTTATAGGTATGGGAAGGTTTATTATCAGTCCTAGGTTATAGAAAGATTTATTGTAGCTTTTTCTCTTGTTTGAAGCTGCTGCAGGTGGAACAGGACAGTTTGCTGTAAGTATCTTGTGCACAATCTTGTTAAATACCATGTTTGTCTGTCAAAAAAGTTACCAGGAAAACTACTTCAAAAGTATGTCTGTATCCATGTTATGTTGGTCTCTGGATAATCGTCTTGTTTAGCTTTAATGTTATTTTCCTCAGGTTTATATAAGTCAATTCTGTTCTATCACATCAGTAAAGTACAGTGGAAAAGATACTAAAGGTCACAATGTTTTATCAAATAAGGACCTATCTGCCCTCCATAGAATTCAACGCTCTCAATTCTAATAAAACAACGTATTTGGATTTATAGGTACAGTGGGCAAAGAAAGCTGGCTGTCATGTTATTGGAACATGTTCTACAGAGGAAAAGGTGGAATTTCTCAAGGTAACAATACACTTGCAAAATAGATATAGGGCTAGAGATGTACATTTTAGGGGGGAAGTTAGAGTCTCTCCTATATATACATAAATATACGAGTAAAGTTGAACACTAAAGAGGGGAAGGTGGAGTCTCTCCTATATATACGTAAATATACGAGTAAAGTTGAACACTATAGAGAGCAAGTTGGAATCTCTGCTAGATAAATATGTAAAAGTAAAGATAACCATTGTGAACTTTTTAAAGGGGAAAGTATAATTTCTCCTGTTAACAGTGCGTATTTGATATGCTTGATAAATCAGTTCATTTTCTGATATATTGTTATTGTGCGTTTCTTATTATAATTCTTATTGAAATTATTTGATTCCTGATGATTTTTTTTTCTAGAAATTAGGATGTGACCGACCCATAAATTACAAAAAGGAAGATTTACGAACTGTTTTGAAAACAGAATATAAGGTAATATTTTCTCATATCAAACAATTCTTTTTCTACATGTTTGAATCCCTGGACTAGGTATTTCATTTTTAGCTCACCTGCTGATAGGGCTGTCAAAAATTTGTTCGTTAGAAATGTACACTTGCCCGTAAGTAAAGCACCACCGACATCTTACATTGGGCTTAATTATGTTCTCTGTATTTAAACATTCACTGGCAACTGGAAAGGGAAATATACAGAACCAGAGGTGCTGTATCATTTAAAAGGAACATTTTTCTTGATCAAGAAAATGAACTTATCAACAAGTTCTATTGGGTATGAAAATGTCAATATTGGGTATAGGTACCATACATTCAGGGATTCTTGTGCCTATCTTCTCATACCATTGACCAGATGCTGAAGCTTGTTCTGAGTAAACCTCTGCCATTCCTGAATCAACGCAACCAGAAATTCTCTAATTGTTTGGCATTTGGGATCCGGTGCTTTGACTTTTTGTCCTAGATAGACATTCTCAGTTGGGTTCATATCTCATAGTATTGCAGGCAGTGGGAGTGTCTCTGTCACTTCCTGTTAGTCATGTACTCAACTAGCTCTGTGTGGTTTAGCATTGTTATCCATTAAGATAGGCTTAAGGGATGGATCTGATCATGGTACTTCTGCCTATTTAAAATTCAATTAAGAACATGCAAGCAAACCTGAAGTTTAGAGAAAAATATCACTATACAGTAACACCGCTTACACCAAATGCTGTTGTGCTCTGAATGTGATTCTGATGGTGTTCTGTGTTTCTTGGTCTACAAACATGCCCTGCTGTCTGTCAGACTTAAGCAGCATCAGACTAGTGAACTCTTCGCCAAGGCCTGATATTCCATGCCTGATGGTCCTGTGCCCATTGCAGTCTTGCATGTTTATGCCTTCCAGTCAACAGAACATGTTTTGCTGGTCGTCAAGAGGGCGGTCGCCAATTGTTCAAACATCAGTTGATGGTACGTTGGCTGATGTGAACCTTCCTTTAGCCTCTGTGCCTATTGGCCGTGGTGAATGGAGCTTACCTTGCCTGTCTAACTTCTCTATCTGTGTCTTCCAAGGTCTGCTAGACCTGGGTTGCTTGTCAACATACCCAGTTTTGATTAGTCATCTTTCAGCGTTTGTCAACTTCAACATGCAGTATGAACATGTGTATGATTTACCAGTAATACACATGTAAATGCTGTTTTAGGTGCCAAAGCAATCTTGTGTTTTGCTACAGTATTGGGTACCCTTGTTTAATCCATGTTATTGTTAAGTTTGATCCATGGCTTGGCTGCATACAGCTTCAAACACAAAAGGAGTATAACAAAGGAAAAATCAGTTTGATTAAAATTTTCATAGTGCAATTGATGGTCCTTAACTTATGGCCAGACGGATATTTTGACCAGCTTTCAAAGTAACAGACATCAAAGGTGTTAAAGTCTTTGAAAAATTGATTCTAAATGAGACCCATAAGGTTATGATACCTGAAGTGACCTTGACCAAACATTTACTGCAGTCAAATGTGTTAAAATAAAAATCTCAAAAGAATCTATTAACAAACAAAAACAAATAAACACAATGCATGATGGTGAGTCATAGTTTCCATCGAAATAACTTTGACCCAGGGTCAATTATTTGACCTTCAACTGTTTATCTTCCTTTCATCCTTGATAATAAAATGTTGTTTCTGAGAAAAAAAAATCACCAATGTTATGTTCAGTATGAGAAAGGATGGACAGGATTTGAACATTAAAAGTTCTTCTAAGTCTTTTGAATTTTATTTAAAATCACAATTATTTAAATCAGATTGATATAATGTGAGGAAAAATTTGTTATTTGATTTACATTAGATTTACATTACATTTGAGTAAGAATCCTTTGGGTTAATCCACAGAAAGGTGTTGATGTTGTTTACGAGTCAGTCGGAGGAGAAACATTCGACACTTGTTTGAACAGGTAAGTACAACATCCTTAAGTCTTCTGAGGTAACATTTTTAGAATTTATTTCTGGTGTCTTAACATTACTATCTTGGACACATGTCATTGATAGTGTTTGATTTTGTTTAGACAGTCCGACCACTGAAGGCCAAGTCTTTGATTGTGTTTAATGTTGTTTGAATAGTCCGACTACTGAAGGCCCTGTCTTTGATTGTGTTTAACATTGTTTGGACAGTCAGACCACTGAAGGCCATGTCTTTGATTATGTTTAACGTTGTTTGGACAGTCCAACCACTGAAGGCCATGTCATTGATTGTGTTTGATTGTGTTTAGACAGTCTGACCACTGCAGGCCATGTCTTTGATTGTGTTTAATGTTGTTTGGACAGTCTGACCACTGAAGGCCAAGTTTTTGATTGTGGTTAATGTTGTTTGGACAGTCTGACCATTGACTGCAATGTCTTTGATCGTGTTCGATTTTGTTTTGACAGTCTGACCACTGAAGGCCATGTCTTTGATCGTGTTTAATGTTGTTTGGACAGTCTGACCACTGAAGGCCATGTCTTTGATTGTGTTTAATGTTGTTTGGACAGTCTGACCATTGACTGCGATGTCTTTGATTGTGTTTGATTTTGTTTGGACAGTCTGACCACTGAAGGCCATGTCTTTGATTGTGTTTAATGTTGTTTGGACAGTCTGACCACTGAAGGCCATGTCATTGATTGTGTTTAATGTTGTTTGGACAGTCTGACCACTGAAGACCATGTCTTTGATTGTGTTTAATGTTGCTAGGACAGTCAGACCACTGAAGGCCATGTCATTGATTGTGTTTGATTTTGTTTTGACAATCTGACCAGTAAGGGTCATGCCTCTGATTGTGTTTGATTTTGTTTGGACAGTCTGACCACTGGAGGCCGCCTCATCGTTATTGGGTTTATATCTGGATATGAGTCTGACTTGGGCTTCACTCCCTCCAGGACTATGGCATCTCTTCCTGTCAGGGTAAGTCATGCTGAGGAGAAATCAACATCTGTGCATTCACAGCTTTCTGCTAACATAAGATTGTATTTCCAGATCCTTGGCTGGGTCAAAGTTCAAGGTCAAATGTCATGACCCTTCTGTATTGTTTTACTTTCAACACATTATGTTGTTCATTTACTGAAAATTTTGAGGATGAATGAGAAACATTTTAGGTTACATCAAAAGAAAATTGAATGGTGTCTGCAATAAACATTTTTTCATCCAGAGTTCATATATGATATTTATAGAATGCACTGATGTCATTAATTTGATTTCTCTGTTTTTCCAAACTTTGATTTTTTCAGTATTTTACACTTCAGAAGTTTTAGTAAGCATACCAGTATATATAAACTTTATTTATTTTACAAAATTGCAAAACAGGATATAACATTTTCTATTAATTACTTTTCTTGGCCTGGATGGAAGTGCTCATGGGGTCTTACTGTGGAAGGAGGGCAGAGTACATCGGGAAATCCCATATGGTCTGACAGGTTATCAGTAGAATCTGATCTCATAAAGATTTGTAACATTATTGAACTTCTGTAATAAATTCGATGTTTGAATGATGATAATGTCTTTTACTGTGTTACTGGTCCTGTATAATTACAGATACACAGTTACTATGTATAATGCTACAGTGATCATGCTTTCAAACCCTACTATGTACTCAACAGTAAAATATAATATAAAAATCTTATTTATTTTTAGTTATTACAGAAATCGGCATGTGTTCAAGGATTCTTTATACCACATTTTGAACAAGATTGGATGAAATCTGCCTCCAAACTGTCGAGCATGTACAGCGAGGGAGCCTTGAAAAGTTTTATAGACAAAGGTGACTCCACTGTCTCTGGTCCTTTTATTGGTCTGGAGAAAATTGCAGATGCTGTAGAGGTAATTAAATATAATCTGTTTAGTGTTTTTACGATTCATTGATCTGGAGAAAATTCCAAATTGCCTAACCATCACACAACCATGACATCCCCAAAAAATGTTTGGAAACTGTATCAATATACACCAAGATATTTCTCAATATGATCACAGTAGCAAATTGTCTAATTACATGATATAAACACCTGGATCGCAATGGAAATACATACATGGATACAAATTGTAGATTCAATGTTGGATCAGCAACATTTGAATTACTTGTCGTAATTTTACCCGCGTTTCATATATATGTATACATTACAGAGAAAAAATTGAAAGTTTATTTTCGATAATTATTATCATACATGAGTCGTTGATGATTAGTTCATTGTTTGGGTTTCTCGATTATTTTTCTTTATTACTGAATACATTTTGATGATTTTTGTTGTCCAATCACAGACGGCATTTGTGTGATTAGCGTACCCTACGCCGTTTTCTGATCTAAATGAGTAGCATGTGTACCATTTCTTGGCTTCAATCGCTGCTCTTACTTTCCTTAACATTGACCCCATCAAGGTGTTTATTGTCCTTTGGTGATATTATTCCTAAGGGCCTGTGTGATTTATTTACTCTGTGGCTTTCAGATACGCAATCATCAGAATACCGTTTATCAGGTTGCCAATAGACACGTCAGCTATCTGATCTTTAAAGTGTAAAGTGAGATTTGTCAGTGAACAACACGTGTCTCCAATGAGCCAAACAAAATTGATTAGATGCTTGTGCAAGCAGCCACTGCATTTGAGGTTGGCATTGTCTCTGCATAAGTGACGGACCAACATAGGGTCATTGTGGCCTTAAATAAAACTCCCATAACAGAATCCTAACCATTCTTAGACACACAGGCTGACCATGAGTGCCGACAACTTGGTGTGCCATCTCTGTGGTCGTCTGGTTGTGGAGGTGAGAGATGCCTCTATCTTGATGTCACCATGTAACGTGTGAGCATCCACTCCTGGGACGTTCACCCAATCTCACTGTGGCTTTGAGACAACAAACTAAATGGGATAATGTTGTCTCGTGTATGCTATATTGCTGGGCTACATGACGCTGCGAATGCCCCTGCATTATTACAGCAACTACCCCTCTCAACTTCACTCAATTTCGGCATTTCGCTCTATAATCACTTCAAAAAGAAATGTTGTGTTGCTGATCGGTACTGTTCTAATGTTTGATTTGTAATTTTACCAGCACATATAGTGCAGGAGTACCCTAGATACACCTTTTAAAAAAAAAATCAGGTAAAAGCATGTAGCGTCGGCTGAATTCTAACTGAAGAACATTTTCATAGTGCACAGAGGTAGCTCAGTGTCAAATTTTACTAAATCTTATGCACATGTCTAAAAATTGCATTAAGAAAACCAAACTTGCTTTTTTTTCCCGCTAGTTTATATATATACATATATATATAATTAAAAAGATAAAATTAACATAGTTGTTTGCGTATATGTGTCTAAACAATTGTTACTTTTAACTTATTTTAGAATTTCTTATTTCAGTTCTGATATATATTTGAAAGGAGATCAGTTTACGACTAGCCCTATAATTTGCAGCTTTTCAAAGATTAACTCACAAAATGTACACGATTTAAAAGAAAGAAATATTCAGCTGGACTTTCCTCGTCTCTTACAATGAAAACATTTAGTTGTTGTTTATTGTGATATGCAATACTAGTAACAATACTATTGTATGTGTGTACATGCATTCATCGAAGTCATATACTAATATTCCTATCAAAACAAATAATGAAATTAAATGTGGTGTGTTTGGCCCTGATTTGTCTTAAATATTGTCCATCATGTGTGACAAAAATTTTTAAACTCCCGTGAACTCCGAAAATTTTCTGGGGAGCATACACAGTTGCTGCTTTGTCCGTCCATCCGTCTTTTCATCGATCATTTCATGTCTGGCGCATAACTTTGCTCATAGTTAAGTAAGGATCCTAAATCTCGTGATCATGTATGATTTGTCACACTAAGACTATGTGCAGTGTATAAAATTCAGGGCCAACAATCACTTAATTACAGAATTATTGCCCTTTGATAAAATTTCACATCAGAGCATATGTTTTTATTCAAACTAGCATAATGAAATTTGGTGAATACAATGAGTGTTCCAAATTCAGAGCCTGAAAGCCATTAAGTACTTAATTATTGCCCTTTGTTAAAATTCTGTGTCAAACAAAGTTGTTTTTGTGGAGCATTCATCAGTTTCACTGATACTCTTGTTTTAATCAAGTTTACATTTATTGTTTTTCAGTATATGTACACAAAGAAAAATTTGGGGAAGATTGTGGTGGAATTGAACAAACCAGGAACCAACAGCAAGCTCTGAGCAGTTGTTTAAGCAGGAAACTAACAAGTGATTTTAAGGATAATTACAACCAATCAGAAACCAGAATTCATTACAAATTCATTGATGGTATTGTGATTCTCATATAGCCACAGATACTTCAAGATATTTCAATAATAACAACTATTGATAGATACTGGTAACATTGTGTGATTTCATTTGTGGTCATCAAGAGATAGTATGTCTATGATCAAAGCGAGATAGAGATTTGATCACATAGAGATAATGTGTCTATGATCACAGAGAGATAATGTGTCTATGATCAAAGCGAGATAGAGATTTGATCACAGAGAGATAATGTGTGGATTGTGGAGAGATTATGTGTCTATGATCACAGAGAGATAATGTGTCTATGATCACAAATAGATAATGTGTGGATTGTGGAGAGATTATGTGTCTATGATCACAGAGAGATAATGTGTCTATGATCACAGAGAGATAATGTGTCTATGATACAGAGAGATAATGTGTCTATGATCACAGAGAGATAATGTGTTTATGATCAAAGCGAGATAGAGATTTGATCACAGAGAGATAATGTGTGGATTGTGGAGAGATTATGTGTCTATGATCACAGAGAGATAATGTGTCTATGATCACAAATAGATAATGTGTGGATTGTGGAGAGATTATGTGTCTATGATCACAGAGAGATAATGTGTCTATGATCACAGAGAGATAATGTGTCTATGATACAGAGAGATAATGTGTCTATGATCACAGAGAGATGATGTGTCTATGATCACAAATAGATAGTGTGTTGAGCGTAGAGAGATAATGTCTATGATCACAGAGAGATAGAGATTTGATCACAGAGAGATAATGTGTCTATGATCACAGAGAGATGATGAGTCTATGATCACAAAGAGATGATGTGTCTATGATCACAGAGAGATGATGTGTCTATGATCACAGAGAGATGATGTGTCTATGATCACAGAGAAATGATGTGTCTATGATCACAGAGAGATGATGTGTCTATGATCACAGAGAGATAAAGTATTGATCACGGTAAGAGGATAACATTTATAGTTACTGAGAGGTCTGATCATATTGAGGTTTAGATAATATGACTGTTGGGAGATAAATATAATATTTATTGAGAGACACCTTGTTGAAATTCCTTGTTTGTTTGTCAAAGTAGATTAAGTTTGTTATTGAAGTATAATGTATGTAATGTACTCAGATCAAACAAATCATTGATATTTTTTTTATGATTTTTAATAAAATGCTTAATTTTCACCTGTTTTGATTTTTTTTTCAGTTGTGATTTTTTTCATGTCAATATACATATGGCAATAGTGATGTAAACTCAGTTAAATGTTAAATAAGGTCTTTGTCACTGAAGCAGGGTGCTTCTGTGCTTTTGTTGGTCCTTGGATTATTGTGCTGCGATCTGGGTTCAATCCCTGACGAGTCCCTCAGTAGGGATGCACCTGGTTTTCCTGGTGATTTTAAAGCTTGGTATAGAGCAGCTGCTTCGGCCATTTATTTATCTTTTCATGCTTGAATGAATGATGTCAATGGTATGATGATACCTATGTAGTAGGAACAATGGAGGTGTCTGTCACATCCTGGTTTTCCTGTGATCATTGTCAGACAAAATCCCATGGAGACCCCTTGCGATTATCTTTTGTCTGGTGTCATGTGTTGTAAACTTTCAACATTTTTGAATTCTGGAAAACCTTAGAACCGATTTTAATGAAATTTTGCAGAAACCTGTGATGGCCAGAGTTGTACCAAAATGATAAATTATATGGTTCCCATCCACAAGATGCCTATAAGCCATGACCAAAAGGGGTCAAATGGATTGAAACTTTAAAAAACCAAGTAAGTTAGATTCAAATGCTTCATGGATGAAAAGGCTTAAAGATGTTTGACCAAAATTGTAATTTTTATTACTCAAGGCTCTCATATTTTCCCCTGTGAAAGTTTTTAAAATAGATGATATAAGACATCTATGTGAGGGTGATTGACTGATAGGTAGATAGAACCTGAGTAGGACATGTCTGTGAGGGTGATTGACTGATAGGTAGATAGAATCTTAGTATGACATGTCTGTGAGGGTGATTGACTGATAGGTAGATAGAACCTGAGTAGGACATGTCAGTGAGGGTGATTGACTATTGACCGATAGGTAGATAGGATCTGAATAGGACATGTCTGTAAGGATGACTGACTGATAAGTAGACAGAATCTGAGTAGGACATGTCTGTGATGGTGAATGACTGATAGGTAGATAGGATCTGAGTAGGACATATCTGTAAGGATGACTGACTGAATAGGTGGATAGAACCTCAGTAGGACATGTCTGTAAGGATGACTGACTGATTGGTAGATAGAACCTCAGTAGGACATGTCTGTGAGGGTGATTGACTGATGGGTAGATAGAATCTTAGTATGACATGTCTGTGAGGGTGATTGACTGATAGGTAGATAGAATCTGAATAGGACATGTCTGTAAGGATGACTGACTGATAGGTAGACAGAATCTGAGTAGGACATGTCTGTGAGGGTAATTGACTGATAGGTAGATAGGATCTGAATAGGACATGTCTGTAAGGATGATTGACTGATAGGTAGACAGAATCTGAGTAGGACATGTCTATGAGGGTGAATGACTGATAGGTAGACAGAACCTGAGTAGGACATGTATGTGAGGGTGATTGACTGATAGGTAGACAGAACCTGAGTAGGACATGTCTGTGAAGGTGATTAACTGATGGGTAGACAGAATCTGAGTAGGACATGTCCATGAGGGTGAATGACTGATAGGTAGACAGAAGAATCTGAGTAGGACATGTCTGTGAGGGTGATTGACTGAAAGATAGACAGAACCTGAGTAGGACATGTCTGTGAGAGCGATTGACTGATAGGCGATATAACATGTGTAGGACATGTCTGTGAGGGTGATTGACTGATATGTAGATAGAACCTGAGTAGGACATGTCTGTGAGGGTGATTGACTGATAGGTAGATAGAACCTGAGTATGACATGTCTGTGAGGGTGATTGACTGGTATGTAGATAGAACCTGAGTAGGACATGTCTGTGAGGGTGATTGACTGGTATGTAGATAGAATCTGAGTAGGACATGTCTGTGAGGGTTTTTGAATGATAGGTAGATAGAATATGAGTAGGACATGTCTGTGAGGGTAATTGACTGATAGGTAGATAGAACCTGAGTAGAACATGTCTGTGAGGGTGATTGACTGATAGGTAGATAGAACCTGAGTAGGGGATGTCTGTGAGTGTGATTGACTGATAGGTAGATAGAATCTGAGTATGACATGTCTGTGAGGGTGATACTGAGATTAAATGAAGTCAAATTGTTCTACTTTGGGATCCAATTAAAGACAGGTATGTGTTATGTTATACAGGTCACATTAAAGGTAGGTGTGAATTTAAAGGTGAAAAGCTTAGATAAAAAGTAGAGAAAATAGCAATATAAACAAAGTAAACAAAAATAAATAAATGGATAAAACTCAAAACCAGACACTACAATGCTGTCAGATTTGGCAGAATGGTTTGATTCTTAATAAAGAAATATCTCAGTCTGTTTTTCCATTACAGTTAAAGTGTAGCTTTGCATGGTGAAGAGCGCCATTTGTGCAGGCAACCCAAAGTTTATCCTCATTATCGAATACTACGCAGTTCATGTCCTCCAACATGACCGTATCGTTGAAACTCCAGAGTATCTGTCCATGTTTATCAAACACAACGATTCGCTTGTTTCCCATGTGAAGCGACAGCAATACTGACAGGATGGAACAAATTCATTGCAGCTTCGCTACCAGTTTCCATGTCCAGCTCACCTCTCCAGGTTTTCGTCACTTTCCCATCCTTGTCCAGAGTTATCAGTCTCTTGCTATCTATCACTAGCACATCTCTTGTAGGGCCGACCTCAAGTACTTGTCTTGGTCTGAGGAAAATTTCTTTGCCATCCTGGACATCCTGATCGAAGTAGATTCTCTGTTTATTGTCTCCAGCAGGGGAATACCTGTGTATCTCTGCTCTACAATCGATTCCTTGGAGGAAAACCAATATATCATCCTCAGGAGTGAGGTTAATTCCGAAGGTCAAATAGGGTGCAGTCCTTACAAGACTTTTCCATTTGAAAAACCCTTTTTTCTTTATCTTAAAACCGTTGTGTACAGTTGCGAAAAGTTCGTTTTTACTATTGAAGCCGAAGTCTGCTATATCAAAGTCTGAGATAATTTGTTTTGTAGAATCACCTTTGTCATTAAAATGTTTGATGCATCTCTTCCCTGTACATGTCACCCACACACCTTCCTCTGTGCTAGCAGCTAGCTTGATCGCAGCTCCTTGTGTGGTGTTGTCAACTTTTTGGTCAGGGTTGTGAAACACGCCATGCTCTAAAATCTCAACATCTTCAAGTTTCAAGTAGTCATACAATCTCTCAGTGGGTTTGGTTACCTTAGAGGTCCAATCCTCTGTAAGTGATCTGCTGTCTTCAGATTCTGGTGGTCGTCTACGGCTGATATCATTTGTACTAGTAAAGGAATCTGGGTTTAGAGTAGACATGCTGTCTGATCCATAGAAGTCTTCATCAGAGATATGTCCGAGTAAGCCGTCCAAGTCAAGCGTTGCTAAGTTGCCTTCTCTAAAGACGAGAGATGCAGGGTTGTAGACAGATGTCTGGTGTTTAGCCTGAATAACATTGTCCACCATCTCAAAATGATCAACATTACATTGATCCAGAGTTTCTTGTAGTTTATTTTGATCTTCTTTAATTTTTTCTTGGCGTGCCTTCATTAACTCCTTGTTTTCTACAACCTTCTTCTGAAGAGCTGATTTGACCTTTGTCTTCCATGACTCAATATCAGATTGTAAAGCCTCAGCTCTCCTCTCTATTGTAGCATCAATGTCCTGGACTTTCTCGTCAAACTGGGTTTCAATTTCCGACTGTTGTAATAAAACCTTTTCAAGATTTTCTTTGATTTTACTCAATTCTTTTTTCTTCTGGTGTGTGTTTGCTCTGTGTTCTTCAGCAATCTTCTCCAGTGATACAAACACATGTCCAGCATGTTTTGGGGATACTATTCCCTGGATACAGACAAACGTCTGACAAGTTTGACACCAGGCACTCACTAATTCTGTATGTCCTGGTTCTGTACACTGTTTTCTTGTTTGGAGGTCCCCAGTATCCATCAGGTCGAACTCTGCCTATAAAGAGTAGATATCATTACATGAGAAGAAAGAAGCTGATATCAGGACACTATTACATAATTAAGTCTATGTCTAGGAGACTGGGTAATATGAATTGAGGCTACCACTACTATAAGATATAATGATGGAAACATTTAAATGCAAAATAAAACTAAACTGAGCAGTTTCTACAATTTTTAAATAAGATAAAAAAAACTTAATTGTGTAAAACATAGTCCCCACTATACATGTAAGCTTCTTTGAAATGTTCTAAGATAAATGCCTGCATGTTTTGTTTATCGTAAAGCAAAAACTTCATTGTGTAGAACCTATGTAATATCCAATTTACCTGTAAGTGTTTTCTCTCCTTGGAAATATCCTACGTTTAAGTCCTGGTCAGATTAACTATTTATTTCTTCTTACTTGAAATACTGTATTGAAAATTGGCAACAGAATTCCTGGTAAGAACAATAGTGTGACCATGTGTACTTTATGTGTATCTCAACAGTACAATAGATAGCTGTAGAACATTGAATAGCACACCAGTATTATTGAGTTATATCTGTTCCACACAAACCATTTTGCCATTGTGCAGTAGATCTGTTTATCTTGCTGCCGATTAATCTGCACAATTTTATTTCCTCTTTCGCAGTTTTAAATAAAGCCTTTTGAGGATCTTTGTTTAACACACAAATGGAAACAAGTCACACAGTTTAAAAGTTAATTAGTCATAAAATTGGTGGTAGTTAGAAACAGGAGGTAGTTATAGACAGGTGGTAGTGATAGGTAGTAGTTATAAACAGGTGATAGATATATACAGATAATAGTCAGAGACAGGAAGTCGATATAGAGAGGTGGAAGTGATAGACAGGTGGTAATTATAGACAGGTGATAGTTAGAGACAGAAGGTGGTTATAGACAGGTGGTAGTTATAGACAGACAGGTGGTAATTATAGACAGGTGATAGTTATAGACAGAAGGTAGTAATAGACAGGTGGTAGTGATAGACAGGCAGTAGTTATAAACAGGTGGTAGATATAGACAAATAATAGTCAGAGACAGGAGGTCGATATA